ACATAGTAACAAACAAACTGTTCTCTATCCAAAATAAAAAACCATGGATGATTTAATACTAGTATATGTATCAACAAGTAATAGATCAAATTTCTACAAATTAATTTATAATTTAAAATATTATAATAGAAGTGTTTAATCTCTAGTTATATAGGTTAACATAATAAAACATGGTATTGATATTATAACAATAGGAAATATAATATACTCCACTAGAAATAAACAGGTATCATATTCAAGTAGATTATAAACAGGTAGACTGGCACTGTACGCTCAAATTAACGGGATTTTTAGTTGTTTTATTTAAGCTTAGTTTGTATACCAAATTGACATGAAAATTATTACAAAATACAAAATTATAAACTAAAAAAAACCACATGACAAAATAGGCCTACACTTTTCTTCACTTAAAATAGTCCATATATTTTTAATTTCATAAAATGTAATTAAACATACATTATGCAAGAGCTAAATCTGCCTATTGCCGGTCTTTCTTTAGGCCTGAAATGTTATCTAAATTATTAATTAGACCATAATCAACTCGCCATGTCATCGCTAGTCTGCCATATTTACAATGTACTGGATTAGGATCCAATTTGCTGCTCCACTTTCATTCATGATTAGATCATGAAATGGATAATTGAGACTATGTTTTTATTGTACCGACTTTAGTAATGATAATCGAGGCTAGGCCAAAAATTTAATCGCTAAATTCTCGATCAAACTGGATTAATATAACTCAAATTTTCAGCAAATCACTTTCAACTATTATAGTGGGAACCGCCAGCTCTTTATCTAATCTCCCATAATGTATCTTTAAACCATGCTGAACAAACTGACATAAGTATCAAAGAAAAATTAAATTTAGTTTTGTCTTTTTCATCACTTTTATTTCACCATGTATTAAAACTTTAAAACCGTGAGCTTACTTAAAAAGTTTATAACTAGAAGTCGGTAGAAGATAACATTTCCCCATTTTCTAATTTCATTTCTACATCTGTCTTCGGTTTTTTTATGTAAATAAAAGGTTAAATTACTGATGAACATCAGTTGAGGTGCTGGGCGCGTGTCGGGTGTAATGTCTGGTAATATAAATCATGTTTTAATCTTCTTAAAGTCGTGTAAAATATGAAATACAAGATACACTATCTGGAATAATTTGAGTCAGAAGTTGTAATGTACCCCTTATACATGTAAGGTACTGTATGAACATCTGGTGACCAAATGTTTTAAAAGTTTTTATTTATGATCAACATTAAATTTGTTTATAAATCTAACATTACAACTGGTGCATATGTCTACACATCTGTGCTAATACGATAACAGAACTCATCTTCTGTCTTGTCTGTTCTTTAAAGTTTACTTTAAACAAATTAAAATTTTGGGTGGATTCATTTAGAAGTCATGGATCGTAATTTGCACTTTTCAGACAATATGTAAAGATTGTTCAAGAATTAAACCATTTTAATAATCTACTAAAATTTATCATTTAACATTAATGTTTCATCAAAAATCATACTGTATAATAATACGTACATGTAAGTGATTGTTGACTACCGGTATTGTCCATTATTATTTGTTTACTTCCAAATACTGGTACATCAGACCTTAGTAATGCTTTACTAATGAACTTATTAATGTTATTATATTAAATTATGGTGCTTTGAAAATAATTTTTAAAATACTGTTTTTTTAATTTTAATGTACCAGTATTGAATTTGTGTCATTTACTTCTTTGGTAGTATAATTTGAGGATTTTCATACATACATGTGTGTAGAGTAAAACATTTGATATTTGCAATAAACTAGTTTTTGGAGAGAGAGAGAAATGGGGTTTAACGTCCACTCAACACAAACTAGGTCATTTCGGGACTAACATTTGGTTTTAATTTTATTTCAATAATTCGCTTGCGGTGTAGGGGTCTTTAGCAGTGGGAGGAAACCGGAGGATCTGGAGAAAACCCACAAGGTTGGACAGGCTACCCTACTCCTTGTCAAGTACACCTGGGGATTCGAACCCACGCCAGTTGACTCAATGACAGGCCTTATGATAGAGCATGCACGTGATAACCATTCGGCCATCCAACCCCCCATTAGTTTTTGGAATGTTTTTAGAATCTGATATAATTAAAATTCTATCCAGCCCTGTACTTGATGTAGATCTAGTATCATGTAAATATTGTACAGGCTGACATGAAGGCCTACCAGTAAATAATTGCTCCACAATACTGGTACACAGTCCCCGTTGTTTGTATTTTAGAGGAGAGCCAAAAAAAAAGAAAAAAGATTCCCTTAATGAAAAAATTGCTCACCTAAAAGGCTCTCCATGTTTTGATAAGAGTGATTTAGAAATTAAGGAGAGTGGTCTGATATTAGGGAGAGTGATTAGTTGTTTGTATGGGAAATTGTTCTGAAGATCAATAAATGAATTTAAGGGGGGGGTCTTTAAAGGTTTCATACGTGTACATGTAAATGATAATAAACCCCCCATGACCTTGTAAATATTAAGGGGAGGGAGAAAAACCTCCCCTCGGTCGACATTTAGGTGTTCAAAACCGATCGCTCGCCTTATAAAACAATGACTGGGTACATTGTATTTTTTTTTTATAAACAATACATGTATTTTATTCACAGAAAAGGATTGAGGAACAGGCTAGGCCTATATTACCTCTCTCCTATTTGGCATCAATCTATAAAAAAAATCAGCTTTTTTTTTTAAAATAAAATTTATTTGTAAAACTCTAGATAACTATAACCTGAGGTTATCTTCTCAGATATTGTTTTTATCATCCTTAGATACCATACATACTTCTCATATTAGCTCAGTCTACTACCTGTATACTACTATCAATAGTCTCTTACTCAAATCTGGATGATAGATTTGGCACTAGTCCACGCAACCTAATTCCACGTAGCTACACTGTATACTAATAAGCTTCTCTTTCTACACACATAGAATGGCCGCCCACCCACCCCAATTTTACAGGAAGTACATAAATAGAGTCAGCAGACGTACACATTTTTATTATGAATAAGGCTGTATAATCTATGTGGCAATAGGAATGTCTAGGTTCTGTAATCTGTGTGGCAATGAGAAAACAGTAGTATATGTAGATCCAGCATTCACACTGATTGTCATTGATAGCTTTCAATAAAAATAGAAGCTGTTTATAGAAATGTCAAAAAAAAAAAACACCAAAAACTACTGCAAATTTTAATACATGTAGTATTAAATGCATTAACCTTAATTAATAGTAACACAAAATGTAAGATTTCCTCCCATCAACCACTGATCCAGTACCAGGGTGCTGTATAATGTACAGTGTAGTTTCACAACGTCCCTCACCCCCACACACACACACCCCACGCGCACCCCCATGCATTACGGTAACCTTAATACAAAATGTAACATTTCTTCCCATCCCCCATCAACCACTGATCCACTGGGTGCTGTATCTTATCTATAAATGAGTGCCGTCATAAGCAAATTCTGTACAAACAGCTTTAATATTAAAGGCTGTCAATAAATGAGTTTTAACCTTAAAAGGGTTCCTGCAAATAAATGAGTTTTTAAAGAAGTTCCTACAGTCCAAATTTGTTATGGAAATTGAACATATCATTTCGTCGGAAAATATAGGTCATTTGACCTCACCTGTGTCCGCTTTTGTAAGTTCTCGACCATTAGCTTCGGACAATCTAGTCCATAATATATCCAATGTTTTAATATGTTCGATATCACAGTATTTTACAATTTGAAAATCACATTTGTACCGTAACATAGTTGGGAGAATCACTGTACTTTTTTTTATTATTATTATTTTTCTAAGTTCAATATCACAGCATTTCACTATTTGTGAATCACATTAAGTACATGTATATAAACACAGTTTGGAGGAGTCACAAATATTTTTTAGTTTTTTGTAACATGATTGGATTTGTATCCCAGCAGATTAAGTTTGCTTTGGTAAGGGTTCACTGACTTCGTATTAGCCTATATTTTAGGAAGAAAATCAAGAATTTTGTTTCTGTGGTACATAGAAATCTCTTTAATATTTACCTACATGTAGGATGTTGAACATACAGTAACAATGTAGCAGTCTAATAATATTACTAGGTATCACACCTTCACTGCTCGCATGGCAGAAAATTAGCAATTTTTTTTAATTATTTCTTTACACCATATACATGTAACATGTACATTTGGCTGTTTTTAATATTTTGTAATTTATCACCGGTATATTGAAAAGGAACAAAATTTGTTATTCCCGTTTCATATAATTTTTAGGTTCATGTGTTCATTTTATTAATTTCATAGACATACATGTAACCTAATAATAGTAGATCTATTAAAATAAAATAGTGTTCATCTCAAAAACAATTTTATTTTGTTACCGTACATAAAAACATAACGTATGGACTTCATTAATTATAAAAATTTGCATGCATTTTTGGAATGAAACAGCTCTTGGTCTTAGGGTAAAACGACCAATGTAATTTTGGGATGAAACAACCTGCTCCCAGATAAAAGTACCTGGCAAAACTAAATGGGTGGAATAGGTCTGGAAGTGGTGGGAAGAAACAAAATTTTTCACGCAAGTCATCAAAGTCTGACTACAACCTACATGTACATACGTACGCTTTAAATACTAAATATATGAGATCTACAAGTAATCAACTCCTTATTCTCATAAAACCCTATTTCTTATTACTTCCTCATAGATCTACATGTATTTGATTTTTTTCAAAATTTAACTTCGATCTAATTAACAAAAAGTTCACACCTGTATTTATATTTCCCGCTTGTCAAGCTACACAGGTATTCTGATTAGTTGACCGTTTTGTCGACAATACAAAGAATAAACAAATCGAAAGTTTTTAGATCAATCGCAATAAATCCCCTCGCCTCTAAAAAGGATGCTCAAAATTGATGCTGGCTGCTCTCGCTGTTTGTTTACGTCTGTTACCAAAATTTGTTTAAAACGAACATTTTGGTCACTTACCTGCCATCCATATCCAACGGTAGTGTCGGGTCATACCCAACCGTGGAATCCATACTTGTATTTGATTAATATTATCGAGCGATACGCTCATTCAGTCATTATGAATACAGACGACTTGTTATGGTTCACATAATCCGTCCATCTTGAATTTAAACTGAACTTGCGCATGCGCTATGTAATATACGGTCTTCCGTTATGAATTTGGCGCCAAGTTCAATTTGATATATGATTTGATCACCATGACCACCAGACAGAAGCACTCCTCAAATGAAATATTATTGGTAAATTAGAACTACGACAAGATAATAAATAAGCTTATAGTGTTACACCGTATAAGTGTAAAAAAAAACTAAATTGTGATGCAGTATTTTATTTGTATCTGTGGCCAAAATTCTGTGGCTATTGCTGGCCAAAATTCTGTGGCTATTGCTGGCCTAAATTAGTTAAAAAATTGAACCTCGACCATATCATAAGTTCCATGAATCTAATTATGAAATGGTATTAATGATAAATATAACTGTGATATTTATAAATTAAATCTATTAAAACAGGCATTATGTAAGAGTAAGAGCTAAATCTGAAGGTCTTTCTTTGGACCTTAAAAGTTATAAATTATTAATTAGATCAACTCTCAATGCCATCAGATTCCTCCGAATTTAAGTAGAACGGTTCCGTCATTTAATGATTTATTTTAAAAACGGAAAAGGGAGGCTGAGACCCGAATGACCAATAGAGTTGTAAGGTCCATGGTTATGATCAATGCACACATCTTGTCAAAACTACAACCATTGATAACTTTGCTCAAAATAAAATAATTTGAATAATTATGTTTTGGGGGTAGGTTATTTACTCAAACAATGTCTGACCGCCCTTATAGCCTATCAGTTTTGGGAATTTAAAATAACCCACACCGTTTTCTGAAATCCACTGGATCAAGTCTGAGAATAAGATACCTGTCACAGACGTAGGCCCGATTCTGACCACATCATGGACAATCCATGTGGTGACTTTCATTTTATCTGGCACAGAATTGTCTTTTTTTTCAGTCTTTTAATAAATATTTTTAAAACAAAAACTTCTAATTCAATAGACGACTATTATAGTACCGGACATTGAAACTGTTATTTCCAGACATTATGTTTATAATAACATAAAGCAGTTGTCAAAAGTGGTATATCAATGGGATAGTGCATCCCCCCCCCCCCCAACCTAATCGTTGTGGATTGTCATCTTTTCATTATGAAATGAATGAAATGGGGTTTAACGTCCTACTGTTCTGCTCCTAACCTGGGCTAATGAAGACAGGCATATGCCATACAGTGTGCTATGAGGGAAATTTTGCCCGGGCAGCGGCACTATCGCCTACTCTTATATCGAATTCCAACTGCCAAGGGATCTTTTACGTGCATTCCAATGTATACACGAGACCTCGGTTTTTCGTCTCATCCGAAGGATTAGACAGCTGTCCTTGTCAGGCCCTCCGTCCTGCATCACTGACAAGGGGGAACCACTTTTCATTATGAGTGGCATATATTTAGAGAAGGATTTAAAACAATACCATTCCAGTCCTTCACGCTTAAGGTGCACTTTCGCTCCTGCTCCCAGGCCCGTAGCTAGCCGGGGGGGCAAGAGGGACAGCTGCCTCCCCTGGAAAAAATCGCACACCCAATGGTGCCTTTGCCCATTGGGGAAAGAATCGGTTCCCCCAATGGGCGCCGGTTCCATTGGACGCAATACGAAGCCAATTTGCCCCTCTTACTCCCCCACTAGCTACGGGCCTGCCTCCTCTTGACGCACCTCAACTTTCCTACACGGGAGTTATTAAAGACTCGTGCAAATTAGCTGAATTGCTCTCCTAAATATTGAGATTGATAAACTACTTTCAGTTTTTGTTTATTTTGAGCTATCAGTTTCCATGATGATAATTCTGACACTACCATATTCACCAAATATTAAACAAGACTAAGGCATAAACACAATTTGGCTCTCATTAATTCAAGAAAATATAGAATTACTTTTGTAATTTAATTAAAGAGACATTATGTAAGACTTAGATAAAGAGCTAGCCATTCTTGCTATAATAGTTTGAAAATAGATAATGTAAAATAAATAATTTGAAAATTTCATTCGTATTACTCTATTGCGAGCGAAGATACTAACCTTTGGAAGTTTGACAAGACGTGTGCAATAATTTCAACCACCGTAATCAAAATATGGCTGAACTGTTCTAATCTATTTAATATCGGAGAAATCTGATGACATCGAGAGTTGATTATGGCCTGGATAAGTTAATTAATGTCTAATTAATAATTTAGATAACATTTCAGGCCTAAAGAAAGACCTGGAATAGGCAGATTTAGCTCTTGCATAATGTATGTTTAATGTATGCGAGTTCTTTTACAGGAGCTTTTTTCTCATTTTTGAAATTGGCAGGAGCTTTTTATGGCTCTCGCAGAATTTTATAAACGTGAAGAACTACCATTCATCATTAGCCTGGTGGTAGCCCCAATTGGTGCTGAAAAGTGGGACATTAAATCTCAGTTCATTAAACTATAACCAATCTGATTAAAACACAGATCCTATTTTTTAATTGTCTTCACAACACTAGGATCTGAGTCCTGTTTCTCAAAAACTTAACTAAAGATAAAAATCAAAATTTTAGTAGATACTTTAATTTTGATTGGCTTAGCACTAAAATCAATCTAATATTATCCAATCAAATTACTAAAATCTTGATTTTTATCTTAGTTAAAATTTCGTGAAACAGGCCCCTTACATGTTCTGAATGATGTGAAGGATTAGCCAATGAAATGGTCTGTTAAAAGGCAAGCCTTTGGCGTGAGGTGCACGGAACTGTGGGTAATCCACTAGAAACATCAATGCTGAATGGTTAATCAAATGTCTAATGACATTCATAGGGTCAAAAGCAGCTCGTATGACCTCTGGCGGGACCTCCCAAAACAACTGGTCAGATCTTCATGTAGTGTGTAAGCCATCGAAAGTATAAAAAAATGAAACGTAATATAGATCTGTAATTTAATCAGACTGAACTATAACACTCTCAAAATCTGTATCATATCATCGCCATAACAACATATCCCAGAAGAAATGAAATGAAATGGGGTTTAACATCCTACTGTTCTGCTCCGAACTGGGCTAATGAAGATGGGCATACGCCATACAGTGTGCTATGAGGGAAATTTTGCCCGGATAACAGCACTACAGCCTACTCTTATATCAAATTCCAACTGTCACGGGATCTTTTACATGCATGTCAATGCGTACAAGGACAGTCGACACTGGACCTCGGTTTTCCGTCCCATCCGAATGACTAGACAGCTGTCCTTGTCAGTCCCTCCGTCTTGCATCACATATCCCAGAAGGTTCAATAGTGCTGTTTAGAGTGATTGATCCAGGTAAGGGGCTTTTGGGCCCGGGCTCGCTCTAAATAATATTTTCAAAAAATTCACTTATATGTTTCTATTAAACGTCTAAATTTGAGATTTTTGTTGCTTGTTGGGATGTTATATTGAGTTCGAGATATGCACCACAAATAACCATTGACACCCCAATATTTCAAAATTTTCTGGGGAACTCTCACTTCCAAAGGAATATCCTGTATTGGCCACTGACTGTATAAAGAGGCAATAGGAAGTATGATATATTTTAAATTGAGATTTTAATTTTATATATATAGAAAAAATTGATATTAATTATTTAAATGAACAAAAATGGTATAATAATACACTTCATTGCAAGTCCTGATTTCTACAATCATATCCACTATCCGTTAAAAAAACAGTATTAATTTATGAAAAAAAAAAGGGTAGCACTAAGAGTAAGTATCAAAAACAGGTTTAATTTTTATGACATACATAGTTACCTCCCCTCTACCATGCACTGACCAGGGTTATATTCATACATGTAAAAGAATCATTGAAGTCTTCATATCTAAATTTGAATAATGCTTACAAATATTTGCCTCAACACAAAGAAGTCATCATTTATGTATGACGTGTTTGTAATCTATTTATAATCAATGAGTATGTTCAGCAACCAGTGTTACCTCAGACAGTATTTAAAAAACAATCCACTATGATTACAGGACAATACACATGCACAATTGATAATAAAGTCTTACAAATAAATATTATATTGAAAATATCAAATTTAATTTGGCTTTGGTATAAAATAAAATTCACATAACAACAAAGATTTAATAAATAAAAAATTTTATGACCAATATAAAAATACATTTGACAAAGGATTTATAATAAAGGTATGTGTATTGTTAAAGTTTTATATAGTGAAATGTACATGGACCTGTACTATTTTTGGCCAGTATGAATAAGATAAGAGAATAAATAAGGCAAATACAATTTAACAGTAAAAACACACAAAAAAATCACTTTATTAAGACACAAACTATTAATATATTTGGTATAGATGACTTTGTATGTAAATGTAAGTACACATATCGTCACGCTAATGCAATGATAGACACAATTATCCCTATAGAACTTAAGACAGCCCCAAACCACCCCTCAGGCCCACAGCTGTGGCGCACACAAAACGGTCTCATAATACCGAAAGCTATTCACATATTTCGGGTGGTTGAGGAGGTTAAAGGAACAGCAGTTTTGGTCTGTTCCAGGTTGTAACAGTATTAACAGGGCTTCCACATCAAAATTTTGACTGTCGGTCACTTTTGACAACGCACAGAAACGTTGCAAATTAAATTCATATTTCATGTTTTTTATTTACAGTACGGTATTGTAAATTCATGTGTCACAATGATAATTATTTATTAATGAAATAGTCCCTTTTATTATCAAAATTTCTTCTGAGGTATCAATATATAGAGTTCTCTTTTTCTTTAATGTACTAGGGAAGGAAATATTTACATGTATCAAATGCTGAAGGATTAAATGTCTGAATTATATTAGAAATACAGGTTGATGTTATCTGCTTGCAAGATGAATGATCAAGAAAAATTTAAATGAAGGGGTAATAAATGAGACATAACTTGTAGGTGACTAGTTCTGTATTGTTGCTTGTATATTAAAGATCTTTAATAAAAAAATAAAAAATAAATTGCTTATTGAATAGCTTTTACCCAATCACTAATATTAATAAAAATATTAAAGTCTTTTTGGGGTTCTGTTTCTTGGCAGTTTTCCATAGGTTCTCTTTTTAAAAAGTTCTGTCAAATATTCACATTATACATGTATAGAGCGAGAAATAGGGTTTAATGTTCACTCGGCACAAACTAGGTCATTTAGGGACTAACACATGGTTCAAATTTATTTCAACAATTTGCTTGCGCGTAGGGGTCTTTAGCAGTGGGAGGAAACCGGAAGACCCAGAGAAAACCCACGAGGTTGGACAGACGACCCTACTCCTTGCCAAGTACAACCGGGGAATCTAAACCACACCAGTTGACTCAATGACAGACCTTATGATACAGCGGGCACGTGCTAACAATTCGGCCATCAAACCCCCCTATACATGTATAGATAATTATGGATAATTAGTATTCTGTTAGTTTTGATATCGAATCCAAGTAATTTCTTCTCTCAAAGCTGTTCAGCTTGCGTAACTTCATCCTACTTATTATTATAACTCACACTGTATTTGATTAAATTTGTTGGTGTTTCAAAGATATTATCTATCAAAGCTTATAATAAAAATTAGTTCAGGAAAAATTATTATTGAATAATCAGTCGGGTATTCTTTCTCGGAAAAAACAATGTGGGTTACCGAAAACGTTATTCCTTATTTTTTTCAGTTATGTGTCCGATATTCAGTAAACTTAGTGATACTTAGTGGAAATTTACATTGTCGGTTACAGCAAACATTATTATTCCTTGTTTTTTTCACAACACATCTGTAAGTTATGTGTTTGATTATTCAGTAAATGTTCTGACACTTAGTTGACTTAGTGGAAATTTACAGCAATATTATTCACCTGATTTTGTATTATTATCACTCAGCCTTTTAATACAATGACAATATTTTCATGAACAACCTCAAGATTATAAGTGGGTTGAATTGAAACACCCATTGATGAACAGGTTGGTGTTTCGTTGATATGATTGTTACATGTCTATTCATAATAAACACCAAACACAGAAGCCACGGCATATAAAGAGTTATTCTTGAATTCGTGCATTGCAAATGTGTCACAACTGGGATCCCACAAACAGCGACTACCGACACGCATTGATTGGTCAAGTAGTTGACCAATGTGAACCATACAGATAATTTTATAACGTGGAATTTCCATATCTTTAACTCGAGCTTTGATAACATCGGAAATAGTTTTTGTCATCTGCTTGCACAAATTTGCGTCATAATGTTCGTCTGCCAGATAGCCTTCCAGAACATCCTTTATCATATTCTGTATTCGACCATATGGTACTTTCTTGTTTGGTTGTAGCTGGTACGTGTTTTCGTATTTAATTGGAGGTCGTATTTCGTCAGGGTTTGGCTCGTCGAGATAAGAAATAGTGCTTATTGAATCGAACTTGTCCGGCTTCGATCGTTCTGTCGCTTTCTGTTCACCACTTGTTAAGGATGAAACACTTCCCTGCTTTCTGAGCAGCCGAGCTGCTTTTTCCTTCGCTGTGCTTCTATCGGACATTTTTAGAGAAATAATACAAACGACTGACAGCAGTTTCAGGATTGGAAAGCAATTTTGTTGTTTACGAACGCCGCCATTGACCGGAAATGGTTACCAAGGTTAAAGGGGAGACAAGCATATTAGAAATAGTCGTGATTATCCAGAAATACTGATAATTTTACTACTCTTTCATCCAATTAATGACGTATATTATAAACGCCATTGCCTCTCATGCTGCAGATATACTGTAACTGAAATAATTTCATTTTATAAAAAAAACAAAACAGCTTTCTTATTTGATTATTCATTTTTAATCATATTTCATCTTCAGCCAACGTGCATTAAAAAAGAAAAATGAAACTGAAACTTGGACGGAGCGAAAAAATAATCCAAAAATTAAGTTAATTAACCGCATAGCCTAAATTATGCATGAACAAATCTGCCTATTGCAGGTCTTTAAACTTAAGGCCTTAATTGTTACATAAACTATTAATTAGACATTTTATTAATATGAAAAAAAACATAATCCATTATGTGTCCGATTTTCATTTGATTTGAATCCGATCTGCTGTTCAACGAGCATTGATGATTAAACGCAAAAATGGATAATCGAGACTGTTTTGTATCGTACCGACTTTAGTAATGATGACTGAGGCTAGACCTAAAATTCAATTGCTAATATCTCGGCCTGTTCAGAGTGGATCAATTTGACTGAAATTTACAGCATATCGCGCCCTTTACATTATTTAGATTTTTAAAACTATTATAGTTAATCTTCCATAATGCCCCTTTAAATCTGAATATTTATTAATTTATTATAATATCTAACAACCAGACCCGTAACTAGGGAGGTGCAGAGGGGTGGGGGGCAAAAGTTTCGCCCCCCCCCCCCGTAAATATTTTGTACAGCACCCCCAAGAACACACGCCCCCCCCCCCCCCTCTTGGTTACTCTGAGCTAGTTACGACCCTGCAAACAACACTTCTCACAAACATTTCTAATATTAATATGATCTACAATAGTCTGATTTCTCACGATTTTGACGTTCTTTCAAGGATCGCGGGGCCCCGATTGGTGGACTATATCTGTTGCAGCCAACAAGAGGGGCCACATGTTAAAATAAAAAGTAGACTATACACATATTAATAAATATTTAATTTGATTGAAACACAGATCCTATTTCGTTTCGTTTTGTACAGTTCAAAATTTCGTTTTACTTGTCTTTACTACACTAGGACTGACTAGGGTCTGGAATAGTTGTTATATAACAGGCTTTCTGGTTGAAGTGAGGGATTAGCCACGGAAACGGTCTGTTGCGACGAGTTCTTGACGTGCGATGCACGGAACTGTGGGTAAACCACTAGAAACGTCAACGCCGATTGATTAATCAATGTCTGACGTCATAGGGTTAAAAGCCTCTGTACGACCCCCGAGGCAACCTTCCAATACAACTGGTCAGATCTTCATGTAATGTAGGCCATCGAAAGTATAAAAAAAAACGAAACGAAATATAGATCTGTATTTTAATCAGATTGATAAATACTGGCGGGAAATTGGCGGGAAATTATGATTTCCCTAAAAACATTACTTTTTAATTCCGCTGCACACCTCTATATATGGGGGGAGGGAGGGGGTGTATTTTTGAGGACAGAAACCACTTGGTTCAAAATTAGCCAATGAAGCGGTCTGTTACCGCGAGTTCTTGGCGTGCTCTGCACGGAACTGTGGGTAAACCCCCAGAAACGTCAACGCTGATTGATTAATCAATGTTTGACGTCATAGGGTCAAAAGCCGCTCGTATGACTCCTGACGCGACCTCCCAGTACAACTGGTCAGATCTTCATGTAGTGTAGGCCATCAAAAGTATAAGAAAACCCAAACGAAATAGGCCTATACATTTGTATTTTAACCGGTTTGCTTTTTCGTTCAGTACGAATTTCGTTATTCCAAATATTAAATTATAATGGTACTTTTCAAGAGATCTGGAAATGTACATAAAAACACAGTAAATCAGAGACATGTTTAGATATTAGTTTATTCTTAATCTTCATCAGAAGATTCAAAATCAAAGTTCATAATATGAGCGGGATAGATATCTTCTGGATCGCTAATCAACACCTCGCACATTGTAAATCTTCATTCCTCGATGATATCTCGAAAACGTCCCCTCAAACGCCTGATCACCACCCAGATTCGGAATCTACGCAAAAAACTGGTCTAGAAAAACTTGGTCTCATAAATTCACAGCTCGGGTGGCGATTCCCCCCCCCCACCCCTTCACCCACCGGACTATTACTACAGTTCTGAATGTAACATCGGGTCACAATGGTAGCAGGCGAAATGATGTTTCTCTTGGGTTGGCCCAAATGAAAATTCCCACAAAGTTTTAAAAACTCCATTGCCCTCACAGACCTTTGGGGTGCCGCGGTGGGTCAGTGGGTAACCTAGATGTCTCGGGTTCAACCCCGGAGTTGACCGAAAAAGTTAATCGGGATTTTCCGGTGTGGTATCCCTTTGTTAGTAGGGTAAAGCGGAGGGCATCGACAGTATAAGAAATGCATCTCAGTAGTAGAATTCCTTTGAGCCAGGCGGTGGTTAGATCTGTTTCTCAAGGCCACCTTCATAACTGGTCAAAGGCCACGAGATGTAAACAGGATCATTGGTAACCCTAACCCTGGACATAACCCTTACCCAAACCCTAACCCACAATCTCGTCAACAATCACGTATACCGTAACCTTATTTACATCCCAGCGACCTTGACGAAATTACTCTGGAGAAATAGATGGCAAATCATGAGATCTTTCGACTAGGAGCGATGCAGCGTGCAGTCGCTAGGACGAGTATCCGTAGTACCGGCGTGCACACGTATAAGAACCCACGACAGTTTGAATTTGAAATAAGAGTAGCCCGTAGCGCCGCTGTCCGGGCAAAATTTCCCTTATAGAAAATTGCATGGCGCATGCCCGTCTTCGTTAGCCAACCTGCTCGGTGCAGAAAAATGGGACGTAATAGGCCTACCCCATTTCATTACATTTCTATAAACATGTAATGGTCGCAATGACCCAATACACGACTATAAAATAATATTTAATTAATTTATAAATGACCTTTTATAAACCGAATTTGACCTTGTCACATATTTTTGATTGACATAATGTTTTTATAATAATATGGAATATTTACCTCTGTACTGTCATACATTAAATTCCGCACACTGTTTACTCGGGTAAAATAGCTTATTTATAATATGGAAAGTTATTCATCTATTCGGAATGCTGGGTAAGGGTTAGGCCTAGGGTTATCCGCCCGCTTCCTCAACAACAATCCTCGTGGACGGGTGGGGATTTTCTATGCCCCCGCCCAAATCTATTTGTTAAATGTAAATAAGGTTAACGCACGTGATTTTTGGCGAAATTGTAGGTTAGGGTTAGGGTAAGCATTGGGGCTATAGTCTAAGGTTAGGGTTAGGGTTGGGATTAGCGCTAGTCCTGTTTACATCTCTTGACCTTCGACCAAACTTGAAGTTGGTCTTATCAAATAGATATACCCATAGGCGTAGGAGCTCAAAGTAATTCAGGGGGGCATAGGAGAAAATTGCCCGAAATCAATACCGTTTTTTCGGGCATACATATCATAAGAGAGCTTCGGGCATATTTTCGGGCATGCAGTGGACAAGAAAAAGACGAGAAAATACTTTTCGGGCAGTGTGGATCTCATAGAAATAAGTTAGTTATATTTTTTCTCTAAACGTTAATAGAAAAAATAAGTCGTGGAATTTTTCATTGCCCGAAAATAAATCCTACGCCTATGGATATACCTCCACCCTCCTTTTACATAGAGCCCTTTAACGGATATAATATCCGGTCCCGGATTCACAAAGCATTCTCAGACCTTTTTACTCAACTTTCAAGCACTGTTTATGAGAAATATCTTTGATCCATTCCAGAAACTCAAAACTTTGCACATATATAGTTTCTTTTTGATGTATTTGATACATGAAAACAACAAAAGTTTTATAGCGGGATATATTTTAGTTAAAATAAGGCGAACAATTTCGAGTAAATTCTTAACTTAAGTCTAGGAATGTTTTGTGAAACCGGAGCCTGATGGATACTTTATTTCGACTGTATATTTAGACACTGGGAAAAGGTTCTTATTTGGATTTGTTCCGCTTTTCTGAAAGACAAGACAAATACAGGCGTTTTACGTGTAGTAACTTCCAATTTACCAGTCGTACATCTATTTCAGGAGAAAAAATAAATATCAAATTTATAGATACGATTGAATGGGTGGAACCACGGTGGCTCACTAGGCGTGGTACTGACTCATTAATCGGTCCCGATTTCGAAACGGTTGAATGGATAGAACCACAGTATCGATCCCGGGTTTTTTTTCAGCGTGGTTGGGAGAAAAGTTGCGGTCCAGTTTATAAAGAGACGTGTCTTAAAAATAACTCGTGACTGGTGGAATTCGACGAAGAGTGGACGTAAGCGCCGGTATTCGGACAAAATCTCCCCCATACAACACTGCACGGCGGGTTAGGGCTAAAAGTAGATTTCGACATAGGTCACGAGATGTAAATAGGACAAGGTGTAGAGCCAGGGCTCACACTGGCTTTCGATGTTTTTCCGCCAAAATGGATAATAATTTTTATAGAATAAAAAGTTCATATTTTGTTTTCGCCAACTGGAATATTTTATCTGCCAAAAATGCGTGATAAAAAAAGACATGTAACCTAACCCTAACCCACAATCTCGTCAACAATCACGTGGCCTAGACCCTATTTATATCCCGTGACTACGAAATCTGCCATGGGCCTTAGCTTTTAGCCTTTACCCCGTCTTCATTGGCTAGGTTGATGGGCAGCCACGGTGGCTAGGTGGGTAAGACGCTGGCTCGCTCCCGTTGTTGAGCGAGAAAGTTTATTTGGATATTCTGGTGGTTACCCCTTGTCAGAGGTGCAGGACGCTGGGCCTGACAAGGATAGCTAACTAGTCGTTCGGATGGGACGAAAAAACGAGGCCCCGTCAACACGTAAAAGACCCCTTGGTAGATGGAATTCGATATTTAGAGTAGGCCATACCATAGCGCCGCTGTCCGGGCAAAATTTTCCTCATGCCACACTGTATGGCGTATGCCTGTCTTCATAAGCCCAGTCGGAGCTGAACAGTAGGATGTTTAAACCCCATATCATTTTAATCCATTTAGCCCAGTTGATGGAGAAAAATAGTACGCAACTGTGACTGTATTAGCTTCATTAGACGGTGGAATGTAAATCATTTATTTCTGTCTTGTCTACGGCCAAGAAATACGAGACACTGTTGCACCCTTTAAAACACTTTGAATTAAAATAATATATCATAAAATAACCACTCGGTCATACACAGGCCAATCGCACACTTCAAAATTCTCTTTCTTCTGATCGTAAAATATTCTCAAACGAATGACCTCCTCGCCACAATCCTTTCTATACACAAGAAGTGAATGGTACGACCATTTCCTTAAATTAAGATCAAATTAGCTTTGACGTTTAAAATCCCATCTGAACTATCGTTTCCTTTAGATATAAATAGTGACGGATGCCGTCGCATTCTCTAGATCAAAATAAAATGAAATGGGGTTGAGCGCCCCACCACCCTGGTTAATGAAGAGGGGCATATAGGCCTACCCCATGCATGCAGTGTGCTATAAGGGTAGTTGTTTTCGTCTGTCAAGGATTCTCAGACGTGTCCACCGACGGGTACATGAATGAAACTCATCCCAGGCGAACGACTACACAGGCCATCGGTCCTGCACCACGGAATCCCGGAGATTTTTCACTGGCCCCCATCCTACGGGATCGATGCCCAGATAATCCCCTGCTTCTATTATTACGAATCAAATCAGGGCAAATATTTGAAATTAGATTTTGATTAGTGATTAGTGAATTTTTAAAGGAATCTAAAGGTCCCCCCCCCCCCCACCTCCACCCCACACCCCCGGACGCGAGACACACTATAATCTTATACTGCTTATTCTGATTCTAATTGGTATTCATTATGATGTTACACGTTTACTTAAATAGAAACGAAATGGGGTTTAACGTCCCATGCTCCGACTGCTTAAATAGAACCAAATGCGAATGATTTGTACATGCCAACATCATCGGTATTTATTGGCTATAGCCCAACTGCTTTTCTTCTTTTATTTTTATACAAAGAAGTGGGGCAATTAAGTGGAGAGTGGGACATTTGCCCAACTACTTATGATACTTGCCCTGGTCGTGATTCGAACCCGGTCGCTGATAACAAATGGGGTTTGTCATTTTGACGAAACAACACCATGGTCGATTTGAGACTAACATATATACTCTTCGTAGTGTTTCGTTTGATTAGACCTAATCCCACAATCTGTTTCACAGAGTATTACGAAAATCTTCTAATATCTCTGTAAACGATGACTGCCTTCAACAAATGACGTCATATCACGCGGCGTCAATCATCGGCTCAATGGCGCGTGCATTGTTTACATAAGAAGTTACAGATTCGAGTAGAATGGCGACTTTTGCTCATTTTAATACCCATTTAAACTAAAATAGGAAATAATTTTTACCTACAAATACAAATGAAAAAGTTAATATTTGTAGTCCATTAAGTCGCATCGATGTCATCCTTATCAGTGATTGTCTCGGCCTAGCGCATATTCACTGCGGATCAGTGTGCTAATCCCACTCAAGACATTACCTATGCGAGTATTGATGTTTGTTCCCGATACATCCAAGGGTAATATTTTTCTTGAAATCGGCATCAACAAACACTAGGATTTTTTTTTTTTTTAAAAGTCATGAAAATTCCCTATATTATACTCAGGAGAGATTTGATTGGACGATCAGAATGGACACGCCCCGTCAAAAACTCAAGTTTTCAGTCTCAACACAGCAATAGCTAGAAAGGGATTTCTCGGGCCATTGTTTCAGGAATATGCTAATATAGGGCAATCGTAATTACTGTGGGTGTAAAGAAGTGGGGCAATTAAGTGGAGAGTGGGACATTTGCCCAACTACTTATGATACTTGCCCTGGTCGTGATTCGAACCCGGTCGCTGATAACAAATGGGGTTTGTCATTTTGACGAAACAACACCATGGTCGATTTGAGACTAACATATATACTCTTCGTAGTGTTTCGTTTGATTAGACCTAATCCCACAATCTGTTTCACAGAGTATTACGAAAATCTTCTAATATCTCTGTAAAAGATGACTGCCTTCAACAAATGACGTCATATCACGCGGCGTCAATCATCGGCTCAATGGCGCGTGCATTGTTTACATAAGAAGTTACAGATTCGAGTAGAATGGCGACTTTTGCTCATTTTAATACCCATTTAAACTAAAATAGGAAATAATTTTTACCTACAAATACAAATGAAAAAGTTAATATTTGTAGTCCATTAAGTCGCATCGATGTCATCCTTATCAGTGATTGTCTCGGCCTAGCGCATATTCACTGCGGATCAGTGTGCTAATCCCACTCAAGACATTACCTATGCGAGTATTGATGTTTGTTCCCGATACATCCAAGGGTAATATTTTTCTTGAAATCGGCATCAACAAACACTAGGATTTTTTTTTTTTTTAAAAGTCATGAAAATTCCCTATATTATACTCAGGAGAGATTTGATTGGACGATCAGAATGGACACGCCCCGTCAAAAACTCAAGTTTTCAGTCTCAACACAGCAATAGCTAGAAAGGGATTTCTCGGGCCATTGTTTCAGGAATATGCTAATATAGGGCAATCGTAATTACTGTGGGTGTACTGCAATGGTGTAGTACTGTCCTGGCGTTTTATCTATACGTCCACAGGCCTGTCCGCAAAAACAAAAACTGTATGTGTAAAGACTATTATCATACAGCCATGACCAGACGATACAAACATGACGTCATTGTGTTTACAGGAATAGATAAACGAACACACGATGAAACATATCATAGCAAACAAACAGACAATGTACCTCTTGTAATCTACAAATGATCAATAAAATTAATGATCCGGTTACATAACACGCTCTCATATACAACAAGGGCGAACAGAATTCTTATCTACCGGAATTAACCGAGAAGTCCCGAGTGGCTGCTTTTGACTAATTACTGCTTTTGTTTCCATCAACTGACCTCACCCTTTCCGACTGATTAGAGATTATTTCAGGAATTTTTCACCAGGACGTACGCCCAAAACTCATTCGCAGAAAAGTGACGAATTATCGGAAATATTTTGACAAACTTTTTTAGCAGAAGAAACGTGACGAAATATATAGTTAGGATATTTTAAAGTTAAAACAATTTGGAAGTTATTTTATTATTTAAGCGCCGCGACCTGCTCCCATTAAATAATTTGTAATCGTGACGCGACGGTGTCAGATGATTTTCTAAATCAAATATTATTTAGGCGGTGATATGAACTGTGAACATTTGAAACAATATTTGGCGAGTTTTAACAAATGATACGGGATAAATTTCAGGCATCTAATTAATTTTAATTAAAAGTGTAAACTGATATATACTGCCAGACTCTATGATAAAATGTCGGATGTGACGGGATTTGGGTTATTATTTCTATGTGTTGGTTTTATTTTACTACAGAAAGGTAGGTTTATAATATTTTTACTTTTATACAATATCTAGCGGTGGCTTAATGCTCTGTACCCCCGAAACACGCGTCCAAACTCGATTTTCAGTTCACTTATTTGGGGCAAGAAGCCCCGCGAGCAATACAAGTTGGAAATTAAATAAGTGAGGATTAACTACTTGTCTGTGCCATCCGGGATATTGCAATGTGCTATGAGGAACATTTTGCCCGGATAGCGCCTATTGTTCGTCGAATTCCATGTTCTTTTATATGTACACCAATGTGTACGCGGGTGGTCCTCGGATTTTTGTGTCATTCAAATGACTATAGCCGCTTTTTTGTGGTGCAGGACGGGGGGTCCTGGTAAGGTCAGTGGTGCAGGACGGGGGGTCCTGGTAAGGATCAGTGGTGCAGGACGGATAGGCTGACAAGGATCGGGGGTGCAGGACGGAGGGTTTGACAGGGGTTGGTGGTGCAGGACGGATGGCCTGACAAGGACCAGTGTCTAGTTTGAACGAAAAATCAAGACCCCGTGTGCACATTGAAATGCACGTAAAAGAACCCTTGACAGTTGGAATTCGAAATAAAAGTAGCCCACTGTCCGGACAAATGTGTATGGTGCATGCTCGTCTTCATTAAACCAGTCAGTAGGTCCTTAAACCCCATTTAATTTAATTTCATATTTTTTAATCATTCGACATGGTAAAAAATATTCTGAAATTGAATTATACCGTGAAAAGGAATGAACTGGGCTGCTCCGACTAAATCATACAGGACGGATAAGTCTATTTATATTTCCCATTCCACATTTAGAAGTTGTAATCAGATTAATATATATAATACATCTTATGCTTCAAAGCTTCTTAAATTCATATAGTCACTCGAGAACGACTCTTTTGGAAGAAGGGCCTGAAAAGGACAGCTTTCTAGTCGTGTACACATTGGAGTGCACGTAAAAGATCCCTTGACAGTTGGAATTCGATATAAGAGTAGGCCGTACTGCCGCTGTCCGGGCAAACTTTCCCTCATAGCGCACTGTATGGTATGGCGTATGCCCGTCTTCGTTAGCACAGTTCAGAGCAGAACAGTAGCACGTTAAACCCCACTTCATTTCGTTTCATTTCATTTCTTTAAGGAAATTTGAAACGTCCTGTATTTTCAAATTTAAAAATGAAAACATATTTTAGATATTTTAATTACAGAATAGAAATTATGAATTTTAATACGATTATTATACCAATGTATTCAACAATTTAAAAAAAATTAAAACATATTTTAGATATTTTATTTACAGAATAGAAATTATGAATTTTAATACGATTATTATACCAATGTATTCTACAATTTTAATAAAAAATGAAAACATATTTTAGATATTTTAATTACAGAATAGAAATTATGAATTTTAATACGTTGATTATACCAATGTATTCAACAATTTAAAATAAAAAGAAAACATATTTTAGATATTTTAATACAGAATAGAAATTATGAATTTTAATACGATAACTATACGAATGTATACAACAGTTAAATAAATAAAGAGCCGATCCTTTAAATATTAATTAATAATAAATTAATAATTGAATTATATATCAAAGGAGTCGTCGTTTTTCTTTTATTTCACAAGCATGGGAAAACACGACGAATAGTCAGAGTACAGGATATTGTCCTCACTTATTTCCTTTTAAAATAATTAAAGCTAGTTTGCCTGCAAATGGCACAAGTAAATTTATAATATTGGAAGGGGATTGAATGGCCGAATAACGTTGTATCATAAGTCCCGAAATGACCTAGTTTGTGTCGTTGGAGGGGGGGGGGGATGGCTGAATGGTTAGCACGTGCGCACTGTATCATAAAGCCTGTCATTGAGTCAACTGGCGTGGTTTCGAATCCCCGGTTGTACGTGACAAGGAGTAGGGTCGCCTGTCCAACCTTGCGGGTTTTCTCCGGGTCCTCCGGTTTCCTCCCACTGCTAAAGACCCCTACGCGCAAGCGAATTATTGAAATAAAAATTGAAGCATATGATAGTCCCGAAATGACCTAGTTTGTGTCGTTGGTCTTGTCAAGGGTCTGGTATGACGTACATGTCGTTGTGTACAGGGGGAACTCGATTTTACGGTTCATCCGAACGACTAGACAATGTTCCTTGCTTGGCCCTCATATCAGCCCTGCACCACTGACTTTCTTAGACCGCTGAATTCGCTAATAAAATTTAAAAAAATTGTTATAGCAATATGTGCGAACATATAGTCTACGTCTTCAAAATATTTGTAGCCCCGATGACTTAATAGGGTATATGTACGTACGGACTCGTGAAAATATGTAATATCCAAACATTTTCGTGATGAAATATGAATTAAATTATTAGTTTTATGAATTATATATATAAATCATCAGAAGGGAGGGTTGTACGGTGATTGACATCTGTTTTGGATTTTTATAACAAACAAAATATATATCCGTCTCGAATATAACAAAATAACGAGCTAAATTAAGTTTATGAAATGAAATGAAATACAGGGTTTGAATTAAAAAGATCCGCACCCGGTTCTCAGAAAATGGTACGTTGGTGTCCTACATAATGTTTTAATTTAAATAAAATAAATCTGAAGTTTGAAGAAATGGTACATAAATCTCGGTCTCTGTGATAGTTTCTCTAAAATAATTTTGTGAAGTTAAGTCCACGATGAAATGAAATGGGGTTTACTTTTTTGCACCAACCGGGAACTGTACGACCAACACCTGCCCAACCTCGTGAGTTTTCTCCCGAGAACCCCGGTTTCCTCTCACTGTTAAAGACCCCTGTGCAGTTTGTGTCGAGTGGACGTCAACACCCGCCTCTCTCTCTCTCTCTCTCTCTCTCTCTCCCTCTCTCTTTACGACCAACTTTTAAGCTCACACCCACGTGTACACGAGGCGTCAGATTTTCGTCCCAACTGGAGTTTATCAAAACTATATTATAAACACTCTATAGAGTCTACATTAAGGAGATCGGAAATTCTTACACATTGAGATAAATTTCCGTATTGAAATAACGTCTTCCACCGGAATGAAAATAGACAACGCCTACACAAATGGGGTGGGAAACGTCTAGTTTGATTTGGTCAATTCGGGCGATAAAATTAACTCCAATTCTTAATAAAGAGTGAAGAATGGATAAATGGATGGTTGTTGAAGTTAAGAGGCATCAAATTCAAGTTTATACAACGATTGGTTAAAGGACGTTGTCAACATTCTTTCATGTCGTCGCCCAATTACACTTACACTTGAATTAAAGGCATACTTTTAAAGATGCATTATGTAAAAGAGAGAGAGAGAGGGTTTAACGTCCACTCGACACAAACTAGGTCATTTCGGAACTAACATATGGTTTAATTTTATTTCAATAATTCGCTTGCCCGTAGGGGTCTTTAGCAGTGGGAGAAAACCGGAGGACCTGGAGAAAACCCACGAGGTTGGACAGGCGACCCTACTCCTTGTCACGTACAACTGGGGAATCGAAACCACGCCAGTCGACTCAATGACAGACTTTATGATACAGCTCGCACACGCTAACCATTCAGCCCCCCACCCCAAGCATTATGTAAGAGCTAAATCGGCCTAATGCAGGTCCTTATTTTGACTTTAAATGTTATATAAAATATTATTTAGTCATTTATTAACATGGCATACCTATCATCAACTCTCTAGATCATCGGATGGTGGAGATTTAAACGGATTAAAACACGGTCGCCATTTAATTCAAAAATGGCGAATAGAGGCTAAGTCTCGAACAACAAGTACCGTTGTTACGATAATAAACAATCCATGCCACATTTTGTTAAAACTCCATACAATGATAGCTTCGCTCAGAATACAGTAATTTGAATGAAATTTTCAATATATTCATTTTACATTATCTATTTTTAAAGTTTTCTTTTTACTCGGTGAGCCACCACGCCCCCCCCCCCCTCCCAACACACACACCATTTAGTTTCGAAAAGATAAGGGTGTTCATATATTGCCGTCACCCCCGTCTGTTGAATTTTAAAGATGGCCGAAACACGAAACATATTCGCAGAACAATGATTCATGATAATTTATTCAAATTTCTCATAAGCTATGGGATAATTTCCATATTTTCGAAATATTACTGCCCTCAAAATGTTTCTGAGCACCCCTTCCCTGAGGTTGTAAAGATATCATTCTCTTTTTCCGCGTGCACAGGTGGTTTTATAATATTATGTACCTGCTAATTCTCGCAGTTCTCTATAACCCGACCCATTCTAATATTATCAGGGGTCAAAGTTGAGTGTTATCTAAAGGTTAAAGGTTAATGTTATCTGGTATGATAATGAAGCAGTGTCTGTATGTTTTAATTATATTTTATTGTCTGTAGTTAGAATGATAATGTAAACATGTAGAGAGTCAGATATTCCACACGAATAAAGCGCAGATATAAATAGCAATCACTGGCCATATTATGGAGCGGAATTCACGGTATAATATTAACCCTATCACAATAATGTAAACATGGCAAGCGTCAGCCATGTTATACAAATATAGCACGAGTACACAAAAATTGACCATATTATTAAGGAGTGGAATTCACGGCACAATAATGAACATTATACAAATATAGCACATTATAACACACACTGACCATATTACTATGGAACGGCAGATATGACAATTATTTGTCAAATTAGAATTATAGCAACTTTCATTATTTGTTTTAGGTTCAATTTCAGCGGTACCGGCGAGAACTACGCCATATCAAGTCCGTAAGTTGATTTTTTAAATTTCGCCCTTTGTCGAAAATAGATAATTTTAATGCATGATTAGCTGCTGATAAAACATCTTTTTTTATTCTTTCTTTATACTTCCTTTTCTTATGAAGCTGTCTCACTGTCTCTCTTGGCCTAGACAGTTCCTCTTGTCTAACGAACGCAGAGCTTGGCAAGAACGGGTGTCTAGTGTCTAGTTCTTAGGGTTAATTGCAAATCTTTCTTTATTAAAGATGCATTATGTCAGATTTAGATAAGAGCTGGCTGTCAAATTACTTTATTCTTATAAGGAAGTTATGGAGGTTAGACGTTTTGACAAGAGAGTCTCGATTATCACGTACCATTGCCACGATAATATGCACTAAGTCTCCATTATCCATTTTAAAGTGAAATTATTAGATGACGTCTGTGTTCTATTCCATTCAATATCTAAGCCACCCGAAGTTCTAGAGAGTTGATTATGGGCTTGTGCATAAATGTCTGGATAATAGTTTTAACACTTAAAGTCAGAAATAAATACCGACAAAAGGCAGATTTAGCTCTTACATAATGCATCTTTAAATGCACGTCTTGTTTTCAGATATTTCTGTATCCACATTCTATATTTCTGTCTTTCTATCTTTCTATTAGCTGAAGTTTGTAATGAGGGGATGAGTCCATGTCCTTATAGTAAAGAATGTCGAATGGACCTTAAAAACTGTCCAACTGGTAAGACTTTCGTTTACATGTAAACTTTGGTATTCCTTGATCATCGGCACCAGAAATTGGATCAAGCACCTGTAGAATGAAAAAAACTCTTTCACATAGCATTAACCTGGGGCTAAATGTCTAAAGTTCACTACGTTCATGTTTGTAAGCGACATTGTCAAATTCAGGGACAAATAACTCGTCTGAAACCGAGATCTGTCAGAAGATATTTTATAGAAAGGTAAGAAACACACTGCCAAAAAATAGTTGGGCTCAATGCCCACGACTCTATATTCCGTCAACCAGTCGCAATACTAACAAATTCTCATCACTTAGACCACCCAATCACTTCTACAATGTTTTCATTTCCAGAGTCTCCAGTAGAGCTTCATTCTCCGTCCTATTCCACCAATGACGTAACAACTGACAGTCTACAAATAACAACTGATTCTTTGTACATTAATCGCACTCTCGATACGTCATCATATGGCACGGACGTCTTAACTTCCACAGAACCAGATGTGACCGATGAGAGTGTAGATTCAACGACCCCGCCCGTTGATGAACAGACTACAGAGGATACTACAGAGGATACAACACATGGGCGATCAGCTGCAGAAACTTCAACTGAAGCATTGATGACGTCCACAGTACCTGAAGATACGGAAACAACTGTGGAAGCAAAAACAACGAAAGGTTTGGATTCACACGAAACGACACCAACCAATGGTAGTTTTTCATCTGAATTAGAGACAACAAATCCATCAGCATCTGACGCAACTTCAGCATTTACCGTAAACCTAATTGAGCCAAGCCGAACTAGTCCATCTTTATCAACGCGTATTACATCTACATCCCCACCTCCACTGCCTTCACCCGAATCATCCCCAGAGTCAACGTATCCGCTGGAACCTAAACCCGAAGAATCAGATAATAGTACATCTGCTCCATCCTCATATTCTGTTATTCTTGTCTTTAAAGGTTGTTTACAAGTAAGTTCTAACAACTTTCGTATTTTTGTTGCCTGGTGACTTGTCTCGGCTTTACACCTGAATCTCTGTCCTAACTCCTATCAGCAGTAGTGTTTGCTGTGCCCATGGTATTGCACAATTATCAGTGCTAGCCAGGTCGGGTCCATAAGTATTCATGGAGCGAGTCGGTAGGTTGTCATAGCTATTGTCCATTCATTAAAGGGCATGATATTAAAGACTACTGGCAGAGCTGGTGCAAAATGTCTCCTATTCATGAACATTAAATGTTCAAGTTGGTAAAACGTGAAATTTTTGTTAAATTTTGAGGGTGACGGCGACGGGAAGCATTTCAGAATTAGTCTGCACTCGGACATCTCTGCAATTCCCTTCGGCCTGCCATGAGGACTAACCGAAGCCGAGACCAGTTAGAATGCCGCCGAGGTCAGCGCTGAAGCTGAAGACGCCAGTGTGGCGACAGTGGGTGCCGATCTCGGTAGTCGTAGCAAATATTCGAGTATTACCTCGACGCTCGACGGCTTGTTTTGTGTTTATCACGGCATTCCTTACATCGATGTTGACTTGCCATGTTTCTGTTTTCCATCTAGGAAAAAGAAATATTTAAAAATGCCGTAATAGCAGACTTATCAAGAAAAATGGACGATTTCTCGGCAACCATGGGAAATAAAGGCGGGAAGTATGAGGTTTATATATTTAATGTTAACGCTGTAGGAGGCCCTGATAACCGGACAATTACAACAGAAGCTTCTGTGGTGGAATATTCAGTTAATTCAACAGGTATAGTATACGTAGTTGATTTTTTTTATTCTCTACAATAAACACGGTGATAAATAATGACGTATATATTCCACTGTACACAACGAAGCCAATCCGATTAAAACACAGATCCTATTTCGTTCCGTTTTTATAGTTCAAAATTTCGTTTTATTTGTCTGTACTACATTAGAATCTGGAAGAGTTGTTATATAACCTGCGTTCTGGATAGCGTGCGGGATTAGCCAATGAAACCATTTGTTACGGCAACTTCTTGGCATTGGCTGCACGAAACTGTGGGTAAACCACTAGAAACGTCAACGCTGTTTGATTAATCAATGTCCGACATCATAGGGTCAAAAGCCGCTTGTACGACCCCCGACGTGACCTTCCAGTACAACTGGTCAGATCTTTATGTAGTGTAGGCCACCGAAAGTATAAAACAACGAAACGAAAAATAGATCTGTATTTGAATCAGATTACAACTAAACGGATGAAATGAAATAAGATTTGAATTTGTCTTTCTTTACTCCACCGACCATGATAATTAAACGGACTAGTATAAGCGCTGAATCAATTGGCGTGGTTTCGAATCCCGGATTGTACGTAACAAAGAGTAGGGTCGCCTGTCCAACCTCGTGGGTTTTCTCCGAATTATTTAAATCTAATTGAACCATATGTTAGTCCCGAAATTACCTAGCTTGTGTCAAGTGGACGTTAAACCCCATGCGGTGTGATTTGACGTAAACTTTGTCCCCTCTTCTTCAAATCCCATCTACCAGTAGTGGTTCTTTTAAATGTACGCCCTTATTCATACGGGACCACGGGTTTTCGTTCTTTCCGGAGGCTGGGTGATGTTCCTTGCCAGGACCTCCACCCGACATATTATAATCTTTGTTATTAAAGGGCTATTATTTTATTGTATTTTCCAGAAAAAAGAATAGTTCCACCAAGTGAGATTTTATCAGCGTTAAATATGAAACCGAGTGGTAAAATATTTGTAACACAGGTTAGCTATTTTATTATTTTGATCCCTTTTTATCTGATGTTTGAGAAAATATGTAGCGAAAATAGAGAGTTAACTTTTTCCCACTAACCAGGACATCCCGGGTTCGACCCCGTGATTTTCTACCGTCGTTTCCCTTTGTCAGTGGTGCAGGACGGGGTGGTAGGTCTGCTATGGTTGCTGGTACGAAACAGTGTATAGTCGCTCGTATGTGGTGTGGTGGATGGCCGAGTGGTTATCACATGCGCGCTGTATCATAAGGTCTGTCACGGAGTCAGCTGGCGTGGTTTCGACTCCCCGGTTGTACGTGACAAGGAGTAAGGTCGCCTGTCCAACCTCGTGGGTATTCTCCGGGTCCTTCGGATTCCCCCCACTGCTAAAGACCCCTACACCCAAGCGAATTATTGAAATAAAATTGAACCATGGGTTAGACCTAATATGGCCTAGTTTGTGTCGAATGGACTTTACCCCCCCCCCTCTCCCTCTCGTTCTCTCTACGACCACGTGTACCCGAGGCCTCTCTCTCTCTCTCTCTCTCTCTCTGTATGCCGATGTTAAACAACCCTGTTACATTTTGTATTTCATTTTCTTTTTGATGACTCTCTTCCTCTTCTCTTTCCAGAATGGAGGCTTAGATTTTATTTGTGCCTATCCAAGTAAAGATGAACCATGTACAGATTTAACTCGCCATGTTGACAAAACTATAATACATGGTGGATTGTTTGAACATAACAAACTTTTATTTATCGCCATATTTGTTGTCGCCTCTCTCGGACTCGTTTTAATCACCATTGGGTTAATATACATCCGGTGTCGTCAGCGTCGCTGTTCTACCTACGTCACCCAGGTAAGGCTTTTATGACATCATTTATATTTCAAAGAGAGGCGGTTTCAGAATAGTAATTTCCTCTCCAATCTGATTAAAATACAGATCTATATTTCGTTTCGTTGTTTTATACTTTCGATGGCCTACACTACACGAAGATCTGACAAGTTGTACATTTTAATCAAAGATCGACATGCAGGATCCAACATGGCGACATAACGTAGGCTATTTGCATAATACAGGACACAGCTCATCAAATATTCCTCCGCCGTCACGAATATAGTCTTTCTCCCCCTTTCCCTTTTCCACCTTTTGCATGGCGATTTTTATTGACTTTTTGGTGTAGAATCGAAGAAAAGGGTTGGAAAATACATTTTATGCCAGGTTTTGGTGAATATTCATGGTTTTGAGGCGGAAGGATACGAGAGTTGAGAGGATGGTTAGGTTGAAATGTGGGGCGGAAAATATACGTCCTTTTAAGTAAGAGGTTGCCACATGTTGCTCCATCTGTGGTAGAAAACGTTCTACCCAACGAAAATTTGGGAAAAAGTTAGAGCCCGTTTAAGAGCAGAGAATTAACATTAAAGTCAATGGGGAAATCATTATCTGTGGCCTGTCTATGTCCTTTGTCGACGACGATTTGTCGCTAACAAACGCGGTTATTAGTGTTTCTATGCCTGTATTTATCTCTTTTGTAATCATTATAGGAAAAGGCACGTCTAGCCCAGTCTACAGAATGTATTGGTGTAAATAATCCACTCACAGATAGCGACATACTTAGAGAAGAATTTGAAACGAGTCTGAATCAGAATGGTGCGCCACCTATAAAAGCAGAGGAAGGATGGATTATCCCCCTTGATCAGGTTCCGGAAAGGAGAAATTCTAAAACGGAAGATACCAAATTATAACATTCAATAATACGTCCATAATCATCCTTTGTCCAAGCATCACCAGAGCACCGTTTCCTCAAATAATTAGAATCTTTTTCAGAAAATTAATGGCAAAATTATTTTCAAATTTTTGACTGGTGGACATAGATATAAAAGTCAGTGGTTTATATGTTATTTTGAATCGAATTTATCACAGAATTAGCATAGAAAAAAGGAAATTATACATACGATTTACAAGATACAGTAAAGATTTATTTTCTTAAGGAAAAAATATCTTCATAGATATTAACAACATACATGTACTTACAACGATCTTTATAGATAAATTAACACATAACTTACAATCCTATTTATTGATAAATTAACATAACAAATTAACATTCAATCACCTTTATAGATAATTTAACACAAGACAATAATTTTATGGGTGAATTAACACAAGACCTGTGATCATCTTTATATATAAATTAACACGTACCATCATCTTTATAGCAACTTTAACACAAGTCCTACAGACTTTTAATCATCTTTATAGATACATTATCAACAGACTTATTCGATACATTAACACCAGACTTAATAGATACATTATCAACAGACTTATTAGATACATTATCAACAGACTTATTAGATACATCAACACCAGACTTAACAGATACATTATCAACAGACTTATTAGATACATTAACACCAGACTTAATAGATACATTAACACCAGACTTAAAAGATACATTAAAACCAGACTTAAAAGATACATTAACACCAGACGTAATAGATACATTAACATCAGACTTAATAGATACATTAACACGAGACTTACTAGATAGATTAACAACGGGCTTAATAGATACATTAACAACAGACTTAATAGACACATTAACATCAGACTTAATAGATATATTAACACGAGACTTACTAGATACATTAACAACGGGCTTTATAGACACTTTGACACAAGACTTACAGACTTACAATCATTTTTATAGATAAATTAACACAGGACTTACAATCATCGTTATTTGCACTTTAATGCCAATCCTACAAACTTAAAATCATCTTTATACATTAACACCAGACGCGTTTCATACATTAATACCAGACTAAATAGTAGATGCATTTACACCAGACCTAAAAGATACATTTACACCAGACTCGGTAGATGCATTTACACCAGACTTAATACACACATTAACACCAGATTCAGTAGATGCATTTACACCAGACCTAAAAGATACATTTACACCAGGCTTAATAGAGACGTAATACTAATAGATACATTAACAACAGACATAGAATCAACGTCTACATGAAAGACTTATAGTTGACTGGAAAAACAAGGGTCGATTTTAGTGATACAGAAATATGTATTTGTAAATAATTTAACTGTGGAACAGCATTTTTATGTACATTACAAATTGAATTTGCGAGATATTAAAAATGTATGTAATGGTGTGCATTTGTTTCGGTAATAAATTTCGTGTGAATGATATTATAACCTATATTCTACAGCCGTGATTCTCAACCACTGTGCCGCGGCACACAGGTGTGCCATGAGATCTTCCTAAGTGTGCCGCAAAATTTTGAACAGCACAATAAGACTACGGTTGTATGCCGTCTATGACTTGCCATGTTTTTATTTTGCAAAATTCAAATATATTTCATATATATTTAGCCAGGTGTGGCGCTATTTTTTCATGTGTTCCAAAGTGTGCCGCTGGCAAAAAAGGTTGAGAACCACTGTTGTACAGAATAAAATCCTAGTCACGTTTTATCGAATAGTGTGCGGATACATTTAGAGAAAGTTGTGTAAATAAATCATCCAGTGGAGTGTAGAGAGTTGGTGATGTCTGAGATCAACTCCTTGATTGTTTGCCCACAAGGCTTAAGTATAGGAGTCGCGGGTTCGATCCCGGTGTTGGCCGAGAAAGTTCATCGGGATTTTCCGTCGTGGTTTCCCCTTGTCAGTGGTTCAGATGGGACGAAAAGCCAAGGCGTGAACGTAAAAGTTGCTTGACAATTGGAATTCGTTATAAGTACGGTAGTTTTTACCACAAAGTTAGCATGTGGTGATTTCAAATTAAAAAAAAAATATAATAATTTCACTCTTCGGTTGGACTTCCCCTTGAAATGAACGTCCGGGGCCATCGCTCTCTCTACACCCCACTGAGTTCATCTTCATTATATTTTGTGCTTTTATCAACTATTTATCTTATATAATGCTTAGTGGCGCTATCATTTATATATTTGTTCCCATTTATACAATCTGATTAAAACACAGATCCTATTTCGCTCCGTATTTTATAGTTCAAAATTTTTATTTTATTTGCCTGAACTACACTAGGATCTGGAAGAGCTGTTATATAACAGGCGTTATGGATGGCGTTAGGGATTAGCCAATGAAACCATCTGTTACGGCGACTTCTTGGCTGCCATGCACGGAACTGTAGGTAAACCACTAGAAACGTCAACACAGATTGATTAATCAATGTCTGACGTCATAGAGTCAAAAAATCCTGACGCGACCTTCCAGTACTACTGGTCAGATCTTTATGCAGTGTAGCCATTGAAAGTACTTAAAAAACGAAACGACATAAAAATCTGGGGCCTGTTTCACGAAATTTTAACTAAGATAAAATCCTAATTTTAGTAATTTGATTGGATAATATAAGATTGATTATAGTGCTTAGCCAATCAAAATTGAAGTATCCACTAAAATTGGATTTTATCTTTAGTTAAGATTTCAAGAAACAGGGCCCTGTGTTTTAATCAGATTGCCATTTATACGGTTTTTGCTTGTAAAAATGTTTATGTAATAGCTATGAAATATTACTAGATGTTATGTTCGTTCGGGAAACACGGTGACTCAATGAGTATGACACTTGCTGAACGTCTTGGTTGATATAGTTTCCCGGCCAACACAAAACCATGGGGGTCCCGTGTACACATTGGCTGGTACGCTGAAGAGCCCTTGAGAGAGTTGTCAGTCAACGAATTGAAGACCAGGCGGAAACACCGCTGTTACCAGGCAAAATGTTCCTTATAGCACACCGTTTTCCGGTTTTCATAAGCCCGGTTGGTGCAGAAAAGTGGACCGTTAAACCCCATTTTATTTTTTTGTTTTTTTTTGCGTGGGTTATTTTGATGGTCACTCAACTAACATCTAATCCTTGCACGGCATTTAGTAACTGAACATATAATATAAATACACTAATTTATATGGACTTGAGAACAAGATGAACTTGTTGAAACGTTGTGTGAAATAAACTCAGTGATTGTTTTCCATATAAATTTGTGTTTTATATTAAAGTTTTAAACTAACATCTAAACATATATTTAAGAAAATGGCGATCTGAACGGACGCAAAATACCTTTGACCTTGATCATGTCTATACGTCGTATAATGAAATTATTTGAAGATTTTCTATAAGCTTATTATATTTATAAAAATATCTATGTTTTATATAGAATGTTTTAACGTGTGTTATATATAAATATCATAATATATTGTAATATCATCTTAATAAAATTCTAATAATAATAAGTATTAATTCCCTACATTTAAGAGAGAGAGAGAGAGAGAGAGAGAGGGAGAGAGAGTTTAACGACCAGTCAACACAAACTAGATCATTTCAGGACTAACATATGGTACGATTTTATTTCACTAGTTCGCGTGTATGTAGGGGTCTGTAGCAATTGGATGAAACCGGTGGATCCAGAGAAACCTATTCCTTGCCACGTATCAGCCTGGGGTCGAACCCACGCCATCTGACTCAATGTTAGATCCTTGTGACATAAAGCGTGAGCCCTAGACCCCCCCCCCCCCGCATAACACATACAGTAAGCACTATCAGCTTCTAATCTGGATCAGTGAGAGCAACTGATTCTAAAGGCGAGGTGCAGCAGCAAAGCACCGAAACTTTTATCACCAGATTGTTTTAGGTTGATTTTAGAAACAGCAAGTATATTTTTGTTGTGAGATCATCGAGTGTATGTTTAGTCAAAACTTCAGACAAATAGAAGGGGGCGAGATCGATAGACTGAACTGAATCTGGGCTTAGTTGCAACCAGTAATTATGTGTAGAATAAAGCACGAGACTGAGGTTATGCTGGGGGGAAGAAAGGCTGAAGACAATAACCCGAGAAAAAGAAAAACCGAGGTCGGCAGGCCGAGGGTTTTCTATCGATGGGTGTTTTCTGAATTCTTTCTTCACCGGCATCTTGTTTTCTTATGAAAAAAAAACTCTACCCTGTAAGAATAACCCGTTAAAGGTTTAAAGAAAAACTTTTAGAAGAATTATACCCCAAAGATCGAGAGATTTACCGTTACAGGTTTATACGAAAGTACAGCACGTTGGTTTGGATATGAGAGCCTCCAAAACGGACGAAATGTAATGAGTTTTAAGTCCGACTGGTTTGCACCGACTGGGATAATGAAGACGGGCATACGACATACAGTATGCTACGAGTTAAATTTTGCCAGGACCGCGGCCTTACGAATTCCAACTAGCAGGGGTACTTTTACGTGCACGTCAATGTGTACACGGGACCTCGGTTTTTCGTCTCACACCACTGACAATGGGGGAACCTCGCCGGAAATTCTTGATGAATTTCCACGGCCAATAGACCAATGTTACCCCTTACCTCAACCCAATAACCCATCCACGCAATACACAAGGTCCACCCGAGGTACTTTACCTACTCGTTAGCACGGCTAGATCTATTTGTTAAGGCCAACTGAATGTTACCCCTCATCTCAACCAAATAACCCTCCCACACGGGGTAGGCTACTCTACCCACTATTTGGCCCTACCAATGTAGTTCGTCGTTATATAGCAACCCCCCCCCCCCCGCCCCCGCCCCCGACTCCTTTTATTTTGCCTGGCAATTCCTGTTGACTTTTTGACCGCATATTAAACTCGGGCTGTCTGTCCACAGTTAGCCCGTTTGAGAACAGTCACCAAGCTATGTTGACCGACATTGTAAGTCCTAAATCGACGATTTTAGTCGAGAACAATGTCTAAGTTAGAGCTGAACTATGTCTAAGGTAGACTTCGAGAATTTTGTTATGTATTTAACTGCTTCCATTTAATAAAATTGAAAAAGTTTATTCAGTCTGTGTGTGTATGACAGATGTGAAACGGAGTAGAACAAAACAGTATACTAATTTTTGGATATGGCGACCATTTAGGGAAGAGATTTATTCTCGAAGTATGAGTAAGTGGCCTATACAGTTGGATATCGTGTGCAGAATGATTTGACCGATCGTAGAAAAAAAAATCGAAATGGTCAACCCATTTCAATATTTTTATCAAATGATTGTGATATGTTGAACTCTTTGTGGTAATAAACATTAAGATCATCCGAATGTTGAGAAACAAAAATTGTTATAGACCAAGCAATTACTACAGGGATTCAGCATTATTGGGATAAGATTATTAGTCTGAGAGGCCAAGGGAGATAATCCCGCGTGCAATTACTCCCCCTGTATCGATTTTCAGCAAATAAAGTGCCAAATGGTCACCCTCTCAGTAAAAGAGGAATTTTTGTATTGTTTATCTTTCAAAATAACTTTATGATAAGTAATTTCTTGAATTAAGAAAGTCTTTAAAAATAATTTAAAACAATGGAGGAGGGTGTCTACGCAGTAGAAGAAATCGTAAAATTATTCCAATCAAAGGTAATTTTATCAGTTTACGAAAGATCAGGACAAGCAGAATCACGAATCAGAAACGTCAAAATTGTGAATTGATCATGTTATTTATCTTTCCATGTTTATGCCCACAATTCTTACCCTAATCCTTCGGAATAGTTTTACCCACAATCCACCGTTTTTACAGCTTCAATTTGTTCGTGTGACTTGTAAATTTTAAACCTAACCCTAACCCTAGAAAATTTTTTTCCAGATCTGTCGTCAAGATCTAGTAAATTGTGCATTACTCAGCTGCTTTCCTCCTAGATAAGTAGATAAAAAAAACCATCATCTCTCGACCCTGTGTGTCTCCAGATAACAGATGGTACCCCATATAGTTCTTTCTGGTACATGTAGATGCCGATGTGACACATATCGGAATTCACAAGGCAAAGCGTACATGTAATAACTTGTTGATTATTGTTATGTAGCATACATTACATTCCTGTCATACCCAACTATTTTATTAGGCATATAATCCTACCTCAAATGGGTACAAATCATCTCTTTTAAAGGCTCAATACCACTCTTGTTGTAACTGAATAATATGTCCCAATCTTTATTCTGGTCAACAATTGTACTATTTTACAATATTCCAATTAATTGATGATACAAATTTGATCTTAACTAAATGATTTGAAAAGCCTGATGTAAAGCTTTTCAAATGTGACTTGGATTTAAAAATATTTTTGAACCCTCTGGACAAGTAAAATAGGATTTAATGGATAATTTACACAACAGGTAGACACTAACACATCTAGTACTTAGAATAAGGCTATTTTTTATTTTCTGGAGCTGTCAAGCCAGCAAGAGTGTTATTGTCCCTTTAAAACGGAAGAGATCTGATGTCTAAAACGAAATAAAGGTGGGGCTAAATATATGACCTGAACAACAGACAATCAAAATGCGCGACTTAGACAATTGGAAAATCGCAAGTAGCCTACATGTAGAGGAATGGAAGTTCAAATTCAGTTAAAAACACTGCATGACTAATTCTTTAACTGTCAATATGGTTAAAAAAGAAAGTTGTGTTGTCCATTAATTAGTCGCACCCGGGTATGTTTAATTAGTTCTAATAGTGTAAAATTAAACATGCATTATGCAAGACGCAGCAAGAGCTAAATCTTCTTATTGCAGGTCTTTCTTTACTTAGGCCTGAAATGTTATCTAAATTAGACATTAATTAACTTATCCAGACAATAATCAACTCTAGTCTGCGATATTTACTGGATTGGAATCCGATCTGCTGCTCAACGCTGATTGATGATTAAATCAAAAAATGGATAATCAAGACTAAGGGGGGGGTGGGTGCCAGAGTGGGGAATGTGTGTGTGTTGTATCATAAGGTCTGTCATTGAGTCAAGCAGCATGGTTTCGATTTCCCGGTTGTACGTGACAAGGAGTAGGGTTGTCTGTCCAACCTCGTGGGTTTCCCCCGGTTTCTTCCAACTGCTAATAAAGAACACTACGTGTAAACAAACTATTTAAATAAAACTGAACCATATATTACTACCGATGGAGCAGAAAAATAGCCAAGGACGTTAAACACCATATGATTTGAATATTTTCAGGTGGATGAGACATTGACCGTGTTTCAATATCTACCAGATGATGTTAAACAGGAAGCGTGGAAATACTGGCAGGAAGTCACGAATACTCTACACAACGTCGTTAACAAAATTAAAATACCTCAAAAAAACTCTTCAACGGGTAACGTGACAGATATTAATGAGCAGTCAAATCAAATTCCTTCCCAACATGCAACGTTTGATAAAGATATAGACAATATTGTTACGGAGACTACACAGTCATTATTGTCACTAACAAATAGTGAGCCAAGGGGGACAACTGTGACTTCTAATCAGATATCATCTATATCTCAGCCTGATGGAATAGTTCAGAATATTCACATGAATGATATATCTCATCTAGCTGCTGCACATAATGATTTGAACTTTGACCTTTTACAAGAAGAGCCAGGATTGGTTGATACAAACGGTAAATTTCTCACACCGGAAGGATTACAAGCTGTTCCAGTTACACAAACTGGTGAGAGTTGTTAAAACTTCTATAAAGCTGGGTAATACATGTACAGTTCGTCCCAAATTTTTGGGACCGAAATCGCACAATCACAGCGATAAAAATCGTTCGGAAATCGCTACGCTTTCACGGTGAACTTTCACTTGATTCCGCAGCTATTTTTCGCTACGATTTGCTTGGAATCCACCGTGTTTTGCCATGCTTCCTGAAAGGAATTTGCCATCACAGCGATAAAAATCGTTCGGAAATCGCTACGCTTTCACGGTGAACTTATGCTTGATTCCGCAGCTATTTTTCGCTACGATTCGCTTGGAATCCACCGTGTTTTGCCATGCTTCCCGAAAGGAATTCGTGAGCCTTTTGTCGGCTTTTCCCCGCCGGCTTTTATACGGTAACAGTAGTGTTGTTATTTCTTGAAGCATTACAGAATGTTTCATTTATCGATGCACCCAAATTTTCATGCTGGACGTTATCCACGCTAGGAATATCTGACGTTTCATGGAATATTTCTGTGGTGTATATATATTTGTTTCTCTAACCATATGTTAGTCTTGAAATGACCTAGTTTGCGTTGAGTGGATGTTAAACCCCATTTCTCTCTTTCTCAGTAAATTAAACCACATTTCATTTTTGTTTCTATAAAAATGTACAATATTATTATTATCTTGTGGGGGTGGATGGCTGAATGGTTAGCACATGTGCGCTATATCATGAAGTCTGTCATTGAGTCAACTGGCGGGGTTTCGATTCCCTGGTTGTACCTGTCCAACCTTGTGGGTTTTCTCCATATCCTCCGGTTTCCTCCCACTGCTAAAGACCCCTATGCGCAAGCGAATTATTGAAATAAAATTGAACCATATATCTGTTCTGAAATGACCTAGTTTGTGTTGAGTGGATGTTGAACCCCATTTCTCTCTCTCTCACCTTATTACATTCTACACTACATCACTACATTCTACGTTTAAAGTGTTTTGATATAATTGTTCAATATTATTTTTCACAGGGAATCTGAGAACCGATGGAGAACAGCAGCCAGAGACTGACATTTATTCCGGAGTGAAACAAACAATTATTGATCAAAATAACAGTACCTATAGTAACCAAACATTAACAAATAACACCATCGCAACACCTACAGAATCTACAACACAAGGTTCGAATAAAAATATCAACGATGAATTCCAAGCAGAGATTAATTTATACGATGTAGAAAACAATCCTACAGAAATACACGAGGAAAATACAGACGCCAATCGCAAATACCCTCGTCGTAATCGTACATCGACTAAAATAAACTCAGTGTATGCCTACATTAATCTTAAAGCTGAAGGAACAAAAGAAGAAAGAGTGAAAACTGATGGAAAGAAGGATGATAAAGTTAAAAAAAACAATAAAGAAAATGTAAAAAAGAAGAAAAATACAGAGGTTGCTGATGATGGGAGTATCACATGTGATGTGTGTGGTTTACGATTGGCTAGAGCTGCGTCTATAATAGGTAATAATGTAATCTGAATTATGATTGGCTAGAGCTGTGTCTATAATAGGTAATAATGTAATCTGAATTACGATTGGTAATGTAATCTGAATTACGATTGGCTAGAGCTGCGTCTGTAATAGGTAATAATGAAATGTGATTTACGATTGGCTAAAGGTACAATGGTTTCCTGTGAAACTTTTCTGTGAATGCGATATCACACTCCGTGGAAGTGGATGTTAAACGCTAAGAACACATGCCCTTTAGATCCTAAGGTCTATCATTGAGTCAACTGGCGTGGTTTCGATTCCCCGCTTGTACGTTGTACGTGACAAGGAGTAGGGACGTCTGTCAACCCTGTGGGTTTTCTCTGGGTCCTCTGGTTTCCTCCCACTGCTAATAAAGCCTCCTACACATAAGCAAATTATTGAAATAAATCGAACCATGTTAGTCCCGAACTGACCTACTTTATGTTGATTTGTTGTTAACCCCATTTCTCTCTTTATTTCAGGGGGCTTGGATGGCAGCACATGCATGCTGTATCTTAAGGCCTGTCATTGAGTCAACTGGCGTGGTTTCGAATCCCTGGTTGTACGTGACAAGGAGTAGGGTCACCTATCCAACCTTGTGGGTTTTCTCTGGGTCCTCCGGTTTCCTCCCACTGCTAAAGACCCCTACGCGCAAGCAAATTATTGTAAACAAAATTAAAAAGGGTTTGTTAGTTCCGAACTGACCTACTTTATGTCGATTTGACATTAAACCCCAATTCTCATTCAATTTCAGCTCACAGACGACAACATACAGGTGATCGACCCTTTAAATGCCAGTTCTGTGACAAGACTTTTACAACGAAAGCAAACAAGATACGACATGAAAACACACATAATGGAATCAAACCATTTAAATGTACAGAATGTTCACAAGGGTTCGCAGAAAATAAAACTTTAAAGGCGCACATGTTGAGACATTCGGGTGAAAAACCTCACAGGTTAGTTTGTATAGAATTCTTGACCCCCATCTTGACGTGAAGTGAAATGAGGTTTAACGTCCTACTCTTCTGCTCTGACTGGGCTAATGAAGACGGGCATATGTCAACAGTGTGCTATGAGGGAAATTTTTCCCGGGCACTGGCGCTACTCTTCTATCGAATTCAAACTGCCCAGGGATCTTTTATGTGCACACCAATGTGTACACAGGACCTCAGTCTTAATCCAAACGACTATACGTTCTCCCGTGCCAGGCCCTGGGTCCTGCACCACTGACAAGGAGGAAGCACGTTGGACAATCCCGATATATCGTGCCAGCACTATGGTACATGTAGGTGCATATATGTTGCCAGGGAAAGTTTTGTTTTTTAATTTGGTGGGATCGTTGAATTGGTCATGAGAAAGAACCCTTTTCAAATTACAAGTCATTTTGTAATCAAATCTTTGTATTTGTAATGTTATAACACAAGAAAGAAACCTACGTTTGTTGTTTGTTGTTTGTTGTTTGTGTTGTCTGTATGTTATGTCGTGTCCATAGGTTTGGCTTGTGTAATTGTCTGTGTGTGGTGCAGTCCCCCTGCACTTACTATTATTTTGCGTGTCATTTTGTCATCAAATCTTTATATTGTGTAATCTTATCCAATTATTTATTGTCCCTCGCCTTTCAAAGAAAGCAGGGGACTATTAAAATGGGTCTGTCTGTCTGTTCGTCACACTTTTTTTTTCAGCTGTCCTATTTGTGGTGAATCATTTAATCAGAAAAGTATGTTAATTCACCATGTGTCATCAAATCTTCATACCATTGTCAGTGATGCAGGACAGAGGGACCGACAAAGACAGCTGTCTAGTCGTTTGGATGGCACGAAAAAACGAGGTCCTGTGTACACATGGCGTGCACGTAAAAATCCCATGGCAGTTGGAATTCAATATAAGAGTAGGCCATAGTGCCGCTGCCTGGGCAAAATTTCCCTTATAGCACAGTGCATGGTGTATGCCTGTCTTCATTAGCCCAGTCGGAGCAAAACAGTAGGACGTTAAACCCCATTTCATTTCATTCGATTTTTGAAATCTTCGTATTTTGTAATGTTATGACACAAGAAAAAAACATATTTAATTTGCGTGTCAAATTTTTAATTTTTCAGCTGTCCTATTTGTGGCGAGTCATTTACTCAGAGAAGTACGTTACAGCACCATATATATCGTCACACGGGACATAAAGGTCATCTGTGTGACCTCTGTGGCAAATCATTTCGTCAGAAGTCGCAACTGTACACACATCAGCGCCGTCATCAAGATAAAAGACCGTACAATTGTGACACGTGTCAAAGATCTTTTTTTACAAAAGGTAAGAAATTCAGGCTTGTCTACGATATCACCTTAGGTGAAAGTGGACGTAAAACTCTAGGAACGAACGAACGGCTATGAATATCTGAACCAAGTCATGTGAAGAGCTGTGACACCCCCAAACACCATTTTAAACACAGAGAACTATCAACTTGGTTAAAGCTGCATCTTTCCGTCGATGAACAATTTGTGACGTTATTTTAGTCCTTCTGTTCTACTCACATTCGATGCTATATTTCTATGAGAGAGAGAGAGAGAGAAATGGAGTTTAACGTCCCCTCGACACAAACTAGGTCATTTCGGGACTAACATATGGTTCAATTTTATTTCCATAATTTGCTTGCGCGTAGGGGTCTTTAGCAGTGGGAGGAAACCGGAGGACCCGGAGAAAAAACATGCGGTTGGACAGGCGACCCTACTCCTTGTCACGTACAACCGGGGAATCGAAACCACGCCAGTTGACTCAATGACAAACTTTATGATACAGCATGCACGTGCTAACCATTCAGCTATCCAATCCCCCTATATTTCTATGAGCAGGACTAAAATGACGCCACTGATTGTTTATTGACGGAAAGTTGTGACTACCCACAAAGAACGGCGGAAATTACAGACGTTGAAATTTACCTGTGGCAGGTAATATGACATTCGGGTTCTGTTATACTTATGGAAAGGATATGTTGACATTATTACTTGCATTATTTAAAAAATTTATGAACTTTTCCGGTGACCTTTAATTTAGTTTATTGCTGTGGGTATTTAACCCTTAACAGGTCGACATCATTTTGACATCAGGACATCAAGTGGTCAGGCTACATAAAGGCTAAAATGAAATATTTTGTATGCCTTTTTCAAAAGACTACTGCCAGATAATTATAAGGGATAGACTCTTGACACCAATAAACAAGTTGAAAGGGATAAGTTGATCTATAATTTGTATGTTGTCTCTTGTTTTCTAAATCATTTTCATCAGAAATATCGTCTTCAGAAATCGGTGTCATCGATACAATCCGAGTCAGAATCATTCATAAGCATTTCAACAACTTTGGGTCTTTAACCTTTTCGACATCGTTAAGAAATTACGTTTTTTTGTCAAAAAATGTTGAACAAAGACATGTTTTTCTCAATGCCTTGACAAGATAAGTTCCTGTCTGAAACGCATGCTTGGCAATATTAAATAAATACGAAACTAATTACTCAAATGCGGCTTATTAAAAATGTTCTTGCTGTGGTCGACTTAAGTGGACCGTGACCACTTCATTGTATAACGTTGTGGTGATTATAGTCGACAATGACCGGTTAATAATGGCTGCCATCTTTATTTTGTTTCAGGTGATTTGGGTCGTCATATGTTGAAGCACACAAACCTCCGACCGTTTATTTGTGACATGTGCCCGAAAACTTTCACCAGACTTCAATATCTAAATGAACATAAAAACTTTCATAAAGGAATCAGACCGTTCATTTGCAAAGATTGTAACAAATCCTTTTATGAATCGGCAGCATTATATCGTCACTCCAAAAGTCACAGAGTAGCGCCTGATACGACAAGTACCGCAGAAGCACAACAACAACAACAGACTATTATAGTAACACAAGATGGTCGAGAATTTGAGATACCGGTCGTCACAACAAATTTATCAAATGTTTTAGACGGAGAGTCGCAATTTGCGGACGTTTATCAGATAACTTATTTGGATAATCCAGTGACGGATCTATCAACGTCGACTCAGTTACAGTCGACAACGGTGGTAACGGGTATCGAAGACCCAATTCCGACTCATTTATCGTCGACAATTGTAGAGGAAGCAGATTTCTCTGCCATAAATTTGTTAGCTAATGCAACAACTCAGCTTATTCAATGATTAAACCGTATGAAAAAATAATCACTGTGCCACTTTAAAATATAACATTCAAATCGGGGATACTCGATTGAACGTCCCAGAATTAATTCTCTCAATTCCAAAAATAGTGTTAATCGAGTGAAAAGGAGAATTTCGGAGTACAATACATGTGCCGACTGCATAAAAAATATCTCAACCAATCATGACAGCTGAAATATATTTGTTACTTAAAATACGTCACGATTCTACTCACACCACCTCAGCTGTCGGGACTGGCAGAACTGTGACAGGACTGAATTCCGTATCACTTGATTGCAATTCTGTCAATTCGGGTCGTTCGGACTGACAATCGAGTACCCCCCAATTTGTTATAGTTTAAGGGAAGTAACTCGATAAAACATTTCTAGTTGAAATTGAAAGTTTAATATAGACTCAACTATCAAGAATACAACCTTAATAAATACTGTTGTTGGTGTTTTAACATCTGCTTCCACCAAGAGTGGTATCGCAAACAAATTGTTTTATATTTTTATTATGTTATTGCACATGCAGGGTCTTTCTTGTGGAGGGTGGGGGCCGAATGGTTAACGCATGCACGTTGTATCAGGCAGTCTGTCATTACGTATAGTAGTGTGGTTCCGATTTCCCACTTGAACGTGACAAGAAATAGGGTTGCCTGTCCAAGTTCGTAGGTTTTCTCCTGATCCTCTGGTTTCCTCCCACTGCTAAAGACCTACGCGCAAGCGAATTATTGAACTAAAATTGAACCAGATGTTAATACCGAAATGATCTAGTTTGTGTCGAGTGGACTTGAAACCCCATGGAATTTGATATAAAAGTAGGCCGTAGCTGCCGATGTCTGGGTCAAAATTTCACTCATAGCATACTGTAAGGCATATGCCTGTCTTCATTAACCCTGTTGGAGCAGAACTTGTTATAAATTTATACATTAACATTATATTGTTACCTTTGACATCATATAAGAGAGAGAGAAATGGAGTTTAACGTCCACTTGACAAAAACTAGGTCATTTCGGGACTAACATATGGTTCAATTTTATTACAATAATTCGCTTGCGCGTAGGAGTCTTCAGCAGTGGGAGAAAACCTGATGACCTGGAGAAAACCCATAAGGTTGGACAGGCGACCCTACTCCTTGTCACGTACAACCAGGGAATCGAAACCCCGCTAGTTGACTCAGTGACAGACTTTGTGATACAATGCGCACGCGCTAACCATTCGGCCGTCCAATCCTCCATCATATAAGAGACAATATATAATTGTTGTATAATAGATACACAGAGAGTAGTCTTAAACATTCATCATCTACCTCGGCTTAATTGTATTTAAACACACCTTCACCTTCCTCTAGTCTGAAAGGTCAGGGATTGGGAGGGGCCTCATAAGTGAAGTAGTCTAGCGCCTCTCGTCATCTCCATCTGGTAAACGAAATATAGATCTGCATTTAAAGCTACAATTTCATATTTTTAAGTTATATTTTTAAAATTTATTAAAATAAAGCCTTAAAGTAGACGGTATCCTACCTTGTTAAAGAATAATCCTATTAATCCTATAATTCACTATTGCCAGTTGAGAAATTGGCAAAAATATCATTTTCAACTTCAAATTCTGACGTTTGAAGGTAGCTTATGCATGGAGGCAATAGGAAAACAAGGGAGGTAATTGTGTTATTTCCAGTGTCAATGCTCTTTAATGGTGGGAAATAATGCCCATGGTCGTATAATAGTGAGTTGATAACCTATTGAGCAAAAGACATAGAAATAATTATGTTTTGACTTTCTTATGAAATTTTGTGTGATATTTTGTGTCCGACAATGTCTGGGACACATATCTTATAGTCTGGGGGCTCACATCTTCCTAGTGCTAAAACGGAAAATGTGACCTTTTGACCACAAAGAACAAAGGTGAATTTAGCAAGTTTACATTTTTATTGAAAGTGTGATTACTTTCGATCATTTTCAGCTTCTTTTCATAATACAAGAATGACTGCGCATTCACTTTTAGTGCAAATGAACTCATTTGACCCCGAATATCTCGAAAACGCCCCAACGGCGGACTGATTACCTCTCTGCATCGTATTCTACGCAAAATTTTACTCTAGAAAAGTTTGGTCTGGTTTTGTGCCCATTTGTTGGACCCCCCCGCGCTGAGCCTCCGGTCTATTATAAATATGGGAACGGTCACAAAGTTAACAAGTTTTTCTGTAGTATATAAATATTTTATTCTAATATTTACAAAGATACTATTTATAATATATACACTGTACAATCTCTAGTTATAATAACTATTATTATTATATATAATTAAAGCAAGTAATTAAATAGAGTTATGTCCCTTGTATTATTGATAACTTTAAATCTATGCCATGCATGTCCAATAGCACATATTGTCGACCTGTTATATTTATAGCAAGGCTTACATGAGTTAACAGGTTTAAACATCGAGGCTGTAGGCCGAGATGTTAAACCTGTTAATGAATGAAGCGTGCTATAAATGACTTGTAAAATTGACACCTGCTCAACATGCTTGTTGTTATTGCACAGAAAAACCACCCCACTTCTCTATGTGGTTTCTACTAAAACTAGTGTAAACCAGCAAAAGTGTGCAATAACATTGCACAGTTAAGCTCCACCCAATCTACTAGAGGGAAAACAATCTGCTTATTTAACAAAAAGAACAAAGGAAGATTTCCGGTCTATGTTACAAAATCATTTATAGACAAAATATAAGGCCACTTTTAATATTTTTGGTCATGTTTCAAAGGCAGGAGAGGAAAATTTGCCAGGAGAGCTTTCTCTTCTCCCACTTTTTAACTCTGAAGGGCTGTTCATCCATCTTGAGATATGACAACACAAGAAGCATTGAGAAAACCTTGTCCGACTCCAGTACCCTATATCTAGCCCCGGCTGTATGACAGTAAGTGATATGTAGCTACCCCTATACAATTCGTCGCTTGTCTGGCGAACCGACAAATCTGAAATATTTAAGTATTGAGAATTATGAGTTGTCTCTATGTCCATCAAATAATAACGTTTATGTAAATGACGTACCGTGTCCTGATGTATATGTATGAACTATTAAATCATAAATAAATGTTAATATTTGATGGCTACAGAGATAACAACAGAACGCAAATTGCTAACGCATAATTCTCAATACTTAAATATTTCAGATTTGTCGGTTCGCCGGACAAGCAACGAATTGTGATGTGGCTGCCGGTTAGATGTAGGGTCCTGGATTCTGCCCAGGTGTGCCAAATGGACAAGCAGATCAATCTCAGATTAAAAACAAAATATATTTTGACAACACTCAGTCCTATATTGTTTCACAGTCCCCAAGAAGTCTGTATAAATTCATTCCTCACAATGCTGAGAATACAGTAGCTTAGAGGACAATATTGGTGTCAGTCATTATCACATATGTGATAGAACTGGTTAAACACATTCCAAATATAATTTTAACACAGAGATCATTGCTACGATAGATGAGTTATGAAGATTTCAAGAAAGGGAAGTGACAAAGGCGAAAGGAAAACATGAGTTATCCTTCTATATAACTGACTGAAGTGATGAGTGATAACAGATACACGGTCAAATTTCTGCTCACTAGCAATTCCTTCCAAGACCAAAAGTTGTTATATGAGACTGGGAGGATATCTGACAATTCAAAATATAGAAAAAGTCTGTGCATTACCATGTTTCTATTAAGTATAGAATAAATAAAAACAAGGGAATGTACGCACTATTTCTATTTTTTTCGTTTTCCCTTATCTAGTGACATTCAATTACTTTTTTGAATTGTCAGATATCCTCTCACAGCCCCACATAACAACTCTTTGGTCTTTGAAGGAATTATTAGTGAGCAGAAATTCGCCCGTGTTATCTGTCATGTCACTTTATGTAATTTAATTTGTAATTCTTCCCGATCTTGATCAAGTAATGGCCACAGGTTTCTTGTCAATGACTGTTTGATTTTGTCTGAAAAAAGAGCCCCTGACCACACGTTTGACCAGTGATTCTCAACCAGTGCGCCATGAAATTTTGAATGGCACACTAAGAAAATGCGAAAAATCATGTGATCCCAATTGAGTATTCACTGGTGTCTACTGATAAATTCCGGTGTCTTTATTTAGTTTGAGACATTTTACGTGTGCATGATTGATTAGTCTGTGTCTACAGTCGTATGCCGTCTGACTTACCATGTTTTTATTTTGCAAAATTCAAATATTTTTCATATATATTTAGGCAGGTGTGCCGTTATTTTTTCATATGTTCCAAGTTGTGCCGCTGGCAAAAAAATGTTGAGAACCACTGTGTTAGATTATTCTACTGCTTGGGGCGACAAGTTATCACTGTATGAAGTTATTATATAATATAATAATCAATATATGAGATCTAAGTTGTTGATCTAGAGATCAGAGATTGGGTAAAAATTTGAATAATTTAATCTGCTCTCCCCTCTGGCTGTGCCTCACTGCACTGCTAAGGATCTGTTGAAAATAATTGTGTGCTTTTGGGATCTAAATTGTCAATCTGATGATAGGGGAAAAATTTGGATTTAACATACTTTACCCCCTAGCCGGGGGGGGGGGGGGGGGGGGGGGGGGCGGAGGGGTTGGATGGCAGAATGGTTAGCACGTGCGCGCTGTATCATACGGCCTGTTATTGAGTCAACTGGCATGGTTTCAATTCCCCGGTTGTACGTGACAAGGAGTAGGGTCGCCTGTCCAACCTTGTGGGTTTTCTCCGGGTCCGCCGGTTTCCTCCCACTGCTAAAGACCCCTACGTGCAAGCGAATGATTGAAATAAAATTGAACCATATGTTAGTTCCGAAATGACCTAGTTTATGTAGAGTGGACGTTAAACCCCATTTCTCTCTCTATCTCTAGCCACACTGCTCTCCCTACTGTTACAGAGAGTAGGTATGGATGCAGGAGGAAGGGGGGAGTGGATGGTCGAATGGTTTAGCATGTGTGCTTTACAGCATAAGGCCTGTAATTGGTTTTGATTCCCTGCTTGTATGCAACTAGCAGTAGAGTCACCTGTCCAACCTCGTGGGATTTCTGTAGTTACTTGGTTTCCTCCCACAACACAACTAAAGACCCCTACGTGCAAGCGAATTCTTGAAATCAAATTGAACCATATGTTAGTCCCGAAATGACATAGTTTTTGTCGAGAGCATGCTAAACCCCAATTTCTCTGTCTCTATTGATATACATATTTTAAAAGGGGGAGGGAGGCTGTTAGCCACTTTAAACATAGATTATGCCAGACATAAATCTGCCCATTGCACTCTTTCTTTGAGTCTGGGACCCGTTTCACGAAATTTTAACTAAGATAAAATCCAAATTTTAGTAATTTGATTGGATAATATTAGATTGATTTTAGTGCTTAGCCAATCAAAATTGAAGTATCTACTAAAATTTGAATTCTATCTTTAGTTAAGATTTCGCAAAACAGGGCCCTTAAATGTTATATAAACTATTAAACATGCATTATGCAAGAGCTAAATCTGCTTATTGCAGATCTTTCTTTAGGCCTGAAATGTTATATAAACTATTAATTAGACATTTATTAACATAAAAAGACCACAATCAACTCTTGATGGCATCTTATCTGTCTGATTTTCACTGGATTTGAATCTGATCTGCTGTTCAACATCTGGTGATGATTAAACGCAAAAATGGATAATTGAGATGTTGTTAATTATCGCGACAGTGGTAACAATGACAATCGAGGCTACAGATATTTTAAAATAACGTTTTCTCGGCTAACAGTGAAGCAATTTGACTAAAATTTTCAGCATAATTCATTTACATTATCTGGTTTTTTAACTAGTATAGTTAGAACAGCCACCTCTTTATCTAATCTTCCCCTAATGTATCTTTAAGGAAGATGTACAATTATTCATCAGTCCAAACAACAAGGAAGAGGTAAGGACACACTCTCTTTATCTGTCCATATGGCTAAATCTATTTGTTAAGGCCAGCTCAATTTCTGTCAAGGTCGCTGAGATGTAAATAAGGTTAGGGCAAGTGATTGTTGGCGAGATTGTAGGTTAGGGTTAGGGTAAGCATTGGGGCTGGGTCCAAGGTTAGGGTTAGGGTTGGGATTAGCACTAGCCCTGTTTACATCTTGTGACCTATGATGATGTAAAATTGAGCTGGCCTTATCGTTTAGCACTAACTCTGTCCATATAACAACTATCAATAACCATTGTTAACAGGAAAATCTTCAGCACTGTAATTAACCTTTTCTACACATTTAGACATTTTATACACCGCCAACCTGAAACAAAGATAAATACAGGGTGTAAAAAAACCAGGGGATCTTTTACGTGCATTCCAATATATACACGGGACCTTGGTTTTCCGTTTCATCCGAAGGACTAGACAGCTGTCCTTGTCAGCCCCGCCATCCTGCATCACTGACAAGGGGGAACCACACCGGAAAATCTGGATGAACTTTCTCGGCCAATGCAGGGATCGAACACCCGACCTCCAGGCTAGCGAGCCAGCGTCTTACCCACTTAGCCACCGTGAAACAGTATCACAAACTGGACTGATGCGGTTTACGCATTTACACCTCGGAGTACTATTTTACAATCTGATTAAAACACAGATCCTATTTCGTTTTGTTTTTTATAGTTCAAAATTTCTTTTTACTTGTCTTTACCACACTTGGATCTGGAAGAGTTGTTATATTACCGGCGTTCTGGTTGAAGTGAGGGATTAGCCAATGAAACAGTCTGTTACAGCGAGTTCTTGGCGTTTTATGCACGGAACTGTGGGTAGCCCACTAGAAACATCAATGCTGATTGGTTAATCAAATGTCTGACACCACCTTTCAGTACAACTGGTCAGATCTTCATGCAGTGTAGGCCATCGAAAGTATAAAAAAAATGTAACGAAATATAGATCTGTATTTCAATCAGATAGTAAGAAAACCAAAGATATAAAAGTTTTACGAAACTATATACAGATCATTGACAGACATGGTAATTATGTTTCCCTTGGGAGAGAGAGAGAAATGGGGTTTAACATCCACTCGACACAAACTAGGTCATTTTGGGACTAACATATGGTTTAATTTTATTTCATTAATTCGCTTCCGCGTAGGGGTCTTTAGCAGTGGGAGGAAACCGGAGGACCCAGAGAAAACCCACGAGGTTGGACAGGCGACCCTACTCCTTGTCACGTACAACCGGGGATTCGAAACCACGCCAGTTGACTCAATGACAGACCGTATGATACAGCGCAGCGCGCACATGCTAACCATTCGGCCATCCAATCCCCCGACAGACATGGTAATTTTGTTTCCCTTGGAACATGTGACGAGTGGGGGTGTGTTTGTTGGTTGGTCAAATGGTTTCACACTTACACTGTACAACATAAGGTCAGTCAATGAGTCAAGTGATATTAGATACCCCGATTGTACGTGTCAAGAAATAAGGTTGCCTGTCAAATCTTGTGTGTTTTCTCCGGTTTCCTTCCACTGCTTTAGACGCCTACGCACAAGCATATTATTAAAAAAGAGATTCCGGGCTGTAATGCATGATCGACAGCAAAAGAACATGTCTCAACCAACCATGACAGCTGAAAGATTTTGACTGTGTTTGATTACGTCGGGATTCTGCTCATAACACCCAAGTTAGGACTGACAGAACTGTGATAGGACTGAGTAGAACTGCATTACAAATCAGTATAGGGAGCCTACTAATGTTTTAAATATGGTGGCCATTCAGGGCAGAGATCTATTCTTGAAGTAGTTAGTTCTCTGTGTGCAGAATGTAAAACCATCATGGCTACCTCTCAAATATAATGTGTAGGCCTAATATGGTATTAACTTACTTTGTGACATTCTTACAATAGTAACATGTTAGATTCTTTAACTTTTTACAACCTTTTCTTAAATATCTCATTCCTTTATCACTGAAAATATACCAAAATATATTCTACACTGTTATATTTTATCATCCAATAACACATTATACAGTAGATATCACTTGTGTGATAACTTTCATATTCTACTTTCTTAGGAGATATTGCTTAACATGAATTTTATTGGTCAATTAAAAAGGAACTACTTTGTAGATCCAGTAATATTGTTGGAGAAAAGTTCTCAATTACCATAAACAATTACAATACTCCCCTAAAGGAACAACCGAGTTGATATATAGGACTTTGCAATGGTTGACTTGCAGTCAAAACATGATGTATCACTACGCCGTAATGTTATAAGGTTCAGTAAAAGTGAAATCTATACCAAAGAATTATATTTACTTATTTGTGGGCGTAAAAAAGGGTTGGGTGATAAATAAAATCTCCTACTCGTCTTTTTGGATATAAAAAAATATCAACAATCGTGGATAAAGTATAAAAAACTCAGCAAGGCCTTGTTTTTTTTAACTTTATCAACTTGTGTTGATATTTTTTGATATGAAAATAGACGAGTAGGAGATTCTCGATATATCCACAGAATAATCCATCTCCAATATAGTAAATTTCAGTTGTACTAGTGGGTGTAATGAGACAGAGAGATGGGGTTTAACATCTGGCCACTCCACACAAACTACGACATTCTTGTGTGTATTGGGTTCTGTTGTATGTACATCTTATCAAAGCCTTCAAGTAAAACTCTACATTTTTCATCAGTTCTAAACCTATCAGATTCCTCAAATATTGTTTATGGGGATACTCGATTAAACGTTCGGAATTAAATTATCCCAATCCCAAAAATAGTGATGATCGAGTGAAATTGGGGATTTCGAGCTCGTGGAGTGCATAAGAAATTATCTCAACCAACCAGGACAGCTGAAATAGATGCATTGTGCTTAATTACGTCACGGTTCTACTCACACAACCTCCCTTGTCAGAACTGTGACAGTTCTGAATTCCGTGTCACTAGATTGCAATAATGTCAATTTGAGACGTTCCGGAGTGACAGTCGAGCATACCCCAAGTGTTTGTGGTAAAGGGAGATAACACATCTAGAATTGTATGAATTTCGACTATTCTTATAGAGACTAGATATTGTATAACATGCAGTGGTTGCTTCAGGATGATGGTACCTACCTTACTAATGTACATCCACTAATATCTAATTGTAATAGGTAATAACAAACACCGGATAAATACTGTATACCCATATCAGTTACCTGAAATATAGAAACATTTAAAATACAGATGTGACATCATCCTTTGATGTTGGCGTACCATTATTTCAAATAATCGTACAGGCAATGTGCCAAGCGTACATTTTTTATACTAGTTGCATCATTGGACCCACTTGACGTATTTCATTGAAATGCACATGCTGGATAGTGTCTGTACTTTAGGTTTTTTAATGGTCTTGTGCAATACTCGTGCTACACGCACTTGTGCAATATTAATATATTACTTAATGTCTCAAACTCGACCATTAACATCCATGGGGGCCCTGGCGTACTTAATTAAATGTACACCATTGCCCAGCCCCCCCTCCCCCTCCCCAAAAAGTTACTTTTAAGTTCATATTGACATTGAATTGTATAAAAAAAATTAATTATTATCCATTAACTTGAAAACACAATGTAGATTCAAGAGAAAAGTACAGTCTCAAATAACTGAATGGTCACTGGTTAGCAATGTTAGATTTACCTATAGGTTTAGCAGACTGAAGCAGGGCTGCCGACAACCAGTATCGCAGCGCAATTTGCGATACATATTTTGTCCATTGCTAATCAAAAATTAAAATCTAACGTTTTTGATTCGCAGTAACTGCGAATCATTAATATGCCTGTCATTTTGGATATTGACACAAAGATTTATCCACATTTCTCAACACTTTCAACTGTATAAAATATCAAATAAATTTTATAAACAAAACGGAATTCTCCGTGTGACATTTTCTTCTCGAACTACCCAGAATCAATTCATAATACTATATAATACAGGGACATAACTCTATGAATCGGGACTATTAAACTGGAAATAGGGAATCAAGTAGTACCACTCACGTTGCGAGACATGTCAATTTCGAGTAATTATATCAGAATTCAATTTGAAAAAAAATAAATTCAGTGTATCCCCCACGTATTGTAAATAAAATATAAAAAATAAATACGTGTAAACGTATTGTAAAGTGAGAAATCAAAGTAAGAATTCCCGTAAACTATTATTGTTTATATCGCGTGCGTCTAGTTAATCGAGATTATTCGTAAAATACCGCATGTTTCCGATTGAACAAAAATAATAACACACGATAAAAAGTTTGTTTTCTAATGAAGAAATAAGAAGCCACTGCCAAGAATTGGCTTCAGACATAAGGCCTAACAAAAGTCTACATTCATTCAGAAATGTTCACAGCTAGCTGTAGAAGTGCTAAAATTCTAAAAAAATCTTAAGAATGAAATCTAATCATTTGCTATCAATTAAAATAAAAATAATCTTGTTATTTAGGTGTTTTATGTTGATTTGAAACTAAAAAACTGCTAATCAATTTTTAAATTTGCTAATCAAATTTGGCAAAATTGGACTTTTTGATTAGCAGTGCTGCTAATCATCTGTGAAAAATTACCGACAGCCCTGGACTGAAGCCTAGTCACTCATCAAGATCTGGGGGATTACCCAAGTATTTGATAACATCAAAAGGTCTGAGACAATATTTCTACTCATTTAAATGCATACATGTGTAGGATTAGAGTAGAGAGGTCAAAATGGCGTCAATGCTTAGCATCTTTTGTTTGTTCAACGTCATTTCAATGAATGCAGAAGAGAAAGATTTTTCTCTTCGGGCACCGCTATGGACAGACACGTGTCTGCTATTGTCGGTATAAGGGCAAACTGCCAGAGTTGAAAATGAGTTAATAAAATATATTACGTACCAACTTACAACCAGAGATATTTAAGAATGACAACATACGACAGCAGAACGCCAGATTCTTAATAGCACCATCTGTTATATGCTGAAATAATTTATGTAAATTAAAATTATTATTTCTTGTACAATTTATATAAATTATGCCAATGTATACACGGGACCTCGGTTTTCTATCTCATCCGAATGACTAGACAGCTGTCCTTGTCAGGCCCTCCGTCCTGCACCACTGACAAGGGGAAACCACGCCGGAAAATCCTGATGAACTTTCTTGGCCAATGCAGGGATCGAACACCGACCTCCAGGTTAGCAAGCAAGCGCTTAACCCACTTAGCCACTGTGGCTCCATGAAATGATATAAGGTTTAATGTCTTGTCAACTCAATACTTTTGTCATTTTAAGACATTTTTACGGTCATTTTTATTTCTATGTGTGCAATGTAATGGAGAATAGTTTTTTCTCTGTCATATCAAATTCCAACTGTCAAGGGTTCCTTTACATGCACACCAATGTGTACACCTCATTTTTTCGTCCCATCCTAACAACTAGACACACTTTTCTTGTTAGCCCTGTAGGTGCCACCCACCCTTGACAAGTCAGAATCAGCCATGAAAAATCCATAATTCTGAAGGTTCTTCTATGCCTGAGTACTCAGTCACTTACAGCTCGACCACCACAACCACCAGCAGCAGCAGACCGGGTCACTATGGTCCCTTGGACCAATTGGTTTCCTTGGACTCCCATCGCAGTGAAGAAAAGAGAGACAGAGAAATGGGGTTTAACGTCCACTAAACACAAACTAGGTCATTTCGGGACTGACATATGGTTTAGTTTTATTTCAATAATTTGCTTGTGCGTAGGGGTCTTTAGCAGTGGGAGGAAACCGGAGGACCAGGAGAAAACCTACAAGGTTGGACAGGTGAACCGACCCTACTCCTTGTCATGTACAACCAGGGATTCGAAACCATGCCAGTTGACTCAATGACAGACCTTATGATACAGCGTGCACATGCTAACCATTCAGCCATCGAACCCCCCTCGCAGTGAAGAAAACATGATTGATGATAAAATGAAACCAGCTTGATTCACTTTCCCCCGCATCCCACTCATAGATTATTTTGGCCATTATATTTTTAAATGGAGGTAAAAATGAATTTTATTTATTCTGAAACAAATACGTCTATATTTTTTAAAAATTCCAGTCGGTTGCCAGTACCACATCCGACAGTCCTTGGCCCCCGTCAGCCCCTGACTACCACAGTCCAAGGCCCCACAAGCCCCTGACAACCACAGCCCCTCGAAGTAGAAAATATACCTTACCACACAATGTGAAATATCTAGTCTCTGTATTTCACGACATTGTTGTGCAAATTTCTGTAAACCGAGATCTGTGATTCCTGCACAATCTGATAAACATACATCTCGTAGTCTTATATTATTACCTAAAGCTGCTAATCCCTGCAATAATCCATTCAAGTTATATTGTGTCATTTTACCACATCAGGAAATAAATAGAAATGGGGTTTAACATCCTACTGTTCTGCTCTGACTATGCTAATGAAGACGGGCATACGCCATACAAAGGAAATTTTTTGGTTTTTTTGCAGAGCCACTGCCTCTGTCATAAAATTAAAATATTATAAATGTGAATGTATACTTGTAGGCATACTCCACTAAACACTGCTGTAATGAAAGCAAATTTCTGTCCCAAATTATGATTTTATTATGCCCAATTAACCAGTGCATAGCAGAAGATTGTGTGACAAACGGGGCTATCAAATCGAAAACAATGTAAACAATACTGTTTGGAGACAAACAATACTTTCACCGTTTTTAATACCTTAAATCACTGTCCAAAGTTTTAGGGAAGACCCCAGATTAAACGAAGGGCTGTCATGTTGCTGTGCTTTTGGATAGATTTGATTGAAAAGGAAGAATAGACAAACTCCTTCAAAAGCTCAATTATCAGAAGCCAATCCAGCAATGGCCAGAGAGGGATTTCTCGGGCAATTGCTTCAGGAATATGACATGTAGAGTATGTATTATAAGTATGTATTATAGTATGTATTATAGATAAATTACCTGGGCCCTTATTCACGAAAACTTAAACTAAAATACAATCGAAATTTTAAGAAATACTGCAATTCGATTGGCTGACCAATATGCAAATTGGATATATGCAAATTGATTTTACTGGTCAGCCAATCGAATTGCAGTATTTCTTAAAATTTCGATTGTATCTTAGTTTAAGTTTTCGTGAATAAGGGCCCTGATGTATATATAAAGTATGTATTATAGATAAATTACCTGATCCCCACAGTTACAGCCTGATAAATCTAGAGATGTTAAACTGTGTATCTGTCCTAATAACTCTATACCAGCTTCACTTATATTCTCACAAAAACAAACACTTAAATACACTAGATGGTGGCACCTGTAATAATATCATACACTAAAATACACCAGATGGTGGCACCTGTAATAATATCATACACTAAAATACACCAGATAGTGGCACCTGTAATAATATCATACACTAAAATACACCAGATGGTGGCACCTCTAATAATATCATACACTAACATACACCACATGGTGGGACCTGTAATAATATCATACACCAGATGGTGGAACCTGTATTATTAGTACCACCAAACATCCAGTGTTAACATAAGGAGTGAAAGTTAGTTATTAGTAGTTAGATGGTATCTCGAAAATAAATGGAATTAAATTGTGTGTAATATCCTACTGTTCATCACCATGAAGGCTATGCACTGTGCTACCATTTAATGGAAATGAATAGGTTTATTTAGTCTTTGTGTGTATGCAAGATGTGAAACGGAGTAGAACCGCACTACAAAACAATATACAAATTTTGGGATAAGGTGTTTATTCGAGGTATGAAGGAGATGGATTTCGGTGTGCAGAATACCTTTTAACTATCCTTGATGATATATAATGATTTACCTTTTATGTATATTAACCATAGCCAAATCACCAACACGTACACAGTTTGTTAAATTTAATTCACGTAGTTTGAAAGCACACGGTCCTTCAGCCATATATCGAACTCCAGTATCACTAATCCTACAAATAAACAAACAATTTTCACATAAATTTAAAATAAAAAATCACTTTGTAAAAACAATTTCATATTGTTTTAATGTTAAAACCAATTTCCACATTGTTTTAAGATTGTTAAAAACAATTTCCACATTGTTAAAAAAAAATTTCACATTGTTGAAAAAAAAATTTCACATTGTTGAAAAAAAAATTCACATTGTCAAAAAAACAAACAATTTTCACATAGATTTAAAATAAAAAATCACATTGTAAAAACAATTTCATATTGTTTTAATGTTAAAACCAATTTCCACATTGTTTTAAGATTGTTAAAAACAATTTCCACATTGTTAAAAAAAAAATTTCACATTGTTGAAAAAAAAATTCACATTGTCAAAAAAAATTTTCACATTGTTAAAAAAAGATTTCACATTGTTGAAAAAAAATTTCGCATTGTTAAAAAAAATTTTTGCATTGTTAAAAAAAAATTTCACATTGTTAAAAAAAATTTTCACATTGTTAAATTCTTTTTCACATTGTTAAAATTTTTTTTCACATTTTTTGTGTGGAATAATACATTGATACTTAAATGAAAAGAAATGAAATGGGGTTGAATGTTTAACTTTTCTGCACCAAAACAGCTAATGAAGACGGACATACACCATGTTCTATGAGGAAAATTTTGCCTACTCTTTGTCGAATTCCAACTGCCAAAGATTCCTTTACATCAATCTGATTAAAATAGATCTATATTTCGTTTCTACTACTTAAAGATGTGACCAGTTTTAGGGGTCGGACAAGCGGCTTTTGACCCTATGATATCAGACATTTGATTAACCAATCAGTGTTGATAGTTCTAGTTGGTTACCCACAGCTCTGTGCATCTCATGCCAAAAAATGTGGGTTAACAAAATTGATGGAATTGGGTCCTGTGTACTTCCAGTTCGATTATCAAATATCACTGAAATAATCGAGATAGAGAGAGAAATTGGGTTTAACGTCCACTCGACACAAACTAGGTCATTTCGGGACTAACATATGGTTTATTTATTTATAAATTTTTCATTTCAATAATTCGCTTGCGCGTAGGGGGTCTTTAGCAGTGGGAGGAAACCGGAGGACCCGGAGAAAACCCACGAGGTTGGACAGGCAACCCTACTCCTTGTCACGTACAACCGGGGATCTGAAACAATCGACCTTACAATAGTTCTGTGACTCAGGCTTTTTATTTCAGTCTATGGAATAGCCGGTTTGAATAGTTTCGAATTTCAGTTGGAAAACTCAATTTAAAAAACTCTCTAATTTTTTTTAAAGAATTGGTGTAGTCAACATTTTACATGTACCAGGAGCTAAATGGCTAAGGCTTGGTTTTTACCTGACACAGTCTGCTAGGTTTAAAACGATGAGATTTCGACACGCTGAGATAGATTTGAGTGTAGCGTCTGTTAGTCTTGAACAATCAGTAAGATAAACATGTTCTAAATTAGGACAAAGTTTACCAATGAGTTTGGTACTAGCGTCAGATATTCGGTGGTTCCCTTTAAATAAAACAAAAGAGTGTTAAATATGTTAATATGAAATTTTTTAAACATGCTACTTTTTTGCACCGACTGGGCTTATGAAAACAGGCATAAGTCTTACAGTATATGCTATGAGAGAAATTTTGCCCAGTCCATCTGTCAAGGGTGCTTTTACGTGCACACTGTTACTTGCAGGTCCTCTGTCCTGCACCACTGACAAGGCTAAATCATCCTTGACCAACACCTGGATCGAACCAAGGACCTTCTGGCTAGTGAGTCAGTGTCTTACTGAGAAATATTTATATACTAAAGAGAGAGAGAGAAACTAGGTCATTTCGGGACTAACATATGGTTTAATTTTATTTCAATAATTCGCTTGCGCGTAGGGGTCTTTAGCAGTGGGAGGAAACCAGAGGACCCGGAGAAAACCCACGAGGTTGGACAGGCAACCCTACTCCTTGTAATGTACAAACAAGAATTCGAAACCACGCAAGTTGACTCAATGACAGGCCTTATGATACAGCACGCACGTGCTAACCATTCGGCCATCCAACCCCCTACTAAAGAGTAAAATTATTCACTTGCACTGGAGGACCCAGAAAAAACTAATGAAGACGGACAGGCGACCCTACTCCTTATCACATACAAGCTGAAAATCGAAACTATGATACATACTTCACTCAATGACAGACCTTATGATCTACAGCGCACACATTAGACCATTAGGACCCCCAATCTCTCCTTATGCTAGGTTCCGACTATCACAATTCGCGCTACAATTGTAATCGTCTCATCATATATTGAGGTCAGCTGTAGCCATCGTGTTGATCGTATCTGCACATACCAGATCGTGGACTAAATAGGAACAATACTATCGGAACGCATCGCACGACAAATGAAATGAAAAGGGGTTTAACGTCCTACTGTTCTGCTCCGAAGACTTGCTATGAGGGAAATTTTGCACGGACAGTGGCACTACGGCCTACTCTTATATCGAATTCCAACTGTCAAGGGATCTTTTACGTGCACGCCAATCTGTACACTGGACCTCGGTTTTTTGTCCCATCCGAACGACTAGACAGCTGTCCTTGTTAAGCCCTCCGTCCTGCATCACTGACAAGGGGAACCACGCCAGAAAATCTGGATGAACACCCAACCTCCAGGCTAGCGAGCCACCGTCATCCCCACATCGCACGACAGTGGGAACCTAGTATTATATAGTAGAAAAAAAAAACCTGTTATCAAGAGGTGGAAACCTTACCATCAATCTTTATAGTAGTCAAATTTTTATAATTAGCAATTTTTTTAAATGGTTCGTCTGTTAGAAGTGGGGATCCCAGGAATGATACGGCATTGATCTTCGGACATTTATCAGCTAAAGTCTAGAAAATAACAAATATAGTATGAAATAAAATGGGGTTTAACATACTACTATTCTGCTTCGACTGGGATACACCATACAGTGTGCTATGAGGGAAATTTTGCCCAGGCAGCGGCGCTACGGCCTACTCTTATATCGAATTCGAACTGCCAAGGGATCTTTTACATGCATGCCAATATACACAGAGGACTTTTTCATATCATCCGAATGACTGGACAACCATCCTTGTCAGGCCCTCCGTCCTGCACCACCAACAAAGGGAAACCACGTCGGAAAATCCTGATGAACTTTCTTGGCCCATTCAGGGATCGAACAAGCAACCCACTTAATCACTGTGGCTCCCGCAAATATAGAAATTTTATAACTTACGTAGAGCCTAGAAAATAGAGAGAGAAATGGTGTTTAACATCTAATTGACACTAACTAGGTCAATTTGGGACTGATGAAATATGAAAATGAAATGGGGTTTAACGTCCTACTGTTCTACTCCTAAACTGGGCTAATGAAGAAGGGCATACGCCATACAGTGTGCTATGAGGGAAATTTTTCCCAGGCAGCGGCGCTACGGCCTACTCTTATATCGAATTCGAACTGCCAAGGGATCTTTTATGTGCACGCCAATTTGTACATGGGACCTCGGTTTTTCGTCCTATCTGAACGACTAGACAGCTGTCCTTGTCAGGCCCTCCGTCCTGCATCACTGACAAGGGGAAACCACGCCGGAAAATCTGGGTGAACTTTCTCGGCCAATACAGGAATCGAACACCCTACCTCCAGGCTAGTGAGCCAGCGTCTTACCCACTTAGCCATGTGATCCCTCAATTTGGGACTAATATATGGTTCAATTTTATTTCAATATTTCGTTTGTGAGCAGGGGTCTTCAGCAGTGGGAGGAAACAGGAAGACAGGCGACCCCACTCTCTATCACGTACAAGTGGGGATTCGAAACCACGCCAGTTGACTCAATGACAGACTGAGACCTTATGATCAAACGCACACACATTGACCATTCGGCCAGCCAACCCCTCGCCTAGAAAATAGCAAATATAGTAATTCTATAACTTATGTAAATAGACTGAAAAATAAAATACACAATTCCAAATTTTGAAGATTATTCCACCGGCTAGAAAAGCTCAAATCAGATTACGTATATCTGAACGTTGAGTATGTTTTTTTGCTAGAGAATTACTTATCTGAAGGTCCAAACTCTGTCCTTAATCTGGGGGTTGGATGACCAAATGGTTAATGCGTGAGCGCTGTATCATAAGGTCTGTCATTGAGTCAACTGCCGTGGTTTCGATTCCCTGGTTGTACGTGACAAGTAGTAGGGTTGCCTCTCCAACCTTGTGGGTTTTCTCCGGGTCCCTCCGGTTTCCTCCCACTGCTAAAGACCCCTAAGCACAAGCGAATTATTAAAATAAAATTGAACCATATTATGTTAGTCCTGAAATGACGTGGTTTATCTCGAGTGAACATTAAACTAATTTGCATGCATGATCCCGGTGTTGACTGAGAAACTTCATCAGGATTTGTCACCAGTGAAGAATGGAGGGCCTAGCAAGAGACTACATATAGTCTTTCAGATGAGACAAAACAACGAGGCCCTGAGGACACATTGGCGTGCACATAAAAGAACCCTGGACAGTTAGAAGACGATATATGAGTAGGCCGCAGTGCTGCTGTCTGGACAAAATTTCCCTCATAGCACACTGTATTAGCCCAGTTGATGCAGAACAGTAGGACGTTTAAAACCCAATTCAAAATTTGAGTTATGCGGCCTGCGTACACTTACCACGACGCAATCATCATTAAGTGTAGGAAATTCGTTAAAGAGCATTGTCTTCAAGTTCGTACAGCCATTGGCTAAATTCCTAAATCCTTCAGGTGTTAACTGAAATATTAAAAATACAATATTAAACATACGTTATGCAAGAGCTAAATCTGTCTATTGTAGGTCTTTCTTTAGGCCTGAAATGTTATATAAACTATTAATTAGACATTTATTAACATGAAAAGACCTTAATTAACTCTCACTGCCATCTAATGTGTCAGATTTTAATTGGATTTGAATTTAATCTGCTGCTCAACGCTCATTGATGATTAAATCCAAAAATGGATAATCAAGACTATGTTTCTTTATCGTACCGACTTTAGGAATGATGATCGAGGCTAGGCTTAAAATTCAATCACTAATATCTTGGTTCAGAGTGAAGCAATTTGACTGAAATTTTCAGCATATTCCCTTTACATTATCTAGTATTCAGCTATATATAGTGAGAACTGCCAGCTCTTTATCTAATCTTCCATAACGTATCTTTAAACAATACAGAACTGTTTGAGATATGAAATAGTGTTTAAGGGAGTTTAAAGTCTCATCGAGAGAATATTGTGTTCATTTTGAGACTAACATATGGTTTGTGTTTGCTATGACCTTAAGGATAATGTTCGCAAAAGGAATTTCGACCAGATAGCAGTATCTCTACTTACTCTTCTTAAATAGTAAACAAAGTCTTGATTATCCATTTTTAAATTAAATCATTGACCCTCAATCGTGTTTAAATCCGTTGAAAATCTAATGGCATAGAGAGTTGATTATGGTCTTGGCAAGTTAATAAATAATTCATAAAACATTTAAGGCCTAAAGAAAGACCTGCAATAGGCAGATTTACCTCTTACAGCTTTAGTAAAACTTTGACTACAGACTCTAAATGATCACTTTTTTTTCAAAGATGTCACAGTAATTGGGCTGAATGATTAATGCAAACTTTCGTAATTTTTTAGATTAATAATAAATAATTGGCCATGACCTACCTGTAAGCAGCCACTAAGGTCAAGGTATTCCAGTTTTTTATTACATTTACCCGAGGCCAGGTACATCATACCTCGATCTGAGAATTTGGCACAAAAAGCCAGACTTAAATACTGGACATTAGAACAATATCTGGAAAAAATACATATTGGAAAATATTGATTCAATTTGAAAACAAACATAATAGACTCAATGACAGACCTTATGATACAACGCGCACGCGCTAACCATTCGGCCATCCAACCCCAACGAGAAAAGAGAGAGAGAGAGAGAGAGAGCTTATAAGTTAGACCTTCCATACCAGACCCTTTTGCTTTAAAATTGGTCACATTTTTCATTTTTGTTTTTGTTTACTACAGTTGAAATATATTTAAAATCTTTTATTTCATAAAAACTAAAAATTAAAATTCTAATTTAATGATTGACAGGTTCTCCGACCAGTCAGACAAGACTTGTAAACTTGATTGAAACAAGAGCCCTGATTGGTAGCCTTACACCACTCCACCAATAAAAAATCTGTATGTAAACTTGATTGAAATAAGAGTCCTGATTGGTACCCTTACAACACTTCACCAATAAAAACTCTGTATGTAAAGTGAAAGTAGAGAATTGATACTTACTTGGCAATAGATCGCAAGGAAGCGTCGGTTAGTTTAGTGTGGGATACATTTAGATATAATAAAATAAGGCAACCTTTTACTAATACAGTAAGCATCTCATCCTAGAAATAGAAAAATACACCCAAACTTAAAGATGAATTATCTAAGATTTAGATAAAGAGCTGGGCATTCTTGTCGCAATAGTTCCAAAAAAGGTAATGTAACATGAACATATTGAAAATTTCAGTAAAATTACTTTATTCTGAACAAAGTTATCAGTTTTGACAAGATGTGGTAAATATTGTTTAGTACTGTAGCAATGTTACTTGTTAATTGAGACTCGGCCTAGCTGCACCATTTCTAAATTAAATCATTAAATGGCGATAGCATTTCATTCAGTTTAAATCTTTGCCATCCGACAGTCTAGAGAGTTGATTATAGGCTAGTCATGTGAAAAAAAGGTCTAAATAATATAACATTTGAAGGAAAAATAAAAACCTACAATAGGCAGATTTAGCTCTTACATAATGCACTAGCAGTGGGAGTAAACCTGAGGACCCGGAGAAAACCCACAAGGTTGGACAGTAACCCTACTCCTTATGACGTACAACCGGGGAATCGAAAACAAACCACTTGACTCAATGACAGACTTTTTGATTTCATGCGCACATGTTCAATATAGACCACCCAAATTCTCTTGATAGGGAGATTTCCAAATGCCAGTGGTTATTTTAAACATCAATTCACATATGGGTGGAATATGTTTTTATCTCAATGGAATGGGGTCGTCTCGACAACACAATACTTTAGTCATTTTAAAACTAGCAGACACATTGCTAAGAGATTGTCAACCTCAGACATTTCATTTGAGAGTCTTCTTGCAGATACAACAAATAAATGAAAAAGTTTTTCAATAGAAATCCTATCCTGAAAGTACAGTACCAGCTGTTAACACATGTGACCCATGACAACAAAATGAGTTGGATGTCGCAAAAATGTGTGTAAATAGGCCTAGGCTAAAAAATATCACATTTAATAATACAACATGAATGGTAAAAGCTTAGATTTAAAATGACTTTTTTTTCTTTTCTTTTTTTTAGCTTATTTCAATACTTTTGTTCATATATTAAAACACTGACTTCAGACTCATATTTTGTCGCTGGTCACATGTTTTTATTCTTACATCTAGAGCTGAACATTCTGATAAATTTAAATCCTGTAAATTTCTACATTCACTGACACTAGTAAACGTTGGTTGAGAGATGTGTTTAGCTGCTCGTAAATTCAGATGCAATAAATATGGTCGGGCTTTATACAGCAATCTGGTCGCTACTTGATCCGTTACCCTGAATAGAAAATGAAAACCGTTACATTAATTCTGGTACACGTCAACATGATTGATTTGGGTAAAGGATGAATGTGCGATTTTATTAAAATAAATAATCTACAAGTAACCGGGGTGGCCAATTTTTTACATTCCATATGCCAGATATTATCTGTACAACTTCAGATGTGCCATTCAACTTCAAAAATTACATTTCTAAGGCCTAAATATCAAATGGTTAGTCAACAGAAAAACTTGTCTGCTATATCACCTCAGTGGGAGTGGACATTAAATAAAGCTATTTCACACGCAGAGTAAAACTCTGCATGATATCACTTCTTTCATTATTAATAGGCAGAGGAAAATTAAGGACTATTAAGAAAGTCATATTATTATCATAAGTTGTAATGTGCCACTTGGAATGGTTCAATGTGCCACTTGGAATGGTTCAATGTGCCATTTGGGCTATAGGTTGGCCACCCCTGCTTTTAATGTTTCGTGAACATGCAGTTATTAAGACATTTTACAATACATGCCATCGTTAGCTATGTGATTTTCCCAGAACATGCATTTACTGGGTCTATAAATAAAATAATCATGACAGAAATAATTAGCTATGTGAATTTCCCAAAACATGCATTTACTAATCAGACAAATCTACATATAACATAAGCTACTCTCATTAACATATTGATAACCGACAGAGAATTTGTAAACAATATTCTGAATAACCCCTAAGCCACTTTAACTTCAAGAGATAAAAGGGTTATTCACATTCAGTAGGCTGTTCACCTGTGCATTGCATTAGTAGGACTATGGATAGAATGTGCAATTATAGAGATATAGATTATGAGTTATAATAAGACAGAGGGTATGACGTGTCATGTAATAGATGGCAGAAGGGTGTCATGGTCATGCCAAGAAGTGAATACAGAAGGATGACATTTCATGTATGTCAAAGACAAGATTATGGAAGGGTGACATGTCATGTATGTAATCGTAGAGTAAAATGTCATGACATAAAAGGGAATTTAGAAGAATGAGATGTAATGTAAATGAAATGAAATGGGGTTTAATGTCCTACTGTTCTGCTCCTAAACTGGGCTAATAAAGATGGGTAATGTAATAGGACAGCATATAGAAGGATGAAATATCATGTATGTAATAGAAAAGGTTATATGAAATGACATGCTATGTAATAGAAGAGGTTATATGAGTTGACATGCTATGTAATAGAAGAGGTTATACGAGGTGACATGCTATGTAATAGAAGAGGTTATATGAGGTGACATGCTATGTAATATAAAAAGTTATAGGAGTTGACATGCTATGTAATAGGAGAAGTTATAGGAGTTGACATGCTATGTAATAGAAGAGGTTATATGAGGTGACATGCTATGTAATAGAAGAGGTTATATGAGGTGACATGCTATCTAATAGAAGAGGTTATATGAGTTGACATGCTATGTAAAAGAAGAGTTTATACGAGATGACATGCTATGTAATAGAAGAGGTTATATGAGGTGACATGCTATGTAATATAAGAAGTTATAGGAGTTGACATGCTATGTAATAGAAGAGGTTATATGAGGTGACATGCTATGTAATATAAGAGGTTATATGAGGTGACATGCTATGTAATAGAAGAGGTTATATGAGATGACATGCTATGTAATATAAGAAGTTATAGGAGTTGACATGCTATGTAATAGGAGAAGTTATAGGAGTTGACATGCTATGTAATAGAAGAGATTATAGTGACATGTCCTGCAATAGATTATATAAAGGTGACATGTCATGTAATAATAAGAGGTTATATATCTAATGTTATTGAAGAGTGGACAAACAGCACCTACTGTGCATGCTACATTTACATGTTCAATAAATACTGTGCATGCTATATACATAAATATATATGTTTTACTATTGAATAATTATTATTTTATATATAGGCTACTCCATTTACTCCATGTTAAAAATCACCAGAGGTTGTCAATAATCTGAGGCTATCAACTATAAACGATCAGAGATTGTCAACTGTCATATTATCATAGATTGATTGTCAACTATCAGAGGTTTTCATCTAGTAGAGGTTGTCATTTAACAGTCCAAGATTGTCAACTATCAGAAATTGTCAACTATCAGAGGTTGTCAACCATCAGAGGTTGTCAGTTATAAAAGATTGTCAGTTATCAGAGGTGGTCTTTTCTCAGAGGTTGTCAGCTATAAGAGATGGTCATCTATCAGAGGTAGTCAACTAACTATCATAGATTGTCAACTATTAGAGGTCATTGACTATCAGAGATTTATCAGAGATCGTCATCTATCAGAGGTTGTCAGTTATCAGAGATTATCGGTTATCAGAGGTTGTCAACTATCAGATAAAAAGTAATTGTTTTGGATTTTGTAAATGAAAAAGAAAGATTTGCTGATTTACCCAAATTTTAATCTGAAAATTAAATTAAACAGATACACTCAAAATAAACAACATAAACCGTATATAGGTAACCTAGTTGTGATATTCCACAGCTTTATTATAATATCAAACAAGTTAAAGATGCATTATGTACGATTTAGGTAAAGAGCTGACTGTTCTTGCTCTAATAGTTCAAAAATAGAAAGTTGTCCTTGTCGAATGCTTTATGACATCAAACTATACTGAGCACCATGGAAAACGCATCACTTTTTTTCCCAAATATTTTATTAGGTTTTGTATGTATAATATTATGCAATACTATGAACTATTGTTTCACACAATGCTCCCAAACGCAAAAAATATCGGCCCGTGTGCACCCAAAAAAATTGCACGAGATGCACATGAAAAAAAAACCAATATTCACGTGCAGCATTGTGTGTGAGCCCTTATTTAAAAGCATGTTTTCAACTTAATGTGCAGTACATGAACTGTGAAACGTCAATCTGTCGTAATTTGTTGTTGGACGTGTGAAGGAATTGAGCTAGAGATGCCGAGACTTATTGAAAATCAACAGAATGAAGCCATGGGAATGTCCCGGGCTGGTATGTCTACACGTGCTATTGCCAGACACTTTAATTGTCATTAGTCCACTATTGTAAGGTTGGTGGAACGTATTCGAGTTACTGGATCAACACGTGACCGTCAACGTCCTGATCCACAATGCGTTACAACCCAGACTCAAGACCGCTACATCCGGGTCACTCATCTGCGTGTCAGATTCCGCCCAGCGACTCGAACAGGTGCAGCAGTCGTCGGAAGACAAGGACCAGTAAGTGCCAACACCGTAAGATGTCGTCTAAGAGAAGTAGGATTCCGTGCACGACGACCTTATGTTGGAGCTATCCTCAGGGATCATCACCGTCAGCGGCGTTTGATTTGGCCTCAAGGACACCAGACATGGAGAAGAGTAGACTGGCAAAGTGTGTGGAGACGTCTTGGGGAATGTCTTGCAGACTGCTGCGTCTTCTAAACGAATCGATGGGGTGAGGGAAGTGTAATGGTGTGGGGAGGCTTCACATTTCATCACTGGACCGCCCTACACATTTGCAGGGGTCACGTTAATGCTGTAGCCTACCGTGATGATGTCTTGCAACCAATTGTTGTTCCGATGTTTCGAGTGCACCCACAACTTCAGCACTTCCAACAGGATAATGCACGTCCGCATACCGCCCGTTTTAGTATGGACTACCTGGCTGCTAACAACATCAATGTCTTGGACTGACCAGCCATGTCTCCGGACATGGCACCGATAGAACATGTCTGGGATGAGATTTGACGCCGTCTGTATCGGAGACCACAGATGCACACCATTGCTGCTTTAGAAGCTGCTCTTGTCCAAGAATGGAACAATTTGCCCCAGACCTTCTTTCAAACATTGGTTAATTCCATGCGACGTCGCTGCACAGCGTGCTTAAGAGCCCGTGGAGGACACACGCGCTACTGACATCTGTGTCGTACTTTTGGTTTTGACCCCTCTGACTTTGTACCGTTGATTACAGATTAAACATCCATAAGTGTACAAATGTGTCATTATTGAAGTGTTCCCATTTGAATATTGTTCACAATAAGAAGCAAAATAAATAAGATATGTTTACAGGATCATTTTGTTATACGAAAAACTAAGTGATGCGTTTTCCATGGCGCTCAGTATATTTAAATTTAAGTCCCTTTTATCAGACCTAAATTAATAATAAATATTTTTTGTATGGAATTCTAGTCCTTATATATCATGGTTCCTTCTCATAGACTGTACAAAACACATGGAATTCATTATCCGTGACTATAAAGAATTCACAATCCCTATGTTTATTAATATTAATATTAATTGTGTTTTAACTTTGATGAATTATGCGCATTATACATATTCTTATTATTATTATTATTATTATGTTTTAAAATCATTATTTTCCATTTCCTGGAGCTGTATTAAAATACATCAAGATAAAGGACTGGAGAAGACTCCCTAAAAAAAACCTTGTTCACAGAATGAACGATCATTATATAATATTTAGAGATACTCTAATGATTACATTACCATATTGGATCTAATTATAAGAACCCCTGCTATAAAATTGTCCAGAAAATAAAAAGATTTCCGTAGCTACACCCCCTGATCCCCACCACAGCCCAACCTGTGATCAGCTTTATTTGTAGGCCTTACAACTGCCAAAGCAACCATCATCTGCTTTGCATGCGACCTTGTCACTATTCCTGCATATAGATTTTCCTGCCTGTATCTCAAATTGCTTGCAGGACCCATGTGAAGTTAGCGATATAACATGTTAGCTTTACACATTGATATAAATTGTATTTCATGTATCAATTATTCAGTATATAGATACTAAATGTACATACTAGAGTAATTGACAGATATTACGTTCAATAGTTAAAGATACATAGGTTTAACTAACATAAACCATGCAAAGACACGTCCACACAGCAGCTATGTCTCAACTTCAGCTTATCTGAAAGTTTATGTTGAACAAATCAGACAAGGATTTAGGATCCTTCAAGAAATCTGGCCACGGTTTCACAAAGCATTCTCAGATTTAGGTTAAGAATTTACTCAACTTTCAATCACTGTTTATGAGAAATATCTTTGATCCAGAAATATAAAACTTTGCACATAGTTTTTTATTGATGCATTTGATATATTAAAACAACAAAAGTTTTAAAGGGCTATATTTTAGTTAAAATAAGGTGAACAATTTTGAGCAAATTCTTAACTTAAGTCTGAGAATGTTTTGTGAACTTGGTGGCTGATCTCTATAGCGGAGGACACATGACTAGCTGAATGATTTAGCCAAATTGTTCGGCCGAATCAATCTGCGTCAAAATTCACCTAGTGTGTCCACATGTTTGATATATTTGTCTGGTGTCCGCTTCGCCGAAGCATTCGCCCAAATGGAGAATTCATTAGCCAATCACCACTCACCATCCACTCACATCGAGAAGTCACATGATAGTTTGAAGACATAGACGATGCCATGTTTAATCATGTGAAGTGAAAGGTGATGCAATAATCTGGTGAATCGGGCGAAACATTTGCCTAATGTGTCCACCCATTCGGCCGAATAAAATTTGGCATCGATTAATTCAGCCGAATGATTCAGCTAATGTGTCCACTGCTTATCTTGTTCATAATAGGTTTTCCGCACAGACAGTTCTAGATTAAATGAACATGGTTAACAAGCAGTTAAATTTTCTGAATGTAATTCTGTAAGTGGCCAGAAAATAAACTTATAAATTAATAATGTCATCAAATCATAACAAATTATAACGAGAAAATCAATAAATAACAACGAGTGTCTAGATGGAGAGACATACCTTCTTTTCACTTCATAGAAATCCAACTGAAACACAAAAATATCAAATATTATAATCTTTAAAACTGCTCATCATCATTTGTGGGATTGTTAATCATCCCTTAGAAACGATAAAATTATTGTGAAAGTTGAAAATATAAAAATCCCTGCTCGATCAACAGTAGTACAAACAGATTTTAGGTTTATTGGTTTCTAAACGATTATCTCTGATTGTATAGGAGTGTTTTTCTTTGTTCAATGCGCGCGCTGTATCATACGGCCTGTCATTGAGTCAACTGGCGTGGTTTCGAATCCCCGGTTGTACGTGACAAGGAGTAGGGTCGCCTGTCCAACCTCGTGGGTTTTCTCCGGGTCCTCTGGTTTCCTTCCACTGCTAAAGACCCCTGCGCGCAAGCGAATTATTGAAATAAAATTAAACCATATGTTAGTCCCGAAATGAGCTAGTTTGTGTCGAGTGGACGTAAAACCCCATTTCTCTCTCTTTGTTCCATATTTTGTATCCCTGTCTTCATTAGACCAGTTCAGAGCAGAACAGTAGGACGTTAAACACGATTTCATTTCATTTCATTTTTATATATCTTCATTTCTACTACGCTTGATAAAGACGGAAGAACCCTCGTCTAAACGTCGCTGAAATAAACTCTTCAAGTAACTTGTATTCCATATACTTGTGTCCTGTGTCGCCTTTATTTACACAATAGTAGTGATGTCACAGGATTCTCAAATTTATACGATGTACAAATATAATGATTTATAAAAACAGAAGATTATTGAAATTAACAGAGTAAAACGATTAGAGTAATCAAGATGTTATAAACTATAAAACATATAAATTTAGGGAAAAAGCTACTAATTTATTTGGGTGGGGTCACCACCCAAAAAAGGTTGGGAACCTATGCTCTACAGCATCACTTATACTTTTTTTTAATCCTCCCACAGGTAAAGACCCCTATGGCATACAAATTATTAAAATAAAATTGTACCCTTGGATAAATAAAGTATATATTATGTATTACTTACTTTCGACCACAGTAAGCTAGCCTGGGTTATAACTTTCCATGATCTGCAAACACAGGCACAGTTAGCAATATCTGTAATGTCTACATAGGTAAATATCTGTAATATACAAAATACAGTTAGCTATATCCACAATATCTACATAGCTAAAATACACAACTATATCTGCAATGTCTATAATTGATTGGATGTCTACATAACTATATATCTGTAAGAAAATTGAATTATGAAACTGAAATGAAATGAAATGAAATGGGGTTTAACGTCCTACTGTTCTGCTCCTATACTGGGCTAATGAAGACGGGTATACACCATACAGTATGCTATGCGGGAAATATTACCCGGGCAGCGGCACTATGGCCTACTCCAATATCGAATTTCAACTGCCAAGGGATCTTTTACATCACTCCAATGTATACACGGGACCTCGGTTTTTCCTCCCATCTGAATGACTAGACAGCTGTCCTTGTCAGGCCCTCCATGCTGCATCACTGACAAGGGGAAACCACGTCGGAAAATCCTGATGAACTTTCTCGGCCAATGCAGGGATCGAACACCCGACCTCCAGGCTAGCGAGCCAGCGTCTTACCCACTTAGCCACTGTGGCTCCCGTATTATGCAATTACTGTGTAACAGGTGTCATGTACGAGGCATGGTATGAAAACAGTTATCTAGTGAGTTCACCGAGTACAGCCTACAACATATTGGCATCTTCTGAAGTCCAAGTTCCAATTAACCCAAATACATAAAACAATTTCTGACACTTATAACTAGGAGAACGCTACATTGGAGACGGTCCTGCACATTTAAGCACATATGAAGTCATATGTGGATTATGGGTTAGGGTTAGGGCTTACAGTAACCCTGGACGAAGCCTAAAGTGGGGCTTATGTCGACTTTGCAACCTAAAGCAACTAGTTGCAGTCAGTTGCAAGAGTGTTTATGTCGATTATATCAGCAACTGAGGACAACTGGGAGCAACTGAATTTGGAGCGCTTATGTCAACTGGAACTGATAGCGATCACACTGAACACGTGACTGTTAATTTATATATCACGTGATCAACAAAATGGCGAATTACGTAGAAGAAGCAACCCAAAGGCATGGTTGGTCCTGCTACAATTCTATTAGTATATTATTGTCGACATTATCAACATTTGAAAAGTGGGTGTCTTCGTTCGCTTCAATTTGTTTATTTATAAAGTCACATGACACATGTCTCTTATCACGTGATGTTATTTCCATGGAAACGAGTTGACTCCAGTTGCAAGAATGCTCATGTCGACTGCAACTAGTTGCCGCTAGTTGCAGCCAGTTGCAGGAAGTTGAACATGTGCGTTGAGTTGTAAGAGGCGCTCAGGTCGACTTTTTTCAGTTGCATTCAGTTGCTTTCAGTTGCTCCCAGTTGCCAAAACACCAGTTGCTTTTAGTTGCAAAGTCGACATAAGACACCCCCCCCCCCCAAAGCACAATCTACATAAGACGTCACATGTGCAGGACCGTCTCCGGTCTAGCATTCTCCGCCTAACTAACAATGTTTCTGTTGGTTGCAGATCATTTACATAAACTCACCTTAACAGCCACTTTACGTGGTAACATTGATATACTATCCCTGGCTTCTCCGGTACCTTGGCCAAATATATCCTCTTCCTCCATATTCTCACCTCGTTCTAGTCTCTATAAAAACAACCCATAATCTCAATCATTCGTTAATCACAAGATAGATATTAATCACTTGTTGGCTCCTCTGATATTCGCTTAAACAGGGAGGCTACCCGAAAGATGTTCTTTTAAATTTTAATAAAAAAAGTTGTTGCCTGGGTAACAGATTTTTTGGGGGAGGAAAAAGTATGAAAAACATAGGTACACAACATCTCTGTAACTAATTAAGATATCTTCACCAAATTTGCAGGATATATAAACAAATATCTATCCCAGAACCAGACAGAAAGCAAATTGAATTATTATTAATAATTCTCCCTAAAGACAAAATATTGTTTCAAACATCATTTTTCAAGAAACTATAAAATCCATAGAGAAAAACTCTCTGTCTGGCTTTTGGGTTATCATTAAAGAATAAGCAGTCCAAAATAAGACATTTATCTTTATTATTATCAGAGATATGGTGTACTTACGTTTTTCATACCCCCCCCCCAAAAAAAAACAAAAAAAAATATGTTACCCAAGCAACAACTTTTTTTTAATGTTAGTTTTCCCCACAGACACTTGAAGGGATTAAAATAAGACTTCTTATATATTATATTATTATTAAGAAGTTTTATTTTAATCCCTTCAAGTGCCTGTGGTTTTCCCTTATTTATTACATTTCGTAATTACATGTACCATTTTAAATTCAATAGTTTTAAAATTAAAAGAACATTTTTCGGGTAGCCTCATCCCTTAAGATGATTCTATGATGTTTAGACGTATCATTTTCAAACCAATCTTTAAAATTAATCTTGTAGGATTTTTTTTTTTAAAAGTTTATTTTAAAGACTTTAATTATCATTTGACGAGAATATGACAAAAAAAAAATATGCTTAAATATGAATCGTAAATTACTTTATGTATTTAAATTAAGAATTAACAATTAAAAATATTTTTAATTTAATTTTTCTTTCCCCACAGTATTAACAATACACACAAAAGGATATTAATTGTGTAAATAAGTCACTCTTGAAATTTTCATCGTAAAAAATTAAAAGTAAATTTATTACATTGAAATGTTAAAAAAACAAAAAAATCCTGAATACATGAAAACAATAAATAGAATTGCATAACATTTACCTACATAACAGGCAATAATATTAGGGCCTACCTACTTTATAGGCAATAATATTTAGACCTACCTACATAACAGGCAATAATATTTAGGCCTACCTACATAACAGGCAATAATATTTAGGCCTACCTACATAACAGGCAATAAGGAAGCACATCAGCTAATCGCAAGCATAATTAGCAAAATAAGTTTCAAAATTTGTTTTTAGTTACCATACATCTAACAAAATAATGATTTAATAAAAAAAGAAAATTATTCGATTTCTAATAGCTTAAGTTCATGCAAAAAACATTTTAATTCTCATTCAAATAAATGTTTCACCGAATGAAATATTGAAGTTATTTTCTTAAAATTTCCATACTCTATTTCAAAGTTTAAGCAAACATAATTAGTAAATATTGTATATCTTGTAGATTTTTGTTTTGTGTGTAGTGTGGTCCTCCTGCACTTACTATTAATAAATACACAGCAAAATTACAGTTCAATAAACCAGCGGCTGTCAGGCAGAATACGCCCACATTTTCGAGAGATGGATAGAGAACAAGCTAAAAAGAAAGTGATTTTTCCTATAATCAAGGGCCATAATTCAGGAAATTACAATTCGATATGCACGTATGTCGAAAGGAACAGAAATCTTTGGGTTATAAACTTACATTTCCAGTTTCAACAATTTCGGATAAAAATTGTGACCTCTATAGGGTCCACAACCTTGATATACCATATTTTTAAGCTATTTGAGAACGAGGGGGGGCCATTTTGTCTGTCAGTTTTGGGCCGATTTTCACGAAATTCGAACTTAGCCATCCTTAGGGTGTAACGGCGATATAATAATACGTTTTTTTAAATCGGATAAAAATTATGACCTCTATAGGGTCCACAAGCTCAAAACACGATTTTTGGTACTATCACGGGCCATAATTCAGGAAGTTATGGTCCGATATGCACGTATGTCGAAAGAAACTGAGATCTTTGGGTTATAAACTTACATTTCAAGTTTCAACAAAATCGGATAAAAATTGTGACCTCTATAGGGTCCACAACCTTGATATACCATATTTTTACGCTATTTGAGAATGAACGGCGGCCATTTTGTCTGTTAGTTTTGGGTCGATTTTCACGAAATTCGAACTCAGCCGTTCTTAGGGTTTAACGGTGATATAATAATAAGTTTGTTTAAATCGGATAAAAATTATGACCTCTATAGAGTCCACAAGCTAAAAACACGATTTTTCGTACAATCAGGGGCCATAATTCAGGAAGTTACGGTCCGATAAGCGCAAATATCGAAAGGAACCGAGATCTTTGGGTTATAAACTTACATTTCAAGTTTCAACAAAATCGGATAAAAATTGTGACCTCTATAGGGTCCACAACCTTGATATACCATATTTTTACGCTATTTGAGAACGAACGGCGGCCATTTTGTCTGTCAATTTTCACGAAATTTGAACTCATGGTGTAACGGTGATATAATAATACGTTTTTTTTAAATCGGATAAAAATTTTGACCTCTATAGGGTCCACAAGCTAAAAACACGATTTTTCGTACAATCAGGGGCCATAATTCAGGAAGTTACGGTCCGATATGCGCGAATATCGACAGGAACCAAGATCTTTGGGTTATAAACTTACAGGGGCGACGGCATAATACGTCCACATGAAAATGTGGGCGTATTAAAAGAAAATTATTTATATCGAATAGCTTAAATAACTCTTGCTGTTTTCCCATTCAACAGATGTTTCACTGTATCAAATAAGGAAGCTACTGTATTAAAATTTCCATAGTACATTTGTCAATATTTTCAATATATTTTTCTTTAATTTATAGACTCTCAACTTACCAGTATATTATCTATTATCAACATATCATGTGATATAGATAACTGTTTGAGTGTATAAAAAGTGGTTTATATGACATTCCATTTAAATAACAACATATTTTACACAGTGTTAGTTTCTTGACAACATTTAAATAACAATATATTTTACACTTGTGTTAAAATCTGATTAAAATACAGTTTCTATTTTGTTTCGTTTTTTATATTTTAGAATTTTGTTTTTCTTTACCTCACTACACTAGTAGAAACCTCAAAAGTATAAAAAAAAGTGAAACGAAATGTAGTTCTGTATTTTTATCAGATTGACTTTTGTTATTTTTTTGACGACATTTCACATATACAGATCAAGACTTCGTGTTTGTACTTTGAAAGGGTGTTATCGTGTCATCTTGCCCTTTCCCCTTGGTTTGTGAGAGAGAGAGAGAGAGAAATGGGGTTTAACGTCCACTCGACACAAACTAGGTCATTTCGGGACTAACATATGATTTAATTTTATTTTAATAATTCACTTGCGTGTAGGGGTCTTTAGCAGTGGGAGGAAACCGGAGGACCCGTAGAAAACCCACGAGGATGGACAGGCGACCCTACCCCTTGTCACGTACAACCGGGGATTCGAAAAAACGCCAGTTGACTCAATGACAGGCCGTATGATACAGCATGCACGTGCTAACCATTCGCCCCCCCCCCACCCTGGTTTGTACACATTAGCTACTGTACATTAACCCTTTAGCAACCGCTCAATAATTGACTACCCAAGTTTTAAAACATTGAGTTCTGTAGCTCATATTCGAAAACAGCCCGAAACTCCTGCTCACTCTAGCACCTCAAACATCCCAAACCACAGAACTAGTATACAGTACTTAAATAATTCACATGCAGATTGAGGCGCTAGAGAAAGATTTGATTTTGGGCGGTTTCAAAACCGCCTGAAACTACTGCTCTCTCTCTCTGGCGCCTCAAACCTCCCAAGTCTCAGAACTAGTGAATAGAGCTAATCATGTGGTGCAGTTTGGTGCACTAGAGAAGGCCTTGATTTCGGGTGGTTTTGAAACTGCTTGAAACTACTGCTCTCTCTCTCTCTTTGGTGCCTCAAACCGCCTGATTCTCTGAACTTGTGAATAGTACTGTACTTAAATAATTTACAGCTAATCATGTGACTCTGGCAGTTTGGGGCACTAGAGGAAGACTTTGGGTGGTTTCAAAACCGTCTGAAACTACTGCTCTCTTCACTAGCGCCTGAAACCGCCCGAGTCTCAGAACTAGTGAATACAGCTGATCATGTGACTCTGGTGGTTTGGTGTCCAAGAGGGAGCCTAGATTCGGGTGGTTTCTGACAGTCCTTGTGCTAAAGAATTAAAGTTTGGTGTTATTTAATTAGTCGAAAAGATGCTTGCTATGAAACTGTTACCATGGTGATTAATTTTAATCATCTCAATCATTCAGTAATAACTTCATCTTTACCAATAAGGGCAGGTAATTAAATATAATGTGTACCAGACAGGTAGAAAGGACAAGATGGAGACGATCAGGACCCAAGACAGTCAACATATTTTGTGCATTTATACATCAAGAATTAAGACAACATAAAAGACTAGAAAACTGTGGATAAAATACGAGACTAACTTCGCCATCTTTACTACTTTCCAATTCCTGAAATGGTTTTATATAGATTCACAAAAATTATAAATAGAATGGCGATGTGTATGCACTTATAGAAATCTCTTGGCAGATTTATATGCTTTAATTACGGTGCATTATCTCTATTTTGTGAAATATGAGATCTTTGTAATGGCCCCGAAAACACAAAGAATTCTCAGACTTAAGCTAAGAATTTACTCAAAATTGTTTCCCTTATTTTAACTAAAATATAGCCCTTAATAAAACTTTTGTTGTTTTAATGTATCAAATACATCAATACAAAACTATGTGCAAAGTTTTGTGTTTCTAGATCAAAGATATTTGGGGCAGTGATTCTCTTTTGTCTGTATGCACCAGACACATCCGTCTGGAGTGGCAAAAATTTCTGGGTGCAAATATATGCCTTCTTGAACATATATAAAGATCTGTGAATAAAACCCCAAATCCAATAAATTTCTACGAATATCGACTATAAGTTTTATACTCTTATGACTAGTTTATAGATACTGTCGGCTCAAATCAAAACCCACGAGGTTTGACAGGTGACCCTACTCACGTCATGATACAGCGGGCATGTGCTAACCATTTGGCCATCAAACCCCTCAAAATAATTAAGTGATCAAACTAATTCTGGATAGACTTTTTAAACATGGGCTAGGTCTGTTTCTTGATCGCCATTCAAAGATTTTTTCTAATGAAACACATCTCTTTAAATAAAGTGTGTGTACACAGTGTCTTGGACAGCTTATTACCTAATTACAAAATATTCAAACACATTTCAGAGGATGAATATTGAGAGAGAAAAACATATAAAACTGCATGCCTGGAACCTAAAAGGGAATTTGATTGGCTGAAAGAAATGGGATGTACTGCATAGCTTTTGTCTAATTTCTAATTCATCTTTAACTAATGTGACCCATCACATCGAAATGTGACCCATCACATCGAAATGTGACCCATCACATCGAAATGGGTCCTATTACATCGAAATGTGACTCATCTCATTGAAATGTGACCGATCACATCGAAATGTGACCCTTCTCATCAAAATGTGACCCATCTCATCTAATGTACATCTACTAAGAGCATCTTCACAAACTTGAGGTATTGTCTACTTGATTACTACTCATTACTAACTATTTTAACAAACGGCGAAACAATACACATATAAAATGACAATTAAGATCGGGTAGCACGTTTTACCCAAATCCACTATTATTTCAACTTAAAAGACAATATCGATATTTGATAATATATGTTCTTTATGCCAAATTGTAATTTTTAATGGTATATCATCAAAAATAGTTATAACTTATTATTATATGAGTTGAAACAATGGTAGATGTGTTTGATTTGGTAAATTTTGGTAGGTTTGGGTAAATCCAGCTACCGATTAATATCTGTTTAACTTGAGGCAGACATTTTCATTAGTAAAAGTCACTTGTTCGTTAGAGAACAAAATCAATTTTATTGTGTTAGTCTGTCTATTCCTGGTATTGCAGTCGTTAATCAAGGTGATAGTGAAGATGACAATTATATAAGCTACTCTGTTATATTGAGAACTAGGAATAATAAAACACTATGTGTCAGGTTAATTCTAATTTATCTATTAAAACCTTTAATTCGTGTATCTAAGAAAAACTTTTACTAGTTTGTTCATCTAAGATAAAATGTTCTACAGAATTGTGAAAGATAATCTATGTATAGCCTACACATATACTAAAATCACCTTAATATACACATCGTATAGTACTACCAAACATGCAATGAGGCTAATAGATGTCAGCATTCAACTATATATTTTGTCATATACAGAGTCAATGAATTGAAAGGGGGTTTAATATCCTATTCAGCTAATGTCCTATTCAGCTAATGTCCTATTCAGCTAATGAACTGTCAAGTATTCTTGCCTGAGAGAGAGAGAGAGAGGGAGAGAGAGAGAGAGAAATGGGGTTTAATGTCCACTCGACACAAACTGCATCATTTCGGGACTAACATATGGTTCAATTTTATTTCAATAATTCCCTTATGTGTAGAGGTCTTTAGCAGAGGAAACTAGAGGACCAGAGAAAACCCATGAGGTTGGACAGTCGACCATACTAATTGTCACGTACAACCTGGGAATCGAAATTACACCCCTTGACTCAATGACAGACCTTATGATTTCATGTGTTAATATATAGACCTGAGGCCTGTTTCACAAAATTTTAACTAAGATAAAATCCAAATTTTATAAATTTGATTGGATAATATTAGATTGATTTTAGTTCTTAACCAATCAAAATTGAAGTATTTACTAAAATTTGGATTTTATCTTTAGTTAAGATTTCGAGAAAAAGGGCCCTGACCATATAATCATGTATGTTTGGTGATAACTAAAATCTCCATTTCTAGATCTACCATAGGCAAATTACAAACTATGTCTACAAATTGTTTAGACCAAACCAATTTTATTTTTATTTCTGTGAGAATCATGAACCTGTTTAAAATTCGAAATCTTAAATTTTTAGACAAGCAAACAAGTATTTTTTGCTTTTAAATTATTTTATTCTTTACCCCTTAAGAAATAAGAGGAAAACTTTTAATTTTGCATTCCCAAAGAACAAAAATTTCGAATTGGTGTTGCCTCAAGTTATATTTCTATTGCATATATAATATACGTGTGTGAATGCATAGATCTCTATAATTACCGTTAGATTTAACTGTTAGATAAAAAAAACAAAAAACAAACACAAAATATAATATTCTGGTTAAATGTTGAATATATAATATCTGTTTTTTTAAAATAAAGAATTTTATAGATTACGTTGATCAAGGGTTAAATTTTGATTATATATCTGTTCAAACTAAAACATAGAATTAATTATGGATTAATTCGATCTCAGTCAGATGTTTACAAATAGAATTATAGATTACTTTAATCTTGGGTTAAATTTTGATTATAGATCAGTTCAAACTAAAATATAGAATTAATTATGGATCTCAGTCAGATTTTTACAAACTGCTTTTTCTCTATAGCTATAAATCAGATGATCTTTATATATGAAAAATTGAATTTATTTCATTTTATTTCCCATCCAGCAAACTATGCTTGAATATCCTGAGGAATTTTCTCAGGCAACATCGGGATCGAATCTTGGTTAGTAAGCAATCGTGCTATACTTACAGAGCAACTCAACACAAATTTGGTCATTTCGGGACTAACATATGGTTTAATTTTATTTCATTAATTCACTTGTCGCATAGGGGTCCTTAGCAGTGGGAGGAAACCGGAGGACCCTGAAAAATCCCCACGAGGTTGGACAGATGACCCTACTCCTTGTCACATACCAATGGGAAATCGAAACCACGCCAGTTGACTCAATGACAGACCGTATGATACAGCGTGCACGTGTTAACCATTCGGCCATCCAACCCCCGTCTCCTAAAGAAATCAATGTTCTCATAGTTTGTTTGAGGCCTTCTTTTTTCTTTTTTTTTAGTTTGGGGGCCTTTTTTAGCCTTGAATTACATAATTGTTATGAATTAGTAAGATTACCCCACACTGAATTTGCCCATAAGCTAGAAACATCAGGTTATATCCTAGAAAGCACCAATTACAGTCAGTTTTTAAAATATATCTTGCTTGCACACAGGGTTGGAGTAGGGGGGGAGAGATAGCCTACAGTGGCAGGGGTATCAAGCCTCCAGTCCGCCCCTACGTGGCTCCCCAGTAATTCATATTGCCGTATGCTGGATAAGAAGGAGATATAAAATAACAATTTAAGATAACATAAAATCATCAGACGAACAGTTTAGGTAGAGTACAATAATATAATTTGTAAATAAGGTGACAGAGTCACTATTCGTGATCTCAAAATTATTATGTTATTAAGGCAGTGTGAATTTGATAAATGTTTTATAATTCTTTTAATCGCTCTCCCAAAAAATAATGGAACAGGGAGTTACTCGTTAGATTTAGAAATGTTTCCTTATTCGTGAATAATAAATAACATTCTGATTAAAATACAGATCTATATTTCGTTTCGTTTTTTTTATACTTTCGATGACCGGCACTACATGAAGATCTGACGGGTTGTAGAGGAAGGTAGTGTCAGGGGTCGTACGAGTGGCTTTTGACCCTGAGACGTCAAACATGGAATAAATAATCAGTGCTGATGTTTCTAGTGGGATACCCACAGTTCCGTACAGAGCGTGCAACAGACCGTTTTATTGGCTAATTCCTCACATCAACCAGAACAGAAGTTATATAACAACTCTTCCAGATCTATGTAGTAAAGACAAGTAAAACGAAATTTTGAACTATAAAAACAAAATGAAATAGGATCTGTGTTTTAATCAGATTGATTAAATAATGAAACAAGAAACAATTTCACACTGACAAATTAATTGAAGAGCCCCGGGGAAGAACGATCTAAGTCACTTTTTCAACGAACCTCAGTTAATGGCGCCATCTGGTAGCAAATTGTATAAGCTTTCTGTGGAACAATCAATTTCAGGTAAAAAAGATCAGAGTCACATCGAACCAAGGCCCTTCTGAAATGGCCTCCCAGACAAATACAAGTCCATCGTATTTATTTGACCTTAATTTGGTTGAAAAGTTGAAGTCAGTTGTTGTACTGGTAATTATGATTCGTATTAAACATCATTTTGAAGTTGTAATTAAACCCACCCGTTGTTCTGTTCTGCTCGTCCAAAAGTCTGTTTTGCCTTTTATGCGAAAAGACAAAAATGTGACTTAGATCGTTCTTCCCCTGGACTCTTCAATTGTCTGACAAACTGTTAATGTTAGATTCGTTCTATGTCAAATATGGTTTGATGAATTTCGAACCTACTTAAAAAAAACCTAAATTAGTGAAAAAATATGATCAGGATATGAAAACAAAAAAGTTATCACGATAAAGAAAGAAATACATATTCCTTCATATTCAGAAATAGTTATTCCTTCATATTCAGAAATAGTTATTCCATCATATTCAGATAGATTTTAAATGTAATAATGTGGAGTATCAGAGGTAAGTATCGTCCTGGAAGCAAAATAACTTTAAACCAAATTATCAGATCTGCCGAAAGTTCAAGGAGACAGAAACAGCTCCAAAAACAGTTTCAATATTTTAATAATATCTCTTCTTAATTTAATCTTAAATAATCAATTTGGGTACATTTGAGCATGAATTAAGCCGTGAAAATTTTGATGTCCGAAAAATGTAAACGGCAATCAGAGGGCTTTAATTAAAGTCAGCCCTTTTTGTTTTCAGCTTTCAAGACGACTTGTCTGTTTGCTTTCTAAAACACATCTACCTCTGAAACTCCCATTTATTATTATTCAGAAATTCCTGAAAAAATAAGTTTAACCAAACAAAAACCAAAAAGCGCCCCATGACCAAGTTTTAATGATAGACAAAGAAAAGATGGCTTCCACAAATAACTCATCTAGTTCCCATGGAAACAAACCAACCACTGTGTACTGGAAATGAACATTTTTTATTATACTATAACTTAAACATACATTTTGCAAGAGGTAAATCTGTCTATTGCCGGTCTTTCTTTAGGCCTGACATGTTATCTGAATTATTAATTAACTTATCCAGGCCATAATCAACTCTCGATGGCATCAGATTTCTCCGATATTAAATAGATTAGAACGGTTCAGTCATATTTTAATTTAATTTAAAAATGGAGGAGCGAGACTTAGCTTCGAACAACCAGTAGCTTGGTTGCAATTATGTCACATGTCTTGTCAAACCTTCAAAGGCTAATATCTTCGCTCGCAATAGAGTAATACGAATGAAATTTTCAAATTATTCATTTTACATTATCTATTTTTGAACTATTATAGCAAGAATGGCTAGCTCTTTATCTAAGTCTTACATAATGTCTCTTTAATTAACAGTTTATAGGCTGATGATATCACAAAATATTGACAACTAATTTTTATAAAAGAAAACAACAATAAATTAACGATATCAATACGTTTTCTGATCCTAATTTAAAAACTTTTATACCAACCTCAAAATATTCTCGTTGACGTTTAGCATCCAGTGTATGATTATACCACGCATCAAATATAACTCGTCCAACAGCTATGTGGAATACACGTTGAATCTTCTGAAATGCCACTAGAATAAAATAATAATAAAATGTTTTGTGTTATTATTTTCAAATGAAAAACACCTGGTTAAAAACCAGGACATTTAGTTATGTGAGAAGCAATGGTCCTGGTTTTACCGGGACAGTCCTGGGCCCTGTTTCTCGAAATCTTAAGGGGGTTGGATGGCTGAATGGTTAGCACGTGCGTGCTGTATAATAAAGTCTGTCATTGAGTCTACTGGCGTGGTTTCGAAATCCCCGGTTGTACGTGACAAGGAGTTGGGTCGCCTGTCCAACCTTGTGGGTTTTCTCCGGGTCCTCCGGTTTCTTCCCACTGCTAAAGACCCCTAAGCGCAAGCGAATTATTGAAATAAAATTGAAACATGTGTTAGTCCCGAAATGACCTAGTTTGTGTCTAGTGGACGTTAAACCCCATTTCTCTCTCTCTCTCTCTCTCTCTCTCAAAATCTTAATTAAAGATAAAATCCAAATTTTAGTAGATACTTCAATTTTGATTGGCAAAGCACTAAAATCAATCTAATATTATCCAATCAAATTACTAAAATTTGGATTTTATCTTAGTTAAAATTTCGTGAAATTAGGCCCAGGTTCTACCGGGACGTATGGTAACCCTAGATTCTCCTGCTCTTTTTATGAACGCCGCTGATCGTTATTTGATAGATTGTGAATCACCTGTAAACTACAATATTGTAAAACTTGAATTTCTAAAAGGAATAATGGTTGAATTTTCTTTTTATTTCGATTTCAATATGTACAAAAATAAAATGAAAATTTGTCAATATTCAACATCCTCTGCAGAAGATTTTAGTAAGCCAGTATAAGCCACCTATAAGTTAGTAAGCCACCAATAAGTAAGTAATGAATGAATGAATGAATGAAATATGATTTTATGGCACGTCAGCTCCAACCGGGCTATATTGCGCCAAACATATGGTGAATCTGAGACAAATTAAAACAATATCACATAAATGAATTTATATATGTAAATAAAAACAAATATCACAGAAAATATATTAATTAAAAATAAATATAACAAATCTTTTACATATATAAATATTTAAAACGATATACATGATTAAATATATACAATTAAAATTGATTATAAAAGTTTGTCTCGTTTAAAAATGTTAGCACTTTGTCATATAGCTCCGGTTGAGCAAATAGCTGACGTACTGACTGGCAACGCAATAAGTAAGTAAGCCACCTATAAGTCAGTAAGCCACCAATAAGTTAGTAAGCCACCAATAAGTAAGTAAGCCACCTATAAGTCAGTAAGCCACCTATAAGTCAGTAAGCCACCTATAAGTCACCAAAAAGTCAGTAAGCCAGCTATAAGTCAGTAAACCACAGTAAGCCAGCTATAAGTCAGTGAGCCAGTAAGCAACTTTAGTCCGTAAGCCACAGTAAGCCAGCTTTAAGTCAGTGAGCCAGTAAGCAACTTTAGTCCATAAGCCACAGTAAGCCAGCTATAAGTCAGTGAGCCAGTAAGCAACTTTAGTCCGTAAGCCACAGTAAGCCAGCTATAAGTCAGTGAGCCAGTAAGCAACTTTAGTCCGTAAGCCACAGTAAGCCAGCTTTAAGTCAGTCAGCCAGTAAGCAACTCTAGTCCATAAGCCACAGTAAGCCAGCTATAAGTCAGTGAGCCAGTAAGCAACTTTAGTCCGTAAGCCACAGTAAGCCAGCTATAAGTCAGTGAGCCAGTAAGCAACTTTAGTCTGAAAGCCACAGTAAGCCAGCTATAAGTCAGTAAGCCACCTATAAGTTTTGGGTAAAATCTTTTGATGGGCCTCTTGATAATCTGATTAAATTTCCACTCTGGTTCTGTCTTCTGGTATTGTTTTCTTAATTAAATGTTAAATCAATTTGAGTCAATTTTATAGAAATTTGATATTGTCCAAAAAATGAATGATATGAAATGAAATGGGGTTTAATGAAGACGGGCATACACCATACAGTGTGCTATGAGGGAAATTTTGTCTAGACATTAGTGCTACAGCCTACTCTTGTATCGAATTGAAACTGCCAAGGGATCTTTTACATGCATGCAAATGTGTACACTGGACCTCAGTTTTTTGTCCCATCCGAATGACTAGACAGCCGTCCTTGTCAGGCCTTCCGTCCTGCACCAATGACAAGGGGAAACCACGTCGGAAAATCCGGATAAACTTTTCCCAGCCAACACTTGGAGCGAACCTGCACCCTCCAAGCTAGTGTCTTACTGGCTTAGCCACCATGGCTCCCATGCAACTTAATAGACTTTGAATTGATTAACTCGGTATCAATACAAATACAGATATTATATAAAACTCACTGGCTTGACGACCTTTTCTATATCTCACCCATGCCTGTAAATAAAAATAACAGAAACATTTACCATCTAGTTCAGCGGGGTTGGATGACCGAATGGTTAGCGCATGTGCACTGTATCATAAGGTCTGTCATTGAGTCAACTGGCGTGGTTGCGATTCCCCGGTTGTACATGACAAGGAGTAGGGTCGTCTGTCCAAAATCAGGGGTTTTCTCTGGGTCCTCCGGTTTCCTCCCACTGCTAAAGACCCCTACGCGCAAGCGAATTATTGAAATAAAATTAAACCATGTGTTAGTCCCGAAATGACCTAGTTTATGTCGAGTGGATGTTAAACTCCATTTGCCAGTTGAAAATTTCGAACCATATTAGTCTCAAAATGTGGTAGACCATACCTTCCAGTGACGTAAATGTACTTGTAGCTTTTGACTATAATACTGATATTCAGCCAGATGAAGTTTATTTTCAGTATCTTGAACTTTTTTCATCTCCTTTAAGTGATATTGCATCCAAGCGCTGAAAAAAGAATTCAAGTAACAGTTAGACCAATCTGGTTAAAACACAGATCCTATTTCGTTTCGTTTTTTATAGTTCAAAATTTCGTTTTACTTGTCTTTACTACACTAGGATCTGGAAGAGTTGTTATATAACCCACGTTCTGGATAGCGTGAGGGATTAGCCAATGAAACCATCTGTTATGGCGACTTCTTGACGTGCGAGGCACAGAACTGTGGGTAAACCACGAGAAATGTTAGCGCTCATTGATTAATCAATGCCTGGCATCATGGGGTCAAAATCAAAAGCTGCTCATATGACCCCTGATTCGACCTTCTACTATAATGGTCAGATCTTCATGTAGTGTAAACCATCGAAAGTATAAAAAAACGAACCGAAATATAGATCTGTGTTTTAATCAGATTGTATTTAGATAACAAGTTTTGAGAGTTTTACAGGGGTCAATAAAAGGTTCTGGGGATTACTTTGAGGAAATAGTTTTATTTCTAGTGATCTTTGTCCAAATATCAGGTTTCTTGGATTAATGTTTTTCGGTAAACGCTGTATGTACAATAAGAAAGGGGGGCGTTGAATCCTCAGTATGTCAATGGCTCCCTAACGAGGAGATTCAGGGCTCGATCACAGCGTTGGCTGAGATAGTTTCTCAGGACTGAGAGCCTCACAAGAAAAAGTGTCTTGTCATTTGTATGGGACAAAAAAAAATCTCTTCCTGTGAACATGTTGGCATGCACATAAAAGAACCTTTGACGGTTGGAATTGAATGAAGAGCAGGCTATCAGGGCACCAGTCTCACAACATACTGCATGTCATATGTACTTTTCACTAGCCCAGTCGGTGCAGAAAAGTAGGATGTTAAACCTTCTTTTCATTTCAGAGGACTGTATGACGTTTTGGCCACCAACGATTCAGCAACAGAGATTTTTAACCCTATCACTAGCCAGTTAGCACAGGTCTTTTTAAACCTCTTCTGGATGAAATGTGAATCTAAAGGGGAACAGTAAATCAGTTGAATAATATTTAGAACTGAAAACAAAAAAGTACAGAAAGATAGAGAGAAATGGAGTTTTACTAGATCATTTTGGGACTATAAGAAAAAAAAAAATGAACCAAATTTAAATGAATCCTTTGTTCTTGTTCGATTCAGAATTACAATATGTTTTCTGATAAGGTAACTCACATAAAGGAGAAATAACCAAACTGACAAAGATATGGACATTTGAATACGTTCATTTTCTCAGACATAAGGCCTACATGTATCAACAAACTTACTTAAATGACATCTTTTTTAATTTGGTGTTATACTGGCCATAAGCTGTGTGGTACATCTCTGGTGTTGGCTAAAATGAAAAAAATAATTCAAAACATTATTTAACAGTGCTTTAAATTAATACAGACATATTTACTAGTCTGACAGTTAATCGGATCGACTGTCGATCACATTACACGTTATGAAATAATGTATGTTTAAGGAATCTTACATTAAAATATGAAAAAATACTTTTAAATGTATAGTTTTCAATATTTTTATGTGTAAATTAACACATGGAAATCTTTCAATAAAATGTGATATTGTTCAAGATAGAAAAAAATCTCTTATTTATCTGCTTTGCTCCATGTCGGTTTGTCACTTCTACTATATGAATTGGGGTCCTTTATACACAAAAATTCAAACTAAAATATTTGAAGGATTCAGACATAATTTAAAATCTTAGTATGAATTTTAGCTCTTAAGCTAATAGAAAAATGTGTATTTTTCAAATCACAGTCCAGAATGTACCGAATTGACAGAATTGCAATCGAGTAACGCGGAATTCAGTCCTGTCACAATTCTGTCAGTCCCGACAACAGAGGTGGTGTGAGTAGAATCGTGACGTAATTAAACACAACGAATATGTTTCGGCTGCATTGGTTGAGATATTTAATTATTCAATCGACGCATGCGTTGCTACCCGAAATCCACCTTTTCACTCGATTGTCACTATTTTTGGGATTGAGAGAATTCAATTCCGGAACTTTCAATCGAGTACCCCCATTGTCTCCAGGGACATTTCTAAGAATTAAAGATGCATAATGTAAAATTTAGATAAAGAGCCAACAGTTCTCGCACTGTTAGATAATGAAAAGGGGTAATTTGAAAATTTCAAGCAAGATACTTCATTCTGAGTGATGTTAGGGCTGTTTGGAGAATAGCGGAATCACGACTATCATTGCTACCGTTGCTACAATAGTAAACAAAGTCTTGATTATCCATTTCCTAATTAAATCATTAACCATCAATCGTGTTTAAATCCGTTGAAAAACTAGAGCATCTGATGACTTCGAGAGTTGGTTATTGTCTTGGCAAGTTAATAAATGCCTAATTAATAATTTATTTAACATTCAATGCCTTAACCCTTTGGACACTGACATTCTGAATGACATTAGGCCTATATACTACTCTCCCATGATAAAAATTGACCAAAAATTGTAATATTATGAACCCTTGGGACCCGATCGGCTGAAAAAACGGCTAGAAAACCTTGATCAGAATACCAAGCAGCCTGTATATCGGCCGCCGCATGTACCTGGACCAGCCGCACGGTACTTCAGCCAAGGGGCATCGGGGCTGGTCTTTCGCCCGGGCGGGTCCAAAGGGTTAAGAAAAACCTGCAGCATTAGGCAGATTTAGCTCTTGCCTACTACCGCTTTAACTATTGGGGAAAACAAAAGACTACTCACCAAGAGAAATTCATCAAGATACACCAACATTTTGCAAGAGATGGACAGAGAACAAGCTACAAACAAAAGCAATTTTTCGTACAATCAGGGGCCATAAATCCAGAAAGAGTTATGGGAGAAAACAAAAAGACTACTCACCATGAGATATTCATCAAAATTAAAAATATAATCCAAATTACTATCTGAGATAACTTTTATAACTGGTCTCATGTTGGTTGGAATAAACATATCCCTAAAAAAAAAATGTTCATGTTATTACATTAAAGATATATTATGCAAGACTGAGATAAAGAGCTGGACATTCTTGCTATAATAGTTCCAAAATAGATAATGAAAAATGAATATATTGATAATTTCATTCAAATTACTTTATTCTAGGTGTAGTTATGACTGTCTGAAGATGTAGCCTAGATCGTTTATTACTGTAGCAATGGAACTTGTATACTGAGAGCAGGACGAAGGGCCTGACAAGGACAGCTGTCTTGTCCATCGGATGAGACGAAAAACCGAGGTCCCGTGTAAACATTGGAATGCACGTAAAAGATCCCTTGGCAGTTGGAATTCGATATAAGAGTAGGCAATAGTGCCGCTGCCTGGGCAAAATTTCCCTCATAGCACACTGTATGGCGTATGCCCGTCTTCATTAGCCCAGTATAGGAGCAGAACAGTAGGACGTTAAACCCCATTTCATTTCATTTGTATACTGAGACTAAGTCTTGAGTATCCATTTCATCATTAAATTTTTAAATCTCACGGCCACGGGTGTTCAAATCCATTTCAATCTTTGCCATTCAATGAAATAGAGTGGTGATTATAGGCTTGTCATGTGAATCAATGTCAAAATAATAGTTTATATAACTTTTGAAGCCAAAATAAAAACCTGCAATAGGCAGATTTATCTCTTACATAGTGCCTCTTAAATAACTAAGCCAACTAACAAAACTGTCATTTATTTTTTACCACCTTTCTGTCCTATATGATCAACCTCTGATCTTATCAAAAATTCAACTTACCATGATAAGGCGTCAAGTCCAAGGTCATCCAGGCGACTTAAACTGTTTAGAATAAATTCCAGTGGATCAGCAGGGCAGATGACAGCCAATCCTGATAATAAGGCCTGAAAAGAAATGAAATGAAACAGGGTTTAATCAATATCCTACTGTTTTGCTCCGACTGAGCTAATGATGATGGACATAAGCCATACAGTGTGCTATGATAGAAAATGTGCCCGAACAGCAGCACTACAGCCTACTCTTATATCGAATTCCAACTGTCAAGAGATCTTTTATATTCACACCAATGTGTACACAAGATCTGCGTTATTCATAACCTCCGACTAACTAGACCGCACCTCTGACATGGGGGAACCACGCACGAAAAGCCTGATGGCCTTTCTCAGAAAACACTGGAGCTCCAGGTTAGCGAGACAACATCTTACTCACAGAACCCCTGCAGCTCCCTAGGCCTGAAAAGAATGTAATATTAGTCTACCCAGATCCACTAACAAATATTTATATATAGATCTAACGGAAATTCAATTTCTAATATCACATAATTCTTAAAGTCTAAAATCAGGGGTTTAAAATCCATGCAACTCAAACCATTTCATTTCTGGACTAACATCTGGTACATCTTTAGCAGTAGCAGAAAACAATGAGAACCTGAGAAAATTCATTGGTTAGGCAGGTAAACCTACGTACTTGTTACAGTACAGAGAACAACCAATTTTATTTGATAAGAGACCGTATATGATCTTAAGCATAAGCTTACATATTAGGCCACCCAAGATAAAAATAATTGTTGTTTAACATAACACGTGTTATGAACAACAAGGTTTGCAGAATAGCTTATTGCTCGCGCTCAGATTTGGATGCATGACCACTGGGACCAAAGACCACTCGGACCAATTGATAGACCACTCGGACCAACAAAAAGACTACTCGGACTATATGGATATGGGAACTCAGCGTGGCAAGAGAAAATCGGTTTCAAGTTTGGTCCGAGTGGTCTATCAATTGGTCCGAGTGGTCTTTGGTCCGACCGGTCTGGATACCTCAGTTTTGAAGGATCAGTATTTTGAGTTCTTCAATTTGCAAAGCATGTGACCGGACATTAGCATAGTCTGGTAGTATGTATATGGTACTATGGTCATGGAGCTGTATAAAACCAAATGAAGCCAATGTAGGTTACCAGAAACATAGGCCTACGTACAGTAGGCCTGAATTAGCGCTCCTACGGTTAGAAATGCTGAGAAGTATTTGGATTGGATTAACAATAGCAAAAGTCAGAACAAGGATCGTTGACTTTGCCGTACAACTACGAGTGCTATTAATAGTATTATTTTTTAGCAGTTGACATCGTAGGACGACAGTTACATTCTAAGATTTTCAAACATCAAATACAAAACGAAAACGGACAATGGACAACTTTTGTTATAAAGAGGAATATAATGGGGACACAACTCTATGTAATGCTGGACATCTCCTAATAACCGTACCACTCAATTCGAACCATTTAACCATCCAATTCTAACCGTTTACGGTTATCAGGCTAGCCGTAGGTGCAGCAGTACGGTAATGTCATTTGATATTTAGTTGTGAGTTAGGGACTGGTGTATACAGTAACCAGTATAGAATGTAAAAACATAGAAATGCAGTAAAATTCATTTAGAAAATTTCAAGTGTCCTTTTACAAAAATAATTGGAAAAAAAAAAAATAACATTGAGATTATTGATAATAATATTGATATTGAATGTTGATACCTCGTACACATCTGGCAGTTTATTAACTCTCAAATACTTCCTCAAATTTGGATCCAACTCTTTTAAGCCCCCCGCCATCTTTTTATTTTTAAAAGAAAGTTGAAATAAATTTCATAACATAAAATCCTGCCTATAAAATTACAAAAAGGGTTTGTTAAACGATAAAAGTTTGCTAATCTTCCGCCATATTTGTGTTTATTAGCAACCGCTATTAGAGTTATTTCCCCTTTGGCAACCGGTTTGAACAACCGGTATCAGTTTTGGTTGATTTAAAATTTAAGACACACACCATTTCGTTTAAAATTTTTAGGAAAATATATCCAGATGGCATATTTGTCAAATGTAAAACTTAAAGCAGTATTATGAAAATTAATTAATTGTAAAACAATATTTAAAACCATATTAATATAGAAATATCTTACATAATATATCTTTTTCTCGTCGCTTTATTTCTCAATCCAAAATTTGTTCAAATTGGGGGAATTCTGGGAAATAGTAAACGCTGGCCATGTTATGACGTCATAAATTGGATGCGAAGACAAAATTGACGTGGCATAACTTGTAAATTTCTTATTTTTGGATTGAAAGTCGAGTTTGTCAACTCAATTTGTTGACCCAGGGTCGTCGAAACGTATCACCTTTGCCCTTGTCAAATTTCCTGAGATATTTCATCATGGGGTTGACAATTTCCAATGTTTTTAACCGACTTTTCGGCAAGAAACAAATGCGAATATTGATGGGTAAGAAGAAAAAGGAGTTATTTTTGTAACCATATTATATCATATCGTATTTTAATTATATTGGTTTATTATTAATCTATTGAATGGGTTTTGTAATTAACTACTGTTTTTATGTTTATAAATTGTAAAAGATATTATTCAGCCATTTCAGTTTTATGAGTAATGCCACATCATACATGTTATCATAGGCCTACTCCCATTTTTTTGTCATATTTTTGTGAACCACACCAAATGCAAATGATCTATGATTTTTGTGTCATATTTAGATAGATCTATATGCCCAGTTGTTTATTTATTTTAAATAGTTTTAAGAACATTTTCCATGTAGGCCTACCTGCCTACCTGCACACGTTTTCGCTGGTTACATGGAAACAAGTATTACATTTGTTTGCATTAATTAACTGCTTCCCCAATAAATAACTAGTTTCAAAATTAGGTTTTTGGGTTAGCTATAAGTTATAAGCTTGATACATTGCATTCCAGAATTAAAATACTATTAAAGACTGATGAACAAGACTAGTATAAGTTGTAAGCCTGTTTGAGCCAGGCTATCATATCAAATTAGGAGCCAGAGCCACAGTGGTTAAGTGAGTAAGATGGCTTGCTAACCTGGAAATGTCCTATGTTAGATCCCTGTATTGACCGAGGAAGTTCATCCGGATTTTGTGGTGTGGTTCCCCATAGTCAGTGGGCCTGGCAAGATACAATGTAGTCGTTCTGACAGGATGAAAAAAACTAAGTCTTGTGTACACATTGATGTGCACGTAAAAGAACCCTTGACAGTTGGAATTAAATATAAGAGTAGGCCATAGTGCCACTGTCGAAGCAAAATTTTCCTCGTAGAACATTGTACTAGTCCAGTCGGTGCAGAACAGTAGGGCGTTAAAACCCATTTCATTTCAGATTATAAGAGTTATTAACTGGCGGATAGATTACTAGAATAAAAACAACAGTTCTATGGATAACAATTACTGTATTTCTATTAAAGCTATGTTTCATTGAATGTTCAGATTGTACATAGTATATATATATATATTTTGTTCCTTCTGTCTGTATCAGTATTGTGTTTGATAACGACAAGAGAATCATTGTTGAAACGTAGCTTAAATAGAAATACAGTAATTGTTATCCATAGACTCATAGAGCTGTTGTGTTTATCTTAATGTGTTCAATTACTAAATGCCATTCATACAGTATAAAGATTACTAGTTCAGTTTATGTCAGAAGAGTTTCATTGATAGGTGACTTATATCCAGGGGTTCTTGGTGCAATATAGCCTAGTTGTTACCAACGCGCCATTAAACTCCATTTTTGTTACTAAAATTAAACTATGTATTTTTTATTTCAGTTGGTCTAGATGCAGCTGGTAAAACAACTATATTATATAAATTAAAATTAGGAGAAATCGTAACAACTATTCCTACTATTGGTAAGTTTGGTTAATAATAGACAGTGGGCTTACTTTTTTAAAAAAAAAAAAACCTGGAATGTTCTTCTTGTCCTGTTGCATTCTAGTTGAGAGTTTGCGTGGTCTGGTGATTTCACACTTGTTAAGTGGCATGGGTTCGATTTCCCCGCTTGAATGTGAAAAGGAGTAGGGTTGCCTGTTCAACCTTGTGTGCTTTTTTCTGGGGTCTTCAGTTTCCTCCCACTGCTAAAGATCCTATGCGCAAGCGAATTATTGAACCATATGTCAGTCCCGAAATGATCTAGTTTGTATTAAGTGGACTTTAAATCGTATATCTCACTCTACGGGCTGTACAGATGTTAAACTTTATATTTTGTTTCAAAATTAAAAATTGAAGCATTACAATGGCTGAATAAGTTTTGAAATTAAAACCTGCATGTATGTACAGATTAGTTATTCTTATCGGCAAGATTTTTGTTGTGACAATCAATTCCATTCTTGGAACTCTAGCAAAAAAGACATATTTTCTAGAATACCTGATTCCACTTCTCATTTGAAGAGCTTTTCTTGTATTTATGTGTGGTATAATGATCGAGAGCGAGACATTAGTAAAATATTGAGACAACACGTGGGACGTTAGTACCGGGCTCTGGTATCAATATATTACGCAATGTCTCTTAAACTCGAGACCATTAAACAACTTTAAATACAGACACTCGCACATGCATTGCAATGAAATACGTCACGCAGGTCCCAACGTTTCAACTAGTATAAATAATGCACGCTTGGCACATGGTACGCCAATATCAAAGGATGAGGTCACATTTGTGTTTCAAGTATTCTTAAAGCACCCAGTCTAACCTTCCTTAAATTTATGTCAGCAAAAATGATAGGGATTATCTCCCTTTACTACCTATCCACTCTTGGCAGTTCTCCATTTTCCGCCCTGCTACATCTGCATCATGTATTATAATAAAACCTACTCTAACTCTATAGTGTGACACAGTGTACATACAGGCCTAGTGAAGCTTACTGTTAAGGCCTAAATGAGCCATCTAAATGATGTATTATGTTTTTTTCTGAACAGGTTTTAATGTAGAAACTGTAGAATATAAGAATATTAGTTTTACTGTATGGGATGTGGGAGGACAAGACAAAATCAGACCATTATGGAGACATTACTTTCAAAATACACAGGTAATTATAATATTTATAACCTTGATCAACAAGTCTTTTGATTTTAAAAAAAACCAAATACTGTGGCCTGGGTAATTGGGACTACTCCTTATAAGGATATTCCCATTCTCAGTAATTTTTATGAATATTAAGTGTTAACATGAATATGCATTACCTTTGCATATGAATATTATTTTGTGTGCAGTCATAGACTTAGTTGTAATGGTAAAGCAGTTGACCATCTGTAAATCTGAAGTGATAACATTTAATATAACAAAAAATGTGGGAGATAATTAAAGTTGTGAATAATATGATATATTAGTGTAATCATACAAATACTTTTTTTGGCAATCTGATTAAAATACAGATCTATATTTCGTTCTTTTTTTTTTTATATACTTTTGATGGCCCCTACTTAGGGTTGATGATTTTCCGTGATCGCGGAAAAAACGCGGAAATCGCGGAATTGTCCACTCAAAACGGAATTTGAAATCTCACACGGAAAAAGACGGAAAAGCCGATATTTGCTGATACTAAACACAAACTCAAAATAATTTTGCAGTTATCCAAGTATTTCATCTTTTTATTCATAAAAATCGGAAATATTGAATGATATCGCGTGGTTTTGTTACTGTCTATTTTAGTATTTCGCTACTTTCATTTCATCATTTAGGAATCATAATTTTAATCGAAACGAAAACCCGTCTTTCATGTAATCCCATTATAAAATTACTCTGTAGTTTAACTTGAATTAAACATTGTAATGTATATATATGTCTTTAAAAAAAACTTCTGTCACTTCATAAAAGTAAAAATCGTTTCATTTACTTCTTATTTTACTGCCGGGCTCGTGACTCGTGTTTATCCCCGCATTAACCACGTGACATCAGAAATATACCGTAGCCTTGTGAATCCAGCCCTTATTCTCGAAGAAACGGTAGTAACTACGAAGATGTCTGGATAAATCGCGACTACACCTAGCAGCTGAGAAAAATGGCTTCGTCTGCTAAAAAGATGAAACGAGCTCACAAGATGTAATTTTCTGTTATTTAATTCGGGAAACAGGTTTAAAGAATAACTAGTCATTGAACATTACAAGTCATTCACAATTCAACATTTGTTATCATTGGTTTAAAATGATCCGTTTTGTAATAAAAGGCATTTTAAGATGTTTTATTCATTTATTCATAAAATAACATTTTATCTCGAAAAAACGGAATATGGTCAGCTCTGAAACGGAAAATAACGGAATTAAAAATACTTAAAACGGAATTTGCTATTTTCTGAAACGGAAAATCATCACCCCTACCTACTACATGAAGATCTGACCAGTTGTAGTGGGAGGTGGTGTCAGGGGTTGTACCAGCAGCTTTTGACCCTATAACGTCATACAATTGATTAACCAATCAGCATTGATGTTTCTAGTAGGATACCCACAATTCTGTGCATAGCACGCCAAGAACTTGCTGCAACAGACCGTTTCATTGGCTGATCCTTCATATCAACCAAAACGTCAGATCCTAGTGTAGTAAAGACAAATAAAACAAAATTTTGAACTATAGAAAAACGAAACGAAATAAGATCTGTGTTTTAATCAGATTGCACTTTTTTTTGCATAGTTATTTTTCGCATGAGAATTGCATGGGTATGAAGTTTCAAGTGTAATATCAAATTAATCAATGTAATTTAAGAATTTACCTGGCCTGGTTTTACTTGTACATGTACCTTTGAGGAGTACACTTAGCTCACAAGTTTTAAATGTTCGTTTTTATTATTAAAGTATTTGAATTACCCTTTCATGAAATTGGTCAATATAATGATGTAGTTATAATAAGAGTTACCTCCCTTTGCTATTAGCTGTTCATTTCAGTCAAATTTAGGGTCACTCCATTGCAATTCTGTCCATTCCAATTCTGACAATTCAGGATGTTACAGACTGATAATCGAGCATCATCTTACAGTCATGGCCGATTGATTGATTGATAATTGTACTGATCAATTATTTTATTACAGGGATTGATTTTTGTTGTTGATAGTAATGATAGAGAAAGAGTAGAAGAAGCCAGGGATGAATTAACAAAAATGGTAGGCACTGTTTGTTTTAGAAATAAATAATCTTTTGTATGTACAGCCAAGAAAGTTCCTTAGGATGGAGGGCCTGACAATTAACAGACAAAAACCTGTGGTCCTATGTACACAGTGTAAAATAATCCTTGGCATTTGATATTCAAAGAATAGTAGGCAGAAGTGCCACAGCCTGGGCAAAATGTTACTCCTAGTACACTGTGCAACATATGCCCATCTACGATAGCCCAGTGGGTGCAGAACAGTAGGTGGTTGAATTCCTCGCATGTGCTCAGTTTTATAAGAAATGATTAAAGAACTTTGGACATTCATATTAACGTAGAATAATTTCATGTTTTAGCTAATTTTGTATTTTAACAGTTATCAGAAGATGAATTACGAGAGGCTATACTTATAGTTTTTGCCAATAAACAAGATTTACCGAACGCTATGCCTCCTTCAGAAATAACAGATAAATTAGGATTACACAATCTACGAGATCGACAGGTATTATACTTTTAATAATAGGGAGTTGAGTGGCCAATGGTATAACGTGTGTCTTTGAGTCAAGCGGCGTGGTATCAATTCCTCGCTTGTATGTGACAAGGAGTAGGGTCGTCTGTCCAGCCTCGTGGGTGCAAGACCTCTTAGTCTTACGTGCAAGTGAATTGTTAAAATGAAATTTAACCATATGTTAGTCCCAAAATGATCTAGTTTTTGTCGAGTGACTGATAAACCCCATTTCTCTCTCTATCTCACTTATAATAAACATGTTCTCATGGTTTTTGACTGGTTTGTGGGGGAAACCATTTAATTTTTTGAAGAGACTATAGAAAGGGAAAGTTTAATAGTTCTACTCGAGTTTTTACTTGTAGTATTTGTGGGGAAGAACATTTAAAGTATTTGCTAGTAGTTCGGATGGGAAGGTAAATCAAGGTACACCAGTGTTCAAATTGGCGTGTATGCACAAAAAATTTGTTGGATTATCCCTCATAGCACACTGCATAGTGTATGCCATCTTTATCAAACCGGTTGGCCCTGATTGTAAAACATTTCACTTCTTGTCTTTTTGAGGGTGATGGAATACAGTAGAATCTGTATGAGCAGCCACTCCTATTCAGCAACATCTCCTTGTAAGCGGTCATGATAAATTCCCCCCGTAAAAATTCTGTTGTTTCATCTCTTTATTCAACTGTCACTCCGCTAATGCGGCCAGCGGTCAATATTTTACTAATGAATTCAACAAAACATCGCCCATTCAACGGCCATTGTTGAATGATACCATCTTGTCGTTCTTTGTAACACCCCCGCTAATCCCGTGAGTTATAGGTAAAAAGAAATGTAAAGATAACAATCAACCCAGGATTATCTGTTAATTAATCTTTTGTTTTATTAAACGACTAACCTGATCATTGTTTTCACGCGTAACGACACATTATTTGATACTGATTGAATAAAATAAGAGTACCGAGTTTTGTCACGATCATCTAGTATTTCTTTTCCATTGCCACTTTGTTGTTAAACAGACGTTTTAGCGCCTCCTATAATATTACATACAAAGTGAAACCCCCTGTAAATAGGTGATAAAATCAGTGATTGTTTTTGGTTCATGTGCTTTTTTGATAAAATAAAATTAATTCATTGATTTTCTTCACAAAAATGGATAAATATTATCGAATGTATCACAATGGTAGACAGTAGTATCGAAGGTTGGTACAAAATGACAAATTTACAGAAGTTATGTCCGAAATTTGAGTAAAGAATTTTCGTTCAGCGCAAGATTCAGCGACGGTCAAATTTACCGATGCAAGTATTGATGTTCGCTTCCAATGCATCCAAGCGTAATATTTAATTTATGTCAGCACAAAAAGCACCAAGATTTTATTAAGAGGCCACTCCAGTTAAGCAGCCAGTTGTGAAAATTCCCTTGGGTGGCTGCTTAATGCAGATTCTACTGTAGTCTGCATGTAATTCAGGAGATTTAGATCACAAGGCCTGTCTTTAAATCAAGTGATCTGGTCTCAATCTGGACATTTGTACTTGACTGGCATAAGGTCACCCTCGGTATCCCCAGTTGTCTGATTCCTTCCACTCCAGTATATCTATCTATACCGTGGGTTTATCCATGGGGGAATTAACCCAAGGTATAGTGGAGTAGAACGGAATGAGACCACTGTGGAAACAGAGGATGGGATTAGGTTCACCTGCCAAACCTCATGTGCTTCTATATTTAAATATTATTTGTTTGTTTATTACAGTGGTTTATACAGAGTGCTTGTGCTACACAGGGTACAGGATTATATGAAGGATTAGACTGGTTATCCAAAGCTTTAGAAAAATGATCATGTAATTCTTATCTTCAGACTGTGCTGTATATAACTACTGTGCGACTTGTGGCTGCTGATAATAAGTCTACAAATATTCCGGGGGGAAATGTTTCTCAATTATTTTTTGTGTAAAGAAAATTATTTATTTCTAGAAGCTTTTAGTTTTCTGTGATTTTTTAGTGTGGGTTAAAACTGCAAAATAGTGACTAATTGATATTATATATAGAAAAAACTCCCCTCAAATAATGAACTATTCTCCATTGATTATATGTAAATAAAACAATATTGGGTAAGTTCATTATTTAATGAAGGGGTGTTTTAGTAGGTTTAGAGATAGTCCATAATTTTGTTTTATCTAAGAGAGACTGTAACCTTGGATACAGCAGCCACAGTTTGCGCGTTAAAAGTGTTACGTATTATTGGGAGAATGATTTATTAGCTGGTTTAAAACTATTTGTCACTGGGGACAATTTTTTTATGTTATTTTCATTCCTATATTATTATTGTATTTATATGTCTTGTTATGGAATGACTGTTTGACTTAAAACTCAAAAGATAAAAATTCATATTGTTGAATAAAATCACCCTAATGCTTATACCATCTGATTAAAACACAGATCCTATTTCATTTTTGTTTTTCAAAATTTCGTTTTACTTGTCTTTACTACTCTAGGATCTGGAAGAGTTGTTATATAATCTGCGTTCTAGTTGATGTTAGGGATTAGCGAACTGTAGGTAAACCACTAGAAACATCAATGCAGATTGGTTAATCAAATGCCTGATGTCATAGGTCAAAAGCCACTCGTATGACCCCTGATGCGACCTTCCACTACAACTGGTTTGATCTCCATGTAGTGTAGGCCATTGAAAGTATAAAAAAAACAAAACGAAACGAAATATAGATCTGTGTTTTAATCAGATTGTTGCTTATAAATACATTTCTCCAGTGTCGATTTCCTCTCTGCTAGAATTTTATAATCAGGAATACTGTAATCAGGGTTCTATTGGTTTGTTCAGTTTAATTAGTCCCGCCTTGATCACTTTCTTGGGGATTTACAAAGCACTGATTGGCTAGTTGTTTTAAGGAATGGATTGATTGATGCTTGGATATCAACATTAGTTAATGTCTATTTGTGGTCAAAGCAGTTTTTATTGAATACACATGATTGAGGCATGGATATCGACTGTGGCCTATATACTCACTATGGATGCTATGTATTTTCATGTCTGGTTAATCAAGTTGAGCTCTTTCATGATAGACATTGATTTCCAGAATGTGTTTATTATGGAATCCTGCTTTATTTATTTGCATAAAACAATTTCTCTAATTTAAGATAACATGTGGGATCAGTGATAGGTATTAACCCTTTGGCACTGGGGCTGCTCAACAATTACTTCCCCCTCCAGCAATTCCAATTGCACGAGTCACATGAATAACCGCAAGGTGTTTTTAAAGGACAGCAGTTCAAAGTGGTCTAGAGAGCAGTTGTTTTGGCAGTTTCAAAACATAATGTGGATCATCTTTCTGTAATTATTTCATGGAACTTGGGTACTCGATATTAACATGTACCAGGTATTAATGGGTTAAACCTAGAACGAGATAATTATATTAAACTCTGAAAACTTACACCCATGTATTTTCTGTCATCCTAAAAAAAAAAAATGGACTTCAGTTCTTGTCATTTTTATTCATAGTATCCATCTTTGAAAACATAATTATAAATATTCTGCATATTGCAGAGGGTTCACTAATAAAATAATTATTATACTTACGTGGTTGATTGGCTACCTTTACCTTGTCATTGTATTACAAATTACATACATTAGAAACAGACCTAGATTATAGGATAGACATGGTCTATTAAATTATAGAATAGACATTGACCTATGAATTATTGGATAGACATTGATTTATGAATTATTGGATATACATGGCCTATGAATTATTGGATAGACATTGACCTTTTAAATTATGGGATAGAATGGCTTAGGAATTATTGGATAGTCATTGACCTTTTAAATTATGGGATAGAATGGCTTAGGAATTATTGGATAGTCATTGACCTTTTAAATTATGGGATAGACATTATGAATTATTGGATAGACGTTGAAATTTTGAATTATGGGATAGACATTGACCTTTTAATTTATGGAATAGACGTTGACCTTTTTAATTATCAGGTCTACTCCCATGGCCATGGTTTTGCGGTGGAGAAAAGTGGGAAGGCGAAACCTTATTTCAGTTCATATCCCGTGGATTTTCCATCTTCATCAGTCATGGTTGATTCAAAAAAATTGGATGATCAACCCCATTTCAGTTCATCTATATTGGTTTTAACCACTAATGAAATACGAAATGTCACTGCGGAACAATTTCGTCGGATTAACAAGGCACATTTCCGGTAATATCAAAACAGGAGAGTCAGCCAAAGAAGTCAAGGTTTCAAATGTATGTTGTAATTTATTTAAAATGACATTGTGAAGATGATCAACCTGCACCAGTCATGTTATTTTTAAATGGTTTCACTCATGTATTTATTTGGTTGATTATTTTTTTTATTAAATCGCTAATTATATTATAGGATATAGTTAGTTGCATCGAGAGTTTGGACAAGAATCACTATGTTTAAAAGTCACCACTGGGAAATAGAAATCAGTTAAAGTTATTTGAATGAAATGTTGGCATGATGTCACATCACAGAATAACCAGGCATCTCAGATATAGTTTCTGTCTGTTTCCAGATGGATTGAGGAATTCTAGGTTCGGGCTAGGGGGTTACCTATCTGTAACTAATTCTTGTGATGTTTGGGTTACCTGCCAGTAACAGTAATTTCTTGTGATGTTTGAGGAATGCAGGGTTTGGGCTAGGGTACCTGCCTGTAACTGTGATGTTGGAGGAATTCTGGGTTGGGGCTAGTATAACCCGTCTGTAACAGTAATTCATGTGACCTACCCAACAGGCCTGGAACAAGATTCTTCCAAGGAACAATTGATATAATATGGCGCTACTTCAGACAATTGATTTAAGATTGAGGCTACTACAGGCAATCAAAAAGATCTCTGGATACAAAGTGAAATGAGGTCATGACCATATTCTCTTAAACTCTTGCTGTACATATAGTACCATAAGTCTTGATGTACAAGTCTATTATTTACTATCTATTAACCAGTCATCACTTTGCTTTATTTATTGTCATGATATCAGAATGAATTGCTTGTAAAGAATGTAAGCCACATTTTGTTACCAATCTGTAAAAATAATATATTCAAATATCATCCAATAAAACACATATATTTACTTTTGTCTTGATCTTTTAGAAATGAAATAAAATTGGGTTTACTGTCCAACTGTTCTGCTCCAAACTGGGCTAATGAAGACGGGTATATGCCATACACTATGCTATGAGGGAAATTTTGTCTGGACAGTGGCACTACGGCCTACTCTTATATCGAATTCCAACTGTCAAGGGATCTTTTATGTGCATGCCAATGTGTACACAGGACCTCGTTTTTCCATCCCATCCGAATGACTAGACAGCTGTCCTTGTCAGGCCCTCCTTCCTGCATCACTGACAAGGGGGAACCACGCCAGAAAATCTGGATGAACCTTCTCGGCCAATGCAGGGATCGAACACCCAACCTTCAGGCTAGTGAGCCAGTGTCTCACCCACTTAGCCACCGTGACCCCCTGATCATTTAGAATATCCTAAATTCTAGGAGAAAACTTGCGCCCCATATTTTTAAATTTTTTAATCCCAGATGGTAATATTTTTGTTGAAACTCCAATATTTCATTGTAGGATTTAGTGGGTAGCACGGCTAAAACTATTTGTTAAGGCCTGCTCAATTTTCATCAAGGTCGTTGAGATGTAAATAAGGTCAGAACACGTGATTGTTGGCGAGATTATAGGTTAGGATTAGGGTAAGCATTGGTAGTAGAGGACCCTACCACAGAATCCGTGACCAATCTCCCAGTATCATGGTTTGAAGTTTGATTTTAGATGATTTGAGGATGCTGAACAAAATGAGCGGGGGGACCCCTCGCAAAAATCCAAGATGGCCGCCATCGGGCTCCCGCGAAACCATAATATGGCGTATATTTGCTCATATACAACCTGCAAATGTGTTCTTGGTGTCTAAATATATGTTTTTGGGGACAAGGAATCTATTTATGATGTCAGAAGTAGGTTTCATTAGGGAATTTATCTAAACAAATTGAGAGATTGCTGAAATTGAAGTCTGAACTTATGTATTATTTTTATTACTCAAACAGATATATATCATACAGGTCATAGAAACAGTATAATTATTGGTATCAATTTTTATCATCATCATCGTCTTCATCATCATCACCATCGTCTTCATCATCATCACCATCATTGTCAAAGTCGCCACCAGAATCACTTTCTCTAAAACCAGTATCTGCATCTATTTGCAAGTGATGTTGTCTGATTCACTCAGATACCTGGGTAGAGTTGGCTGTGTATATCTCACTGGTATGCACATATCATTGTCAAGGGTCCACCCATAGTAATTTGATTTTTTTTGTTGTGTTTAAAAGTACCTTTGTGTTGTGTTCCCCAGCATCAGCGTGTCAGCTGTCAATCCTAAATCAGTTAGAACTCTGACTCTGAGGTGAACTGAAACCGGTATTCGATTTAGTTTACAGAATAAAATGATGCTCACATGGTTAAAATGTCACTTATTACGAAAAATAAATTTTAACAGTTTTATTCAATAACGTGTATTAGGTTTTGTTTAAAAGCGAAAATATTATTAAATACTAAAAAGATTATTACAATTGTATGTTAAAAACAATCAAATTCGCCCTTGAATTGAAATAAGTGGACCCAAATAACCACATGGTCTTTTCAGATTGAGTTTTTATAACTAAAAATGGCTGCGTCATCAAGGAAACGCAAAAGCGATGAGCTATCAGTGGGACAATGTGTTACCAAGAGTGCCATGACGACAAAAGTAAGACGAACGTCGAGGCATGGACAAATTTCAAGCAACATGCTGAAGAGTGGCTTGGACTTGACAAGTATGGCACTGTGTATGCTGAGGTAAAGTGGGAAAATGGACCACATGGCATATACTTCCATAAATTGTGTAAGACGCAGCTTTTTAGCAAAAAAAAGTTACAGCAAGCATTGAACAGAAAACACAAGCAACAACTCGAAAAAGAACAACAAACACAACTGCAGATTAACACCCCCGCACTAACTGACACAAAATTAACACCAGGACCGATTGGCGAACAGAGGCAATCACGGTCACAAACAGGGTTATTACAAGACAAGAACTTGTGTATCTGGTGCATGAAACCGGACGATCCGAAGCATCCTGGGAGAGGTAAAAGGCATACAATGGAACAAATGGATGCTTGGTATGCTTTCAAATGTCACACTGTGTATTTGGATGATCTTGCCACGAGAGAACGACTTGTGACTTTCATTGGCGCAACTGCGGACCCTTTTGCAGTTGAAATCCGTTACCATCGTTCATGTTGGAGAAAATACATATCTTCGAATACACAAACTGGAAACGATGATCCCAAACTCCATTTGCAACATGTTCAGTTATTGGAGGCCAGGGAAATCTTCTTCAAACATGTTCGAACTGTGATATTTGATGATCATGAGCTTCGCACCTTGCCGAGTCTCCTTCAAGACTATCTTCGTATAGTTTCTAACTTTGGATTGATCTCAAGTGTGGTGAGATCAAGCACACTGAAAACCATGCTGCAAGAAGAGTTCAAGGATAGACTTGGCTTCCATGAGCGCTTCCAGAAGAATCAAAGCATAATTGTATATGACACATCAGCTGGTGGTACATATGCTGAGGCTGCTATTAACTGCTGGGGCATATGCGACGAGCAACTTCTTAAGATTGCAGCAAAACGTATCAAGTCTCAGGCTTCTGGATTGCCAACCATGTCATGGCTACCACACATTGATGAATTGGCAGATGAAGAAACACCAGATGAGCTTCTTTCCAATTTCATTGTCATGTTAAAGAATCCCAAGTACACGAAATCTGATCAGGATCGTCAAGATCCTGCTGTTATTGCATTGACGTCACTGCTGTCCTCGTACATAACAAAAACACGTACCCCATTCAAGGTTAAGCTATCTGTGATGCTACATGGTTTAACTCGAAGCCGTGAAATCATCGATCTCATGAAAAAGTTTTCCCTTGCCCTCATTGTACAGATCCGGTATGAACATCCTGACCAATTCAGCATCATCTTGCCTTGTATGGGGCCATTCCACATCCACTGTTCATTCATTTATGCGATGGACAAGCGCTTCCATGGATCCGGACTGTCTGACATTCTTGTTACAGCAGGAGTGATTGCAGAAGGTTCGGTTGATCAGGCTTTACGAGGAAAGCACTACAAGCGGAGTTTTCGATGTTTGCGCCTTATGTACGAAGCTTTGATGAGGAGACTGATACAACACAGCATTCAAAATGGAGCTACTTTCTCTGAAGATATCAGAATCCAGTTGAACATTTTGCGAGATCCCTCGACGTCATTCCAAGAACGACAACAAAGCTATGAACAACTTGAATCTGATCCAGCAGTTATGGTAGTCGTCGAGGAAGAGTTTGAAAGGATCAAGACCTCATGCAGTCATTTCGCAATGTATTGGATGTCATTTATTGAGATGACAGAAATCCTCATGATGAACCTTCATGCTCTCAGAACTCAAAATTGGGAGGAATTTAAGGGATCAATTCGCCTAATGTTACCATGGATGCAGATCTACGACAATGACAAGTATGGGAAGTGGATGGTAGAGTACTGGCTGGAGCTCAACAATGGTCCTGAAGAGAGGGCTCTATATATGAAAGAAGGGTTGTTTGCTCAGTCAATGACGGGGAAACCTTACTCATGTCTTCCTCTTGATCTGTGGATTGCGATGACTATGAACAAAGGGTCCAAACTCAAAGCAGGCTGGCTCAAAATCCTGAAAAATGAGAAGGTATTGCTCACAGACTCACGAAATGTGAATTCTGTGAATCGAGTACGATCTGCGATACATGATCTCGCTAATAGCACCACATCCAAACAGAAACACAGTGAAAATACAGCTACACGTTTGAAACAAGATGAACAGGCTGTTCAAGATATTGATAATTGCATTACCGAATTTGATTGTGACCCATTCAATCTAGAGAAGCCCCAATTGCGCTCTCTGCAATCTGGAGTACTTGCTTCAACTGCTTTGGTAGAAGACTTCGAGTCTGCTCACAAAGCAGGCGAGAAACTGTTTGAAGAATTCTGCAATGAACGGATGCTCAGTGACAAAAGCTCCTTCTACTCCACAGTCCACAGGAACTCGAGACGGAACTTCAGCAACCCACCCCCAGTCACGGGTCAAACCAACGTGACCATCACCAAAACTGAGGCCATGGAAAACAAGGCGATGTCAACTATTGTTGCTCTTGCAGAGGCCCATGATGAGAAATTCCACTTAGTCGATGTCATGGATTATCGAGTAACAGATGAATGTTTGCCAATATTCAACATCAATGGCACGATGAGGAAAACACAAAAGTCTAAACTGGTGACCAAGTTTCATATGACATGGGATTGATGTGGCACCTGGCAACTCCTTCTCTTGAAGATCGTCAGGGATCCGACGAGACTAGCTTTACATGGAAAGATTATGCTTCAAAGATGTTCACTGTAATTACCTTGAGACACAGACATGCGTCAGAGATTGTGCTTATAAATGACCGATATGACTTACCTTTCACAATCAAGGACAGTGAACGCAACCTGCGTTCTGGTAACTTACCAGGACCAAAAAATGTATTCATTAGAGCAGCAGACAAATTCCCATAACCCAGAGCCTTTCAGGAATTTTTGCGCAATCATGCAAACAAAGAACGTCTACTGAAATTCCTTCAAACTGAGTTTAATATGCTGTGTAAGGTTTACCCCAACATAAAGTTTGTGTATTCTGTTGGGCCAAAATGTTGGGCCAGATACTGTCATATTCTTTGTATATTCAAGAATTAGAAGATCAGGAATACTGACATTAGTTGTCATCGATGCAGAGGACACAGACATACTTGTTTTATCCGCATATGTTGCAAACACGATCGACGGTGATCTAGCAATCAAACGCAAACAGGACATTATTGACTGTCGGACCCTATGTCCCAAAGAGATAGCAGATATCATTATTCCACTACACATTCACAGTGGGTGTGATACGACAGCAGCCTTCTTTGCACATGGCAAGACAACAATTTATGACAAAGTATCTGCTTCAGAGGATGCACG